TATTTTTTACAAGTCAAAAAAGGCTCTCTTGTGATACCTTTGCTACTTGAAATCTCACTTGGACAACAGACCGAAATTTGGCCAACATGAACCTCGCTTCTAGAACATTTATTGATATTTTTTTACAAAGTCAAGAAGGCTCTCTTTGGATACACACTTTAGCTACTTGAATACTCTACTTGGACGAACAGACCGAAAATTTTGGCACAATGAACCCTCGCTTTCTTAGAAATCTTATTGATATTTTTTACAAAGTCAAAGAGGCTCTCTTTGGATACACTTAGTATTGAAATAACTTACTTGGACGAACCAGACCGAAAATTTGGGCCACATGAACCCTTGCTTCTTAGAACATTTATTGATATTTTTTACAAAGTCAAAAAGGCTCTCTTGGATACACCTTTAGCTACTTGAAATACTCTACCCTTGGACGAACAGACCGAAATTTGGCCACATGAACCCCTTGCTTCTTAGAACATTTATGATATTTTTTACAAAGTCAAAAAGGTCTCTTTGGATACACCTTAGCTACTTGAAATACTCTACCTGGACGACCAGACGAAAAATTTGCGACATGATCTCGCTTTTAGACATTTATTGATATTTTTACAAAGTCAAAAAGCTCTCTTTGGATACACCTTCAGCTATTGAAATACTCTACTTGGACGACAGACCGAAAATTTGCCACATGAACCCCTGCGCTTCTTAGAACATTTATTGATATTTTTTTACAAAGTCAAAAGGCTTCTTTGGATACACCTTAGCTACTTGAAATACTCTACTTGACGAACCAGACCGAAAATTTGGCCACATGACCCTGCTTCTTAGAACATTTTGATATTTTTTACAAAGTCAAAAAGGCTCTCTTTGGATACACCTTTAGCTACTTGGAATACTCTACCTTGGACAACCAGACCGAAAATTTGGCCACATACCTCGCTTCTTAGAACATTTATTGATATTTTTTACAAAGTAAAAAGGCTTCTTTGGATACACTTTAGTCACTTGAAATACTCTACTGGAACGAAACCAGACCGAAAATTTGGCCACATGAACCCTTGCTTCTTAGAACATTTATTGATATTTTTATCAAAGTCAAAAAGGCCTCTTTGGATACACTTTAGCTATTGAAATACTCTACCTTGGACGAACCAGACCGAAAATTTGGCCACAATCAACCCTTGCTTCTTAGAACATTTATTGATATTTTTTACAAAGTCAAAAAGCTTCTTTGGATACACCTTAGCTACTTGAAATACTCTACCTTGGACGAAACCAGACCGAAAATTTGGCCAATGAACCCTTGCTTCTTAGAACATTATTGATATTTTTACAAAGTCAAAAAGGCTCTCTTGGATACCCTCAGATACTTGAAATACTCTACCTTTGGACGAACCAGACGAAATTTGGCCAACATCAACCCCCATTCTTTTAGAAATTTATATATTTTTTACAAATCAAACAGGTCTCTTTGGATACACTTTAGCTACTTGAGAAATACTCTCTTGGACGAACCAGACCGAAAATTGGCCACATGAACCCCTTGCTTCTGTAGAACATTTATTGATATTTTTTACAAAGTCAAAAAGGCTCTCTTTGGATACACCTTTAGCTACTTGAAATACTCTACCTTGGACGAACCAGACCGAAAATTTGGCCACATGAACCCCTTGCTTCTTAGAAATTTATTGATATTTTTTACAAAGTCAAAAGGCTCTCTTTGGATACACCTTCAGCTACTTGAAATACTCTACCTTGACGAACCAGACGAAAATTTGGCACATGAACCCCTCGCTTCTTAGAACATTTTATTGATATTTTTTAAAGTCAAAAGGCTTCTTTGGATACACTTTAGCTACTTGAAATACTCTACTTGGACGAACCAGACCGAAAATTTGGCCACATGAACCCTGCTTCTAGAACATTTTTTGATATTTTTTACAAGTCAAAAGGCTCTCTTTGGATACACCTTTAGCTACTTGAAATAACTCTACCTTGGACGAACCAGACCGAAAATTTGGCCACATGAACCCCTTGCTTCTTAGAACATTTATTGATATTTTTTACAAAGTCAAAAAGGCTCTCTTTGGATACACTTCAGCTACTTGAAATACTCTACCTTGGACGAACCAGACCGAAAATTTGGCCACATGAACCCCTCGCTTCTTAGAACATTTATTGATATTTTTTACAAAGTCAAAAAGGCTCTCTTTGGATACACCTTAGCTACTTGAAATACTCTACTTGGACGAACCAGACCGAAAATTTGGCCACATGAACCCCTCGCTTCTTAGAACATTTATTGATTTTTTACAAAGTCAAAAAGGCTCTCTTTGGATACACCTTTAGCTACTTGAAATACTCTACCTTGGACGAACCAGACCGAAAATTTGGCCACATGACCCCTTGCTTCTAGAACATTTATTGATATTTTTACAAGTCAAAAGCTCTCTTGGATACACCTTTAGCTACTTGAAATACTCTACCTTGGACGAACCAGACCGAAAATTTGGCCCACATGAACCCCTTGCTTCTTAGAACATTTATTGATATTTTTTACAAAGTCAAAAAGGCTCTCTTTGGTACACCTTTAGCTACTTGAAATACTCTACCTTGACGAACCAGACCGAAAATTGGCCACATCAACCCCTTGCTTCTTAGAACATTTATTGATATTTTTTACAAAGTCAAAAAGGCTCTCTTTGGATACACCTTTAGCTACTTGAAATACTCTACCTGGACGAACCAGACCGAAAATTTGGCCACATGAACCCCTTGCTTCTTAGAACATTTATTGATATTTTTTACAAAGTCAAAAAGGCTCTCTTTGGATACACCTTCAGCTACTTGAAATACTCTACCTTGGACGAACCAGACCGAAAATTTGGCCACATGAACCCTCGCTTCTTAAATCAAACTTACAATGATTTTTTATAAGACTGTGTTCAAACTTAGAACTTAGAATTACTTCTTTCAAGTAACACTGTTTGTAGCTTTATTTTGGAAAATGACTGAGTTTCTTTACCAAGAAACTAACTTTGATCCGCGTCTTTGGCCAGTTCCCCTAACCAAAGTTGAAAAGGATACTTATTAGACAACTGATCAAACTTGTAACCACAACCTCAGCATGTCTTTATAAGGATCTGAGCAAATCATAAGATCAGCCAATGAACAAGCTACAAGTAGGTAATCAGGCTCTTATTTGTTAATTATTGTTATTTAAATGTAGTATTTTTCATTTATTGGTTTATTGTTGTAGTAGACTTGGAATAGAACAGTAGAACTGAATTGAAATAAAATTGAATTAAAATGGAATTTATTAATGGAATTTATTAATTGCTGCTTTTTTACTGATTATGATAAATTACTGATAATTGATTATCCAGTCTATCAATACCCATCAATCACAAACAGACAATATACCATCCTTAAACAGTGACAGTATGGGTTTTTTGTATCCATTCATCAAGCTGATGAAAATTAAAAAATAAATAACTTGATTTAAAGAAACATCTCTAATTTAAACTGTTGCTGCTTTATCTGGAAGTGTGATGAATTTTGACAACATTCGCTCATGTTTGACTGGAAAATGATGACAGTACAAGTGAAAATTCAACAACCTCTTGAAAAGAGCAAAAATATGCTTCAATCTTATGAAAAAGAATATATAAGTTTGGAATATATATCTTTTACTGTTCAACCAGAAAGAAAACAAAAGAGACTGAGCGATTCCTCTCATTTTTAATGATCATTGATCTCAACAATATCCAACTTAAAACAATTTTCTTGCAACACATATAAATTGCCTGACCAATAAATATTTGAGAATCTTAAATACTAATTTAGATGCAAGAGATGTATTTTTATCTGGTCAGGGAATTAGAGATAATGGAAATAGGTTTGGAAATCTTATTCCAGAAATAGGAAATCTTAAATAAAGAGAAAGGTTACCTGTTATAATTTGTGTAAATTTATGCCATGGGCTGTGGGAGAGGTTTTTGGGATTGATTGGCTTTGATTAGCTATAGATAGAGCTGTTGCTGCTGTTTAGAAAGGGGAAAGGGGTAATTATGGTATATTCAATACAACATTTTTCACTTTTCACAAACCATATCTTGAATCCTAAGTAACTCTTTGTCTTTCTTCTTCTTTTGTACTAGTGCTTTTGACGATGAACATTCTGAACAAGAAAGGAAAAACTTAATACTCTAGCATTGAAGTTATGGCTAGGCGGACACATAAGACTCAGAGGTCAATACGCACAAAGAGGCTTGTGAAAGGGATGATGGAATATTGAACAGGGCACAAAGAAGGGGCCTCAAACTTCGGAAACGGCTTTTACTTTCGGAAAAACAGTAACCTTTGAAAAAGTATCTACATACATATGGATTTTTTTCTAATTTGTAGGTTGATTCTACTTTCAATTATGTCGAAAAAGTATAAAAAATATTCAGAACATCTCTGAACATTCTATCGATCATGGAATATAATCAAGCCACTATTTTGGATTACTCAGGCTGACATGGAATAAAAATAATTTGAAAATCGAATAGGTAAATTGGCCTTGGATACACATTATTGTAATGACATAATTTTTAAATGCACAGGCAAAGTGGGTCAAAAGAAACCATGTTTGCTAAAATGTCACTACAATTTCAATAATTTATAACTAATCATCATAATTTAAAAAAATGTAAAAGTATATATACCTATTTAGAGAATAGATAACTAGAAGTGAAAATCTTGTTTAAAATGCTTTATTTTTAGGAACAATACTACTCTGTTTAAATGATGGAAACAATAGTAATTTTCCAAATTCCCAGTTTACCCTAATGAAGCTCAATTCCGTCGGAACGAAATTCATATTTGGGGTGGGGGGCTGCCCATTGTATTCCTTCTCATTCAGTACACTGGGAACATACTTTACAGTCTGAAATTATTGGGGGCTCCATCCCCCGTTCAGAATTTTTAATACTTCAAACGTGCACATAAATGTTCTAAGAAGCAAGGGGTTGATGTGGCCAAATTTTCGGTCTGGTTCGTCCAAGGTAGAGTATTTCAAGTAGCTGAAGGTGTATCCAAAGAGAGCCTTTTTGACTTTGTAAAAAATATCAATAAATGTTCTAAGAAGCAAGGGGTTCATGTGGCCAAATTTTCGGTCTGGTTCGTCCAAGGTAGAGTATTTCAAGTAGCTAAAGGTGTATCCAAAGAGAGCCTTTTTGACTTTGTAAAAAATATCAATAAATGTTCTAAGAAGCAAGGGGTTGATGTGGCCAAATTTTCGGTCTGGTTCGTCCAAGGTAGAGTATTTCAAGTAGCTAAAGGTGTATCCAAAGAGAGCTTTTTTGACTTTGTAAAAAATATCAATAAATGTTCTAAGAAGCGAGGGGTTCATGTGGCCAAATTTTCGGTCTGGTTCGTCCAAGGTAGAGTATTTCAAGTAGCTGAAGGTGTATCCAAAGAGAGCCTTTTTGACTTTGTAAAAAATATCAATAAATGTTCTAAGAAGCAAGGGGTTCATGTGGCCAAATTTTCGGTCTGGTTCGTCCAAGGTAGAGTATTTCAAGTAGCTAAAGGTGTATCCAAAGAGAGCCTTTTTGACTTTGTAAAAAATATCAATAAATGTTCTAAGAAGCAAGGGGTTGATGTGGCCAAATTTTCGGTCTGGTTCGTCCAAGGTAGAGTATTTCAAGTAGCTAAGGTGTATCCAAAGAGAGCCTTTTTGACTTTGTAAAAAATATCAATAAATGTTCTAAGAAGCAAGGGGTTCATGTGGCCAAATTTTCGGTCTGGTTCGTCCAAGGTAGAGTATTTCAAGTAGCTGAAGGTGTATCCAAAGAGAGCCTTTTTGACTTTGTAAAAAATATCAATAAATGTTCTAAGAAGCGAGGGATTCATGTGGCCAAATTTTCGGTCTGGTTCGTCCAAGGTAGAGTATTTCAAGTAGCTGAAGGTGTATCCAAAGAGAGCCTTTTTGACTTTGTAAAAAATATCAATAAATGTTCTAAGAAGCGAGGGATTCATGTGGCCAAATTTTCGGTCTGGTTCGTCCAAGGTAGAGTATTTCAAGTAGCTAAAGGTGTATCCAAAGAGAGCCTTTTTGACTTTGTAAAAAATATCAATAAATGTTCTAAGAAGCGAGGGGTTCATGTGGCCAAATTTTCGGTCTGGTTCGTCCAAGGTAGACTATTTCAAGTAGCTAAAGGTGTATCCAAAGAGAGCCTTTTTGACTTTGTAAAAAATATCAATAAATGTTCTAAGAAGCAAGGGGTTCATGTGGCCAAATAGATATTTCCCAAGGGAGACTCATGGTGTCTTCCTTCTTGACCTCCTTTTGAGAAACTTTTTCGAGTATATATCCTCAACTTCTTGACCAATTGGTTCCTGTTTCTGTGCTCGAATTGACGATTTCTAGAGGAGCCTGCTTATGTGATGATTATGGACTCTGTGAAAGAACCAACTGCTATTGCTATTGCAAGTAACAGTGCTACCAATAATGAGGTAGATATAGGGGGAAGTATTATGATAGATCTTTGTTTACTCCACGATTCATAAATTTATAGATCAGTTGTATAAATCCAATGAGATTGGATTGATACAACTGATTTTGCTGTTTTGGTTTGTTTTCTGGATTTACTTGATTGGATTGGATTTATACAACTGATTTTTCTTTTTTGACCTGTTTTTTTGCAATTGGTTTTGATTTGTGTTCTTAATATATTTTCTTTGGTTCTAAATTCATATGATTTTGGGTTTTTTTATGAGCCTCCTATTTTTGATGGCATGCTTTTAACCTGTAGTATAGTTATGGTTCTCTTAATATTGCTAGCGTTATCCATGTATATATTTTGCTTCTGCTTTGCATGTTTCTATAGATGAAACAAAGACATGCAACCGTTCTAGCTTTAAATCCCAAGGGAGTAGCTATGTTCTCAATGTGGGGACTGAAAAATTGATGAGAGTACTGAATATTGTTCAAGGATCTGGGGCAGTATAGATGGTTCCTATGTGGGTTCTTGGGTTATTGCTTCAGAAGCTGTCACTACTTTGTGTCCTGTTATGGTGGAAGTTTCCTACATCATATACTATCATACTTTATATCAAGTAATTTATGTTTAAATTTAAGACTCTTGTGCTGCAAGCACAGCAAAAGAGACGTGGATCTGGCAATAGAGATTTTATTCCAAGTGCTGGAAAGCAAAGAGTCTTTGATAAAAGACAAGAAAGACAGTTAAGAAACAATGTAAGGAACATTGAATGTTTTTCAATTATAATTTTTATGCCATGTTTTCTCTGAAAATTAAATTTTACAGTCATTGATTCGTGTATGTGTTGTTCAAGAATCCATCAAAAGGTTTTCATAACTTATTTTATATACTTCTCACAATCCATCTTTTATGATGAAAGTCATTGAAAAACTGATGAATATTTTAACAGTTGATCTGCTCTAGTGCAACATAACCAGTGCTTTTTTGCTTTTGAGTTTTGAACTAGTGCAACATAACAGTGCTGTTTTGCTTTTGTCATAGCTTTTGAACTGGTTAAACAGAACAAACATGCCTGTAGTTGCCTTAAGCCTGCAATCAGATCTTTCGGTTAATTACATAGGTGAGAAGAGTTTATTTTGAATATTTTTACAGTATCTCTCTGTGTTTGAAGGGCAAGTTACATTTCAGCTGTGTGAATTAGAAATGAAAAATGTTTTTTTCTCTATGTTCACTACTAGATACATGGATTGACCATATAAGGATGGCTAAACCCATGGAAGCTTGGACCTGCTACAATGCCTAGCACATGTCTGAGATATTTCATGAGGTATATAAAATAAATATAGGTTAACCTATTATGCAAATACCTATTAGACTTAAGGTAACATGGAAAACATGGGATCAATTCCATGAATAAATGACTTCTGTCCCATGACCTATGCAAGGCCAAAGTTCACGTGCAATGCTGATTGTTATAAAGAAGGCCAACCATCATCCTATATCAACCGAAGCCCGACAGTTCTTATATTGAGACAAATCACAATGAACACTTTCTTTCAGGGGCTGAATGGTTTGAAGACTTTATCAAAGATCCTTACATCAGAGAAAAGTTTGTGAAAGTGGCAATTGAGGGTGAGATTGTTTAAATGAGAAGTAACATAGAAACAATGTTTATTCTTTAGTTTTGTAGGCTGAATTCTGAATTCTACATTCTGAAAGTATCTTTGGAGCACGTGACTGTTCTCCCATCATAGTTATATTTGAATGATGTATACGTAAATTAGACTTTAAGGCTACTTTATGTTATTTATGTTAAGATTTGAACTAGATATAAATTCAAAACTTTTATTCCTTGCAAGAATGTTTATTCCCCTGTTTCTAGTAAATTTCTCATATTCAGCAAATAAACCACAGTTTGTTCTCTAGGACTAAAAAAGTTTTATGAACAAAGAGAAAGGGCAGAAAGGACTGAAACAATAGAAAATTCAGGCAATAGAGAATCTGTGTCCACAGAAGGTAAAAATTATTACACCAAATAGGTTCTATGTTTGTTGGCAAATTCAATGTTGACAATTTCCTAAAAATTGCAATAGTTGATATCTTAAAAGTTTTTACTATTCGCAACTTCTTTTGCAATTAAGAACTTTTTTGATTTATTCTACTACTATATCAGCTGTAACAGTGCTATCTGAGGTTTACTGGATTTGTTCTTATGTAATTCACATAAATTAGCCTCATAATTCTTCTTCTGTTGCCCAATTCACTTCATAGCTGATTGCCTTGACTTTGGTGTCAAACAGAAGCTGCTTAATGATGATGTTATGGGGTATGATGTTCATCAAAAAAGTATGCTTATTGGGCAGATTGTGAAGAGAAAAGGTATACACAGATCTTTATCAAATAAACTCAATTGTTCATTAAAAGGTTTTTCATTATTGCAAAATTGCCAGTTATGTTTGAGTTTCTACTCAAACAAGAAAGTGAAATTGAAACTGCCTATGAAATAGAAATCTGAAGCTTTCAGCATATTTAGTTTTGTATAATTTAGTTTGTAATAATAATAAGTTTCTCTTTTTATAGCATATAGCGAGTAACTCAAACATAAGAAGGAAAATGATATCAAATTTATCACTATCAAGTCCTTTATTGAAAAAATCAATTAAATAAATTGTATTTCCCAAAAATCTGTTTGCCACATTTCAAAATAATCGTTTACAGTGGCATCAGAGTCTTTCTCAAGCGATAACGATCAGAGACCTCGGTGAGGGCACTCCATATTAGAATATGTCAATATTTATTGAAAAGTTTTTTATCCAATGCTCTTCTTACTCAAAATTAAAAAATTATTTTCAAAACTTTCTTTACCAATTGTAACGTATTTTTGACCAGGATTGACATCAAAAACATGCTGGCTTGCAAAGAACAAACCGACTTGGTTCTGGCCTGTGACCATAAGATTTCGATCACCGAACTGTGGCCCAAATAGAATGAAAGTGGGAGAAATGGATGTCGTGCTGCAGGCTTGCATTTCAAAACTGAAAGAAAGCGAGGCAGCTGCAATTGAAGAAATACAGGAAGTGGAAGAAATGGAGGGAGTGGAAGGAATGGAGGGGGATGAAGGAATGGAGGGAATGGAAGAAACGGAGGAAAGAGAAGAGATGGAGGAAAGAGAAGTGACGGAGGACAGAGAAGTGACGGAGGACAGAGAGGTGACACAGGACAGAGAGGTGACGGAGGACAGAGAAATGACGGAGGACAGAGAAGTGACGGAGGACAGAGAAGTGACGGAGGACAGAGAAGTGACGGAGGACAGAGAAGTGACGGAGGACAGAGAGGTGACACAGGACAGAGAGGTGACGGAGGACAGAGAAGTGACGGAGGACAGAGAAGTGACGGAGGACAGAGAAGTGACGAAGGACAGAGATGATGCGGAGAAAAAAAAAATGGAAATGAATGAAAAGCTTAGGTGCATAGTTGAGAAGATGAAGGTATTTGAAAAACACACGTTTTTCCTGTATTATTAAATTGAAAAGATTATTCTTGTAAGAAGACTTTACCCTGGCTAGTATCATACTGGCTTTACTGGACCTGTCCGCGAATATGCAGGAATCCTCTGCAAAAAAATTCTAGGTCCAGCACAAAACAAATTATATCTAAAACTATATCTAAAACAAATTATAACCTCCCAGCCTTTCCTATCTTTAAATTTTTTCATTGTCCCATTGTATGCACTGCTGGTAAATGGATAGGATTGATCAAATATCTCATCAGCTAAAATCATCTAGGTTCTTGCATACTTCTTATATCAAGCACAACTTCTAATCATAGATCTGTAGGTGGAATGACCCAAACTCCAACGATGTGCAGGAATTGCTAGGTGCTATGGAGGATGACTCGTTGTTTCTGGAGACTGTTGTGCAGTATATCCCGAAACACATGACATTTGGCTCGTATTGCCTCCGACTAAAGCCCTCTGACACAAACTATTGGTAACTGCCTTAAAATTTTTATAGCCTTCAAGTATCTCCTAATTAGATGAACTAGTACGAGTTTGTTTTGAAAAATAATCACGTCATTCTTCTATCATGTCATATCAATACTGCTCAGAATCATTAAAGAAATTGATGCTTCTCTTCGTCTTGCAGGCTTAGACATCAAATACCATCGAGTGTTGCCAGGAATATTGATCCGTTTCTTGTCTTGCAAAATGGTAACGGACTTTACAGAGCTGCGTCGTTGGCTCTGTTCAATATAACAGATTTTTGGCCAACTTTGCGCTTCCTGTCCGCGAAGTATGGCATAGAGAAATTTGAGCAGGTTATGAAGCAGGTGATGTACTATGTCATGTAGTGTTTTGGTCGTCTATTTCACATAATTTTTGTACATATGGGTTTGCTAGTTAACAGTATTACATGGTCGTGATAGTCATTGTCTTCTCGACTTATTGTTATCTGAATTTGTTATAAAGTAAACCTCACCCTTGAGTAAACTCTGTGCAAACAATTTCAGATGAATGACATTGGCGGATCGGAATTCTCTACGGGGCAGTCACGTGAAGCTATTGAAAAACGATTAAGACGCCAAATTCTGCTTACCACATTGCCTAACTATGAATGCAGTAAGTTTTACATTTATCAGTTTTCTATGGTGAGCTGCCATAACAAGCTACAATCAAAGCACTTGTGGTGCAATTGGTAAGCACGGTTCCCTATTTCTGGGAAAAGATTCATGTTCAAATCCTGACAAGTGCAGCTTCTAAGGTTGCAAGCCTACATACTCATTTTGATATTTATTTTGACATTTGTGATTGAATTTCTCTGGAAGTAGACTGGAACTTTTCAGATAAGGCTACCCATATTTCAGTTATTCACAGTTTCTGAACTTTACATTATTACTTTTACAACCTCTATACAATCTTACTTAGCCCCTTTACATTTGGTTCTACTGTCAATCGCGATGGGTGTCACTGTCAACTGCTATTCTCCAGCAAGAAGCAGAAACTTCCAACTTAAGCAGCAGAATAGCATGGATAATATCGACCTCCTTTGGGCTGTGGACAGAAACGGACAGGTCACAGACAGGGTGTATCCATTGCTCCAACATCGCTGCGATGAGAATCTGCTTGACAAATGTGGTGCTGGAGCGTACTGCCGAAATCAGGATACAGCAAGGCTTGTCCAGTGCAAATATTGCCTCCGGAACTACCATCCTCTTTGTGCTGGACTGGATAAAAAGGGACTCGGACCAGGCAATCAAAACTGGACCTGTGGCTGTCATATTTCACACGCAGACCTTTCGATGTAAATAGTCGACTTTTTTGTCTTTAGAACAATAAGTTATTAAAAAAAGATCTATAAAGTAATTTTTAAAATGTTTGATGATTAGCTAGAGCTTAGTTTTCTTTTCAATTTGCATCATTTCTTCTGTAACATAATTACTGGATTAACTCTTTTGGCTAGATATGCTCCCAGTAATTTTTGATTATCTCTTCAACAATAAATACACCGAATGCGAAGATGGTGAGTTTTTTAATTGCGGGAGCGGGTTATTCTCAATTGGAGAGCAAGATTATTTTTGCGCAGTACTGTACAACAGTCTGTGCTAAACAATTATTCTCAATTTTTCAGTGTTGACAGATTTAGCTCCAAAGATAAAGTCCAGCGTCTACTGGAATCATACTCTGCTGAAATCAAGGTATAAATTTTAGAAAATGCTATTTTGTACAATGACTGTATTATTTCCCTTTATGGTTTTTAATTATTAACGAAACAGCTCACTATTATGATGACAAGAATAACAGTGAAGCCATAGTAAGAAAAGCAAAGTAATTAACTTGGTATTTATTGACAATTGTACATGATATTTATAAATCAATATAAAACATGTGATACACTTTATTGTTTGTTTTTCAAGCGCCATGTCGCCAGCGTTCTGAAGTTTCACTTGGAACTAGCATTGGCAGCGAGTCGAGAAGACGAGTTGAATCCTTGTTGGCTATTTCAAGGGGATCCGTATGCTGTAAACAAACTCTTTTTTATCTTCGTATTTTGCAAGGCTACAGCTATATTCAACTTCTAAATTGCATCTTCTTTCAACTTTCTAGAAAATGCTGTTTGATGTTTGGTGTTTAGTCTCAATGCAATAGTTTAAGTGTTGTATAATTCTACTCTGTGCACTACTCTTTCGCCAAATATGTAATGGAAGTTAGTCAGCATTTAAATGAGAGTCTCGAGTACTAAAATGAGTACGATTAGGCCTTCTGTTTACACGACAACCATCGGAGCCGTTCCAAATTAAACCGTTCAAAAATGTGATCGCCCAGGAAAGGATTAGCCACCATCCCAAACAATGTTGCTGCTTTGTAGCATACGCAAAGGAGGGCTACAACGTTTACTAAAAGCTTTAAATTTCAATTTAAGACCTTTTTGGAAGGAAACTATTCAAAAATTTCTCGTGTAAACGCAGCCGTAGTCTTCAGCTGTTATTCTACTGATCGTGTAATCACAATAGATAAAATACCTGTTTTCATTGAATGATTAATTCAATTAAATTATGATAATTTTATTACATTTCAGTATTTAAATATTCCAACATATATTGCACGCATTGCCAGTGCAGACAAACGCTTCTTCACTATCCCCATCGACGATCGTGGAACAGTAGTGAAGAATTTTCTCCTGCCAGATGTGAGTTTTTTTCCCAAACAGTAAAGTCGCGTAGTATGACATGGAAAAATAGATCAAACAAAGTTGATTCAAAATATCTTTAAATTTAGTAAGGGCTAAATGAATCTTCTAAATGAATATTTTGATTGATTTTTTAGATTCTTCCAAACTCGTTTATAAAAAGTTTATTACTGCTATAGAATTTTCGATTTAAGTAAATTTAAAGATGAGATAGCAATGCATCATCTTTTCTATAGGTTGCAGCTTTCCTTGTTCATCGCTTAGCGAACATTCCACTGCTCTGTGCAAGGCGGCTTGTCAATGATTCGGCGAAGTATAAAATTCGTTTATAAGGTACGCTTAAGTATTTGATGTTTTATTCGAATTTGGAGTGACTATTCTCAAACCGTAATTGGTCGTTCATTTTATCATTGTGATCAACACCTTTCATCTTCTATGTATCCAAAGTAGAGTATCAAATCATATAAACGACAGCTCATTTATAGAAGAACTTTTGCGACATTAAGCTTAAATATAGGAACATCATTAATCAGCGTTCTTATAAATTATGATCTGATTTAACGCGACAAAACACGGATCCAGCAAGAGACGATGTTGTGTGACCATTGCTCCTTGATGAATTTACTGATGCTGGCTGACTAAATTACAAAACTGGGCGTATACACATAATACGAGGGGACGCTACAAAAGTGTTGTTGATTATGTTATTGTGGATACGTAGAAGGTGAAAGGTGTTAATCACAATGCTACAATGGAAGACATATTATGGCTTGAGAATAGTCACTACAGATTAAAGGTATCACATTTATTTCATTACTGCTAACATATGCTGAAAGATGTCAAGCAATATTCTCTATTTTTGCAGCTTCGTGTTTTGGTGGTACAGGTAAAGGATCAATTGCTTCATGAAATTTTGTTCGGACATGTAAGAAAGTTGGTTCTTTATTTTCTTCAGCTGGGCATTTCTTTGCTCGTTTATTTGGCTATTTGTGCCTTTAAACCCTGGGTATATATCCATATTGTAACTTCTGGCACAGGCTATAATAAAATTTATCATAACATAATAAAATAATATATCAAAAAACTTTTATTCAACAATAAAATAATTACCTTCTAGCGACAAATATGTCTTGTGATCAAAAATTTTACATTATGTGTCCCAAAAAATTACACAGACCGGTTAACGTGCATGTATAGTCCATTATCTACCCAGTTCCCTGTGTCCATTCAGATACAACTGTGAAAAGGATCCATATCTCTGGTCAATAGTTTGAATGAACTGAAAAAATCTTATCTTACATTTAAAGCCTTGCGTATTGTAATTTTTCTGCTTGATGTGACTCTCTAGTAGAGCAAAAATACGGTTCTATAACTAATCACAACATTTTCCTATGTGATCTCAGAAATAAGCACTAACTAGTCACCAGTTGTCTTTACATCTGGATCACCTGTTTCATTTTGTATTCTTGTACATTTAGTTCCATTTTTTGAAAAATTGCAGTATTAAATAGTAGTAGCCTATCTCACTATGTATTTGCAAGAAACACAAGTTGTTTCCTTTATCTAGCAAGTTTAGTTTTTATGTTGCTATTTTATTTAGTTTTAATTATGATGATTCTTACAAACCTTTGTGATTTTTCCAATGAAATCGGTCAACGGCAAAGGTGCATTTTTTAAAAAAACCCGGATCTCTGTTTAAACAATATGCATGCAAATGGCAGCTGTTGTCGTATATTATGGCTTTTGGTGCTGTGAAAAAGATGCACGTCAATAATGCCATTTCATCTGTCCCGCTTACAAATACAACATACTATGAGACAATGAAGAGGTAGTTTTCAGCACTGTTTATATACCGATAGGCTGCCGGTTTACAAAATGAAAAGAACAAAGAATTGACAAACAAGAATAATGTTTTTAATTAGCGATGCTAGATAAATTGTTTCTAATGTCAAGGTCACCCATTTCACCAATAGGGACAACATATTGACGGGACCTAGTACATCTTATGCAAATAATTGTCTCGCTTATAGATAGGTTTTTTCACCACACGGCAGTTTGAATATAATGATTTGTATGAATAGAATTTCTTCGCGCAAGTTCTCAGGCAGGAAATAATCTAGATAAAAGTAATCTTAAACTTGGATGTTTGCGCTTTATTTATATATCTGGTATAAAAGATAAGTTGCTGATAGGTATATATATATGATAAAGTTTACGTGATTATTCAAATAGCAAAATCTACATGTACCTGTTGGAAATCTCATCCGGAATATCGTAAAGGGTACATTCGGTGATTCCTGGGACTCCATTATTTCGAAGCCGTAGCAAATTCCTGAAAAAAAGAGAATTTTAGCATGTTCTTCTCTGTTACTTATAAAATTTCCTTTTTGTAAACGTGTTTATCGTATTGAAAAACAATTCTCATAAAGTTTGTGACACGTTTGCCAACCACGATGGATGTTCGCTCTCTATCATAAGTAAACTCTACATGCTATACCGAAAAAAAGCTAGACAATACATAGATAATGGGGAATTGCTTTTTTGCTGTTATGATGATGGTACTGCAAAGAAGCATTACTTTAGTACCTTTCCAATATATTCATTCTAGCGAAAGAAATGTTATCGAACATGACGGAGAAAACTACCCAGTCTTACCATGCTCGCAGTATACGGTGAAAAGCCCAGGCAGCAAAGTCATTTTTTTAGCTTCTTTTTTGCATTGCCCTTCATATTTTTTTTTCTTATCCTGATGATAATAACCTCGAGAACACTGTACTGGCCAGTTCGGGAAGTAGGCGAGTCCGTTATTTTTTTGAGCTTCGGTAGCTACAGGTAGTGTATGGGGCTCTTTGTTGTACGAGTTGCTCGACTTTTTCTGCAAGAGCAGGAACAACTTCCTCCATGCATCGGGAAGGGGCAGCGATTGGATCGTTGTCAGCGCGTTAAAGATAACAGGAGCTACCTGCTGTATAAATGCCATGGCAGCGATGTTGCTTCCAATTGCAACGCCTGTATCGGTTGTTGAGCATAGCTCGTTAACGTGGACACTGAGCTCGTTGTCTGAGGGCAAGTACGAGGAGACAGGTGATTCTGAAGCCAAGCATTGAAGCAAATCCTTCATGGGAGCAGGAATTTCGTCCTCATAGATTTCATCGCACCATTTCATGAAATTGTGCACCTGATTGTGTTAGAAAGCAATTAATAAAACTTACAGCAAGTAATTAAAATATTAAATATTGAAATTAACGGCACTAATTAAAGTTTGAGCGAATAAATGGATGGTTGAGTATTTTCTCCTTGTGTGCATCAAGATACAATTGATTTATACAATTGTCAAAGTCCTAGAATCTTACAAAGTTTCAAGATCATCAATAGAGAGAACCCTTTACAGCAGGAAAAGGTAACATGTAAACATTGCATTTATGTCAAACCATTTCTGAAGCGGTTTTGGTAAATGTGCTTGTGACATAACGGGTGCTGCTACATTACTACCTACAAATGAAAAATAGCCTTTGTGTTTGAAAATGATTAAAAATTATAAGCACATTTGAAAGATTCATCTTATGACTATCAAACCTCTATATAACTGTCTTTTAACAGCTCCAACATCTGAGCTTTCGCAGCCGGCTCAATTCTCTTATTTATGTTATTTTTCACAAGTTTCCTGATTGCCCCTTCAGGTATCAATGTTCTTTCACTGAAGCTAGTAAAATAGAAGCTTTCTGTTAGAAATCGCTTACACAAAGTAAATTACTTTTTTTCATAAGTTTAGTCAAAGTTATGCTTTAATTATTGTTTTATTGAAGTATGACTGATTTGCAAATTAGAAACTGTAAATTTTTAACGCTTATTTTAGGCAGTAGGCTTTGATTTGGTTGTTTTTAAGCCGTTGAATAATAGATGGAGGCGTGATAGAGATGCATGAAACAAATAGTTATAGATCCAGCAAATTCATCTTTTCCATTTATATATACAACAGAAAGAATACTTCATAGTTAATAGAATATTGATGAAAATGACCAATCAAATGTTAAAGCGTTGTGATAAACAGTTTCATCTTGCATGCATTAAACATACACAGACTGTTAAATTAAACAGAGTCTTATTTTGAACATAGGCTGGATGGAAAAGTCAAGTCAACCTTTATTAAATTTCTTGTCATTGGAGTTTGAAAAAATTATTGTCAATGTTTAATAAAACTACAAATTAAAAGCAGAAAGTGACAGGAGTAGCCAGAGACAAATTCAAAAAAAGTATCGGGAAAATATTTGTCACGACCGAAACAATAAGAAATATTTTGTAGATACAATATCAATAACTCACTTCATTTCTAAGCAAATATTGGAAAAGTTCACTCCTAAAAAGTGCATTGTACATTTGAAAAGGAAAAAAGGAAATTTTTATTTATCAATAACCCATCTTAGTATATAAAATTTAAATACTTATCATCCACGTAATTTCTCTTCAGGCTCGTTGCACTCCTCTGCAATGATGATGCTTTTAGCATACTCCCGTTTAAATGCGAGAGTGGTTGCATCGCAACAAACAACTTGAGGATACTGCCCACATATGTGGCACACGTAGTGGTTGTCAAAATTGATATCAAGCAATGCAAGGAAACCATACCAAGACATCCGCCATTGCTGGTAATTTATTAGCTTCTGGTCTTGAACGCTACCTAGCTCCATATATAATTTTAAGGAGTCATAAAAGCCGATTAAACTTGAACTGCAAAAGATGAATTGAGAAATTAATCCTGAGGAATGTCTTGGGTTATGTGTCTTGAATAATAACATTTTGTTTTAGTGGTTTTCCTAATCAGTTTGTCATTAAAATGTCAAAATCGTTTCATAGTTAAAGACTATAGAAAACAGAAAAGACTATAAAACGACTCCAAACAATGGAAATGATGCCTAGCCTTGCCATCATTGTTTAGCTGAGTGTTTAGCAAAAAGTTGGTAATAAACTTTTTATGGTAATCACCTGTTTCCAGTGAGGAATCTAAACATGTAGTCCTTCAGAACATCGTGCCCAACAAGAAAATCACCCATGTTAAGAATTCCTTTGTTTGAACCACAATAGTTCTGAACGACGGAGCAGTCTGTGTTAGGACATTTTCTATCTGGAACTGAAAAAGTGAAAAAACTCTTAATCTCTTTTTACATGCCTGTTAGCCAATGATAATCAACTAGTTCCAATCAGGGGCGCTGAAAATTTTTCAGAAATTGATGACGAAAATACGCTGTTTACAATAATTTCAGACCCTAACTACTGACAGAAGGCTCTCTATTGACGTTCTAAAGGAAATTTTCACAATAATGGTGCAAAATCGTTTCCAAAAAAGGGGCGCTAGATTTGCTTCAACTCGGTGAGGGAGGGGCAACTGCCCCTAGTTGCTTCCCCCCTTAAATCCGCCACTGGTTCCAATACAAAATTACTTTATCGATTACCTTTATTACAGAGTCTGGAATTTCATGTTCCTATGAAACCTTATTCCAGAAGAAGAGGAACTATGAGGGAATAGGTTATTTAAGGAAGACAGCCTGTCGCGATTCTTAATAACCTTCTAATTTAACATGCTCTTTATCGCTACTGCAAGAAAAAAGATTACCCAGTCCTGGTGCAGAAAAATTTATGGTAGTTTGAATGCTAGACCAAGGATTGGACTACCTACATGCTTTGGTAGCGTGAGAAAGCAAATAAAGCTATGAAATACCAAGCATACCTTTTCGTGATAAGAAGGCAGAGTCATACATACATACATTCAGAAAAGATCTAAAAGGATCCCACATACCACTCACGAGTTTTATGAAGTTGCGCGAAATGAGTTTCACTCTGGGTTGCCAAACATAGTGCTCATTCAATCTTTCTCCGCAATTTCTACAATTATCCCCATCAAAATCTGGAACCAAAAGGCTGCTTTCCACTGTCTCCATAACAGCATTACTGTAAGACCCTACATAGACACTACGCTGATGTGGTAGAGTCTCCAAAGAAATTTTGCCAGTTGACAGCGGCTTTCTAATGTACGCATTCTGGTGCTTTTTTTGCAAAACTTCGCTCCTTCTCACAACCTCTACCAAACTATCAGGCATTGTTTGGTTTTTTACGATCGTATTTATGCACTTTACATGCCTACACGAGTGCCTTCCATGTTTACAGCAGAGACATACAAAGCCTTTTTTGTCGACAGCAACAACAGACTGGTCTTCATCGTCGTTTTTCTGACTTGCAACCAAAATCATTGGCTCATTAAAATCTAACGCTTTGATCACGGGGCAACCCTGATAGCAAGAATAAAAATCCGGTGAAATATTATCCTGTGGCTTATATTCATGCGCTAGAGAAAGAAATCAGAAATAAGTCGAACAAAATAGAATACATCAATTACACAATTATTGTTGTTAACAAAGATCTATAGAATACGAAATGTCCAGCACCAGTTAAAGACAACAAAATTTTGAACCAGAAACGGCCGTACCTTGCTATATCCGTGATCAACTTCAATCCCTGAAAGCAAAAAAACACATGGTAAAAAGTTATAACCATGGTATAAATTTCGATTTCATCTATAGAAACTTATGGGTGAGCGTAGTTCGTATATCAAAATTTGATACTTCTACTACGAAATGGTGCAGAGGAGACACTTTCGATAGTTGATGTTGAGCTGAGAGTTTAATACTGAGCCAATTCGTAATGATTGACTTTCCATTGCATTGGAAGGAGTGTTATTATTAATTTTTCGATTTCACCTATAGAAACTTATGGTTGAGCGTAGTTCGTATATCAAAATTTGATACTTCTACTACGAAATGGTGCAGAGGAGACACTTTCGATAGTTGATGTTGAGCTGAGAGTTTAATACTGAGCCAATTCGTAATGATTGACTTTCCATTGCATTGGAAGGAGTGTTATTATTAATTTTTCGATTTCATCTATAGAAACTTATGGGTGAGCGTAGTTCGTATATCAAAATTTGATACTTCTACTACGAAATGGTGAGGAGGAGACACTTTCGATAGTTGATATTGAGCTGAGAGTTTAATACTGAGCCAATTCGTAATGATTGACTTTCCATTGCATTGGAAGGAGTGTTATTATTAATTTTTCGATTTCACCTATAGAAACTTATGGGTGAGCGTAGTTCGTATATCAAAATTTGATACTTCTACTACGAAATGGTGCAGAAGAGACACTTTCGATAGTTGATGTTGAGCTGAGAGTTTAATACTGAGCCAATTCGTAATGATTGACTTTCCATTGCATTGGAAGGAGTGTTATTATTAATTTTTCGATTTCATCTATAGAAACTTATGGGTGAGCGTAGTTCGTATATCAAAATTTGATACTTCTACTATGAAATGGTGCAGAAGAGACACTTTCGATAGTTGATGTTGAGCTGAGAGTTTAATACTGAGCCAATTCGTAATGATTGACTTTCCATTGCATTGGAAGGAGTGTTATTATTAATTTTTCGATTTCATCTATAGAAACTTATGGGTGAGCGTAGTTCGTATATCAAAATTTGATACTTCTACTATGAAATGGTGCAGAAGAGACACTTTCGATAGTTGATGTTGAGCTGAGAGTTTAATACTGAGCCAATTCGTAATGATTGACTTTCCATTGCATTGGAAGGGGTGTTATTATTAATTTTTCGATTTCAACTATAGAAACTTATGGGTGAGCGTAGTTCGTATATCAAAATTTGATACTTCTACTACGAAATGGTGCAGAGGAGACACTTTCGATCGTTGATATTGAGCTGAGAGTTTAATACTGAGCCAATTCGTAATGATTGACTTTCCATTGCATTGGAAGGAGTGTTATTATTAATTTTTCGATTTCACCTATAGAAACTTATGGGTGAGCGTAGTTCGTATATCAAAATTTGATACTTCTACTACGAAATGGTGCAGAGGAGACACTTTCGATAGTTGATGTTGAGCTGAGAGTTTAATACTGAGCCAATTCGTAATGATTGACTTTCCATTGCATTGGAAGGAGTGTTATTATTAATTTTTCGATTTCATCTATAGAAACTTATGGGTGAGCGTAGTTCGTATATCAAAATTTGATACTTCTACTACGAAATGGTGCAGAGGAGACACTTTCGATAGTTGATATTGAGCTGAGAGTTTAATACTGAGCCAATTCGTAATGATTGACTTTCCATTGCATTGGAAGGAGTGTTATTATTAATTTTTCGATTTCACCTATAGAAACTTATGGGTGAGCGTAGTTCGTATATCAAAATTTGATACTTCTACTACGAAATGGTGCAGAGGAGACACTTTCGATAGTTGATGTTGAGCTGAGAGTTTAATACTGAGCCAATTCGTAATGATTGACTTTCCATTGCATTGGAAGGAGTGTTATTATTAATTTTTCGATTTCATCTATAGAAACTTATGGGTGAGCGTAGTTCGTATATCAAAATTTGATACTTCTACTACGAAATGGTGCAGAAGAGACACTTTCGATAGTTGATGTTGAGCTGAGAGTTTAATACTGAGCCAATTCGTAATGATTGACTTTCCATTGCATTGAAAGGAGTGTTATTATTAATTTTTCGATATCACCTATAGAAACTTATGGGTGAGCGTAGTTCGTATATCAAAATTTGATACTTCTACTACGAAATGGTGCAGAAGAGACACTTTCGATAGTTGATGTTGAGCTGAGAGTTTAATACTGAGCCAATTCGTAATGATTGACTTTCCATTGCATTGGAAGGAGTGTTATTATTAATTTTTCGATTTCATCTATAGAAACTTATGGGTGAGCGTAGTTCGTATATCAAAATTTGATACTTCTACTACGAAATGGTGAGGAGGAGACACTTTCGATAGTTGATATTGAGCTGAGAGTTTAATACTGAGCCAATTCGTAATGATTGACTTTCCATTGCATTGAAAGGAGTGTTATTATTAATTTTTCGATTTCACCTATAGAAACTTATGGTTGAGCGTAGTTCGTATATCAAAATTTGATACTTCTACTACGAAATGGTGCAGAGGAGACACTTTCGATAGTTGATATTGAGCTGAGAGTTTAATACTGAGCCAATTCGTGATGATTGACTTTCCATTGCATTGGAAGGAGTGTTATTATTAATTTTTCGATTTCACCTATAGAAACTTATGGGTGAGCGTAGTTCGTATATCAAAATTTGATACTTCTACTACGAAATGGTGCAGAGGAGACACTTTCGATAGTTGATGTTGAGCTGAGAGTTTAATACTGAGCCAATTCGTAATGATTGACTTTCCATTGCATTGGAAGGAGTGTTATTATTAATTTTTCGATTTCATCTATAGAAACTTATGGGTGAGCGTAGTTCGTATATCAAAATTTGATACTTCTACTACGAAATGGTGCAGAAGAGACACTTTCGATAGTTGATGTTGAGCTGAGAGTTTAATACTGAGCCAATTCGTAATGATTGACTTTCCATTGCATTGAAAGGAGTGTTATTATTAATTTTTCGATTTCACCTATAGAAACTTATGGTTGAGCGTAGTTCGTATATCAAAATTTGATACTTCTACTACGAAATGGTGCAGAGGAGACACTTTCGATAGTTGATGTTGAGCTGAGAGTTTAATACTGAGCCAATTCGTAATGATTGACTTTCCATTGCATTGGAAGGAGTGTTATTATTAATTTTTCGATTTCATCTATAGAAACTTATGGGTGAGCGTAGTTCGTATATCAAAATTTGATACTTCTACTACGAAATGGTGAGGAGGAGACACTTTCGATAGTTGATGTTGAGCTGAGAGTTTAATACTGAGCCAATTCGTAATGATTGACTTTCCATTGCATTGAAAGGAGTGTTATTATTAATTTTTCGATTTCACCTATAGAAACTTATGGTTGAGCGTAGTTCGTATATCAAAATTTGATACTTCTACTACGAAATGGTGCAGAGGAGACACTTTCGATAGTTGATATTGAGCTGAGAGTTTAATACTGAGCCAATTCGTAATGATTGACTTTCCATTGCATTGGAAGGAGTGTTATTATTAATTTTTCGATTTCACCTATAGAAACTTATGGGTGAGCGTAGTTCGTATATCAAAATTTGATACTTCTACTACGAAATGGTGCAGAAGAGACACTTTCGATAGTTGATATTGAGCTGAGAGTTTAATACTGAGCCAATTCGTAATGATTGACTTTCCATTGCATTGAAAGGAGTGTTATTATTAATTTTTCGATATCACCTATAGAAACTTATGGGTGAGCGTAGTTCGTATATCAAAATTTGATACTTCTACTACGAAATGGTGCAGAAGAGACACTTTCGATAGTTGATGTTGAGCTGAGAGTTTAATACTGAGCCAATTCGTAATGATTGACTTTCCATTGCATTGGAAGGAGTGTTATTATTAATTTTTCGATTTCACCTATAGAAACTTATGGTTGAGCGTAGTTCGTATATCAAAATTTGATACTTCTACTACGAAATGGTGAGGAGGAGATACTTTCGATAGTTGATGTTGAGCTGAGAGTTTAATACTGAGCCAATTCGTAATGATTGACTTTCCATTGCATTGGAAGGAGTGTTATTATTAATTTTTCGATTTCATCTATAGAAACTTATGGGTGAGCGTAGTTCGTATATCAAAATTTGATACTTCTACTATGAAATGGTGGAGAGGAGACACTTTCGATAGTTGATGTTGAGCTGAGAGTTTAATACTGAGCCAATTCGTAATGATTGACTTTCCATTGCATTGGAAGGAGTGTTATTATTAATTTTTCGATTTCATCTATAGAAACTTATGGGTGAGCGTAGTTCGTACATTGAAATTTGACACTTCTACTACGAAATGGTGCAGAAGAGAAAATTTTGATTTTTTGACAAGATTGATCTCTCTATATACCAACAGTATGTCTGGGTCTACGAAAATGTATTGAAGGATGTTTGAATATTTCTACCCTACCTTCTTCTGGTACGTTTGGTGTTATGTTGTGTATATCATCCCAGACTGATATTAGCTGCTTGCAAGCAGCTATGTGAATGCATGGTGGATGACTCGCGTTTATTTGTTCAGAAAATTCTAAAAGTTAAAAAAATTTGTTGTTGGAAATTTTAGTAGTGATGCACGTTTCTCAAACTGGAAACGGGAGCGCAGAAGCGTGGGGTCGAGGGGGCTTATTCCTTTATTACTTGTAAAAACTTAAACTCTAAAATAAGCTATGTTTGTGTTTGGTTTTTAGCATGTTATCCCCTCCAAAAAAAGGTTTTATAGACTCTCCAATCCTCCAATCAAAGCACCGCGGTCCCTGAAACAAAATCATTAAAAATATCAGCGATAGGACCCCTACTTTTTTGAAGTTCTAAGGGAAATAGAGAAGTGGCTCGAAGCAACTATGGTTGATGTAAGCGTAATTTTATATAATAAGCGATTGACCTTAAGCATGGTCATCGGATTGGTGCATTGGCACAGGTTTTTGTCCAATTCGTGCATTTTACATGTAGACATTTAGTGAAAAGCTAAAGGACCGTCCCATAAAAGTATAGATATAAGGAAGCATGAATAAATATGCGGTAGGGCATTAAATCAAATTTCTTCTTCACAAGCCAAATAACCAATTTTCTTGAAAAAAGACTAGCAAGTCGGAAAACACAGTAAAAGTATACTGCTTCTTTGGCGATTTTCTTGAGAAATCCGTAGGCTGAAAATAGCAAAGAAAATAAGACCTGTTTAACTGTATATTTGATCTGAATCTTGAGTCTAGGTGCGATGTAGTGTATGGCCTGTTTAGGTCTTTTCAGTAGTTGAGCATTTTAATTCCCCCTTTCTTGCCTGACAGACATTTGATTCCCGCTGGATCTGAGTCGGAAACTTGACCAACTGAGCTATAATTGCTCAGAATCTGTCAGAGTCAGATCCAGACTCTAGTGGAATACAATTACTTTACTGGTGGTCCAAATCTCTTTCAACTTCCAATGATTGCATGGTTTAGGAGCTCTTTGGAATCATTTTGTATAAAAGTAAAGCCACTATTGCCGGGGTTTGAAAGCAAAATACCTACAGTGCCCGCCAGAAGTCTTAGAACACCGAAGAATTTTTCAATTGTCGTGCCTCACCCCAAACAATTTTATTTCACTGCTGATATATCACAACACTGATTGTATAAGCGCTTAAAATTGTTGTAGAAAGCCAAAATTACAATTTCAATTACAAGAGTAAAGCATAGTGACTATTATTAATTGAGCTGACCAGCAATAACTTGACTGGGAATATGCTTATTCATCATTTTGGTGTATATCATCCTGGTATCATCACAGGTGCATGAATATATCCAACAACATCCATCTTGGAGACAAAAAACTTCTCTTTTCACGAACTGGAACGCCTTATTCTGAAAAGAAATTTTCATAAATAAAAATTCTTTTGCACTCTTATTTGCATTCTATCTTCTTATCAACTCTTATGAGTACTATATGAAAGCCAAATGTCTATAAGGTTAACAAACATGCTTCCTCCTTTTCAGGCAGTTACATGTCGTTTCAACCTACTTTTAAAAGGGGCTTCTACTTTCATATTTAGGATCACTAGAGTTACAAATTAACCAAAGGTTAAAAAACATTAGAAAAAACTGATGCTTAATGTTTAAAAAAAATTTCCTTTAATTTTTTATCTTTTACTTAATTATTTAAATATTTTTATTTATTATTACTTATTTTAAACATTTCACAAGCTAATAGTGTTCTCCTCTCCATACGATAGTTGGTAGTCTCATATTATTTTCCCTTTCAATGATCAACCCCTACTCCGAAAACTTTTACTCAAACAGCCAGAGTTCGCCCATGTAACGGATTTCACTTGTGCTGCCAAACATGAAAAGTCACGTTTTACGTGCGGTTTTTATTTTTGATTTCAATCAGGTATTATTTACACTTTCATAGCTAACATTGATATCTGAATATATTTTCGGTTAAGAGACCAAGCTTTTATAATTGAATCAAACAAACGAAGAGATTTATATCGCAAAATAAATTCGCTGTCATAGACAAATGGTACCAGCAAATAAATCAAAGAGGAGCACCTCTAGATAAAGAGAGTCGCAGTGAAAATAGGTTACTAGCTTGGCTCTGCTTCACTTTTACTTACGCTGCTAATGTCTAGATGCGGTACCTTTGCAGGTTTGGAGTCATCAAGCTTACGGACCCAACATTTTGCAGACAGGCACCGCGGAGCAGGGAGGGGGCTAGGGGGCTTTTTGCAAGAAATGCCAAATATCAAGTAATAAACTACCAGTAAAGCCTTTTTTATACAGTTTTAGCCCCCCCCCCACTTTTTTAAAACCCTCCACCTTTCTCAACGCTTCGCGGTGCCTGGCAGATTCATAAAAACTAGCAGCAGTCTTCATTATTTCTTCCTTTTAATTTGGGATCCACAATTTGTCGTTTAAGTCGATTATTATGAGATCTTCCAGTGTCTTATGTGGCAATGAAAGACGCTTGTCTGATATGTTTGTGAAAAAACAGTAATTTGATAAATGCCAAGTGTTATGTGGTTTGTCAAATTTTTCGGATCGTACCACTTCATCTTGTTGATCACACAAAAATTCATGCCTGCAAACCTTGTCTGCAGTAAGGTTTCAACATGGTTAAAAACCTGACGTTTGTTTGATGATGCCTGACGTCTGTCACTCTGGTTGAAATTCATGTTGAAATTCGTACTGTGGAAAATACTTTCATACAAAAAACGAGGATAATAGGTGCGTTCACCTACCTGATGCTTTGATATGAAAGTTGTGCCATCAATGAAAGCCAACATATCATTTAATGCAGTTCTCTTCAAATGACTCTTGGCACTATTTTATGTTTTCTACAAATTTGGCACCTTATACATGCAGTTACCTTAACCACATATATTTATTCCGTCCTCCTCTGCCGTTTTGGGCAAAATACTGAGCTTTCCCCATGAAATGAAGGCTGAAAATTCAATTTTGTTGCTTTTCTTGCTAGACATTTAGAAAACTGAGGTTTTTTCATTTACTTACTTGTTCACTCACTTATTTGTACATAATGTTCACATTACTCAACCTTTTTGCTTCATCAAACTTGCATAATTTTCATATACTAAAGACTATCAAATTTTGCACTTTCAATCTTTAAATAGCAACTACTCATGAAACCGGTCAAACCTAGTGATATAAACTGAAACGAATGTCCTGTAGAACATTTGAAATTCAACCAAAGGTAATGTCATTAGCACAGGCGATTTCTCAACAGAAAACGATGTGTATTCCCATGGTTTTATCCTCATGCCTTAAACACTTACACTTGTGTAGTATGGCCACTGTGTGTCTCCAGGTAAGGGTTGAATGATCTTGACAAAAAAGAACTTCTAATGAAATTTATCAGACAAAGCCTTCACATTTATCATTACCTTCAAAATATTCTTTTCTGCGTCAAAATCTTTGAGTAGAAATTTGGAGTATGCATCATCAACAGACACCATCGCTTGTGTTCGAAGAATGTTAAAAATATAAACTTGTTCCTTAGTTGAGGAGACCTGAAATTGATATTTATTGTAAAAAAATTTTCCTATATTCATTATTTCCATGCTATCTGCATGTAAATTCAGACTTTTGAATAATATCATGAAAAATGAGCATAAGATACAACATCAGAACCAGGTTTTAAATACAACATACATTAACCAGATATAACAATTTACCTTGAAAGACCCATAAACACTTTGATGATTTTGCTAAAAAAAGAATATTTTTTACAAAAAAGAAATATCATAAACTAATAATGAGGATAAAGTGTGACAAAATCTGGAGAAAATAAAGATAAACCTTATCAGATTAGTAAAAGAGATATAAGTAACACTTGTCAAGTTGTATTGTGTCTATACCACAATATTTACATGAATTACACTTAAAATGTGAATTGAATATAGCCATTGTGTAAGAAAAACTAGAAATGTTGTTTATGTAAAACTATTTGCCTATGTGCATGCATTGAAAAACTTGATTTTGCTATAGTTTATTAACTCCCTCAAATGTGAAGAAATAAAAGTTGGACTTATCATTCAAGATACCCCCAATTGACTTTAAAATCTTGGCTTAAAAGAAGAGATTGTAAAGGAAGAAGCTAGGAAAAATAAGGAGCAAAATTTTTCTTTCTCATATATAAGAGGTTATTGACTAAAGCCAATTTGACTTAAGCAAATTGTCTTTAAGGAAAGGAAATTCCTAGGTAACACCTGCTCATCGTAAAATTCAAACTGGTCAATTTCATCATCTGCGTGTATATCATTAGCTTCATCTTCTGATTCCTCCTCAAAGTTTATGTCTGTGTATGTACAAATGAAATTTATATAGTGTTCATTCATTAAACAAGAGATAATTTATTTAAACTGCAACAAAATAAACTTAAGGAAACATTTTTTCAAATTGCATTGTGTCAATGCGGAATGACTTATCAGAGACCATACTATAAGTACAGTTGTCCCTTTCAAGGCTAGACTGCAGTTTAGCAACCCACTATTTGTTTCCTGGTCAAGAGTTTAATTGGTTAATAATGTGAGCAACAGTGAGATTGGAAATTTGAAGAAATGAAGACATTCATAACTGGATATGGAGTAACAGGCCTCTCCGTGAGCATTTTAGCAGGCGCATGCTCAAACACACGCCTCGCCTTGCTAAGGTGTGCGTTTTACCAAAAAAATATATTTACGTTAAAGTAGGCAAGAACGGCATTTTTTCGCATGTAAATACTTTGTATCTAAAAATAACTAAACAAACTACTTAATAGAGCACTAAAAGCAAAAAAACACATTATTGTTGCCGGTCGTCAATGTCTAGCTCAAATTCCGATGAAATCAAAGTCAGAAGAAGTGGAAGAATCAAAATTTGTTCCATTGACGTACGATTCAATTGCTTTCCTGGCACTTCCTTTACAAACAGGATTTTATAAAATAACGCTTTTGTGTTTTGAGCAAACTTTACACCAAATCAAAACCATCATTGTCTTCCCATTCAATTTTTCAGTCTTTGATTCGATTACTTCGTCCTTGCGATACTTGTGAAAAGTAGATAGCTCTATGGCTTGACCCTTTGAATTACTGGCCATTTAAAAACTTCTGTCGTGAAAAAGGAGCGAAAAGAAGCACAAGTCTGTCTCCATGCACATGTATGAAAGAATGAATGAGTAAAGTTGCGTGACTGTGTATAATAATTGTTCAAAACCAAAACACAAGGAGCGCGATTTAAAGGGTTCTTATAAATCGGAGTTTAGGGGCGGTAGCCCCCAAAACAGCAAAAAAATCAAAGGCAAACTCATCCAAACTGATTTTGAAACTGATTTTGAAACTGATTTATAGCTGCAATTGTACGAGAGTGAATCCTTGACTAGTTGAACATCTGAGATTCAAACTTTTTTATTGTTTCAGAAACCAGGCTAGATCAAATGGTTTGTAATCTAATTCAACTTCCGACCAGGGAACAAAAAAGTGGGTCGCTAATGTGCAGTTGTCCCAATTTCAAAAAGCAACTTGACCTGATTTGAAGGGACCAGCCACTTAAATTTGATACATTATATGCCCCAGTAAACATGTCCTTGCATGTCTGTTTTAAATTAGCCTAGAAAGAGCATCCAGTGGATGAAATTTTCAATGATCAACAAACATTGTTTGATAAATATTTCACAAAATAATTGAATATATTCATTAACATATTAACACTTAATTGAATTGAATATATTCATAAACATAAAAACTTCTAAATCTACCGATGCAGCTGCACTCATCAGGATTCGAACCCAAATCTTTTCTCAGTAACTGAGAAATGTGCTTTCCAGTTGCACCACGAGTGCCTTGTTATAACTGCATTCGGTAGCTGATAATAATAGCCCAGTCTGCAGAGTATATGGCAGTTCTCAACGAGATCTCGTCCGTGCACAGTCACTTCAAGCATGTTCACAACCACTCTTTATTATTCAAAGAAGGTTTGAAAAGAAGGTTTTCATAATAGCACTGTTTGTATAAATATTTGGAGTGCATCACTACATTACTGCTGGCCTCGCGCTTGTTTCTGCCATACTATGCAGACGGGAAGCTAAGCAAACACACCTCAGATTACTCTAGCAACCAAAAAAGACAGGTCACGCAAAGATTGACAAAATTCTAAAAAACTTTCCAACCTGTCTGCATCAGTTCTGTGTCAGTTTGAGTCTCTTCTACCTCTGGTATTGGGCCTTTCTTTTTCTTCACGTAAGGCCGGGGTCTGCGTCGATTACTTTTTATTCGCGATGGGTTATGAAAAGATTCGGGCCTTACTACAACTTCATTAGAACCATTTAAGTGAAAATCTGGTACCCCTACTTGTAGAGTCCTCAACTTTTGCTCAGCTGCTTCGATCTTTCTCTTCAAATCGTACTTTCGAGCATCCATTTTTTAGATTCTAAAAATATCACGTACATTATGTCTCAGCCTCGTAAAAGCAAAGAAAATGGAAGGAAGAAACTGAAAACGAGGATTTTTCGTTCGTACTTGACCAAATTTTGATATTTTTGATACCTGGGTGCCAGACAAGGCATGTTGTTGTAGTTGCCACATGGGGTCGCACAGGGAACACACAGTGCATGTTCTTTCAAGTTCTCCCCAACGAATAATAACTATTTACTAAGATGGGGCGTGAAATTACAGTATACACGAAGTACTTTCTAGCCAGGGGCTATTGGAATGATACATCTCAAAAGACGCTAATGTCCAATTTTGCCAGCTGCCGAGACGATTTTTTATAACCTTAACTTTACCCTTTTAAATAAATTTATTGCTACATAGTACTGCTAAACTTTGCCAGGTAATAAAAAGGCCAGAAACTGCCTAAAAGTACCACGCGATTTACTAAGAGAACTTAGATATAGAAATGGAAGTGAGATAGTGAAGTGAGTGAGAAGTCGTATATAAATGTAGCTTATTCGTTTTGTTGGAAACGTAGCAACTATTTACATGAATGAACCAAACGTCACACCATGTAATGACATGATAAAAACATTTTGTGACAGAGCTAGCCTATTAAAAATGTCCTAAAAGCTCTATCGGTTTAGAGATCCGATATCAGCAGTGGACAAGTCCAAAGAAAACAATTTTTACTTCCAGAATTTTCGATAAAATTGTGCTTTATTGAGGCTTTCTCTTTGTACGCCTCGTGTTTTTTCCCAACTTTGATTTATTAACAAATGTGCTTCTCGTGTTGATTTGGAAATGAATCTCTGTGAATAATAGCCAGCCGTTTAAGTGCAGCATATAGAACAAATTGTATACAAACAGTAGAGGTTTTTCAATTCATTGAAAAATGTTTCAATTGTGTTTTAATTTGCGTTCCTGGATTTGAACATTAAAAATGTAACTGGAACTTTCATCATGTCTGATGAGATACAGTACTTCGTGCAACCGATGGAAGCCTCTAGTTATTGCGAACTAAAAGTTTGGGCGTTTGGAATACTCCCTGCAAAACGAACCCTCGGTTTAGTGAGCTCATGCAATTATGAATGAGATATTCTGTCAAACCTTTAGAATTTTAATCAAAGCAAGTACAGGTCAAGTACTGCTGAAACAAGCTATCTTTCTTGCATGAAGAAGAGGCAGTATAAAATATTTCTTTATTGACGACAAGCGTTGATTAAAGGGAAAGTTTAAAACGGGATATCATTTAAAAAGGGCAATTTACGGCGTTCACTCTTTAGCGTTTCATTTTCATTCATTAGATTGACTATATCGTAGATACATGGATCAAATAGAAGTAAGCGAAGGGTTTCTTAAATATCCTGACTGAATTCTACCCTATTGTTGGTCATACATGTTGTAAACAACTGTTCGTAGATTCGTCTAGGCGTTTGCAGTTGAACGTTAAAAAGAAAGGGGTCTTTATTTCACTGATATATGCATTTTGGAAAGGATGTTGAAAAAACCAGGGACACTACACTCACTTTTTTTAAGAAACAAAGTTCGATGTTGAGTACTCCAGTTTCTTAATGTTTTTGAAATTTCAATACTCATTGTTTCTTAAGAGTTTCTTAATTATGATGTCATGAATGATGTTGTGAAATGTTCATGACCTTTTTTATCACATCAAGAGATTCGCTTCCGTTCCGATGCTGTATTTAGATGTGGGAAGCATATTTTTACCCCTTGTGTCTTAATTTCTAGGCCAACAGGGCAATCTTGTTCTTGGATTTTACAAAATTTTGTTGTTCTCAGTTTTATCACGATTCGATAGTTTCTTGATTTTTTGCTTCGATTATTAAAGTTTCTTGTTTTTTTCTGACTGTCCAGTACTCGTTTCTTACAGCCAGTTTCTTATACAAAAATGAATGTTTTTGTTTTGGATTAAGTGGTTTGAGAAATTTGGTTGCTGTTGCTTGGTTCTGTTTAAGCTTCTACTTGTTATGGAAAATCAGACATTTTAAACGCTGTTTCAATTCTAGGCCTGTAACACAAAGATTAAATTCCTGTAAAGTTCTTTGCATTTGTTCTAAGAAAACAAATTAATATTTTCTTTGCGGAAGTTTTCAAGAAATTTAGAGGACTGCAATCTGTGATAAGAAAAGAGCAGTCTGACTTGAATAAGCATGTGTATTTATAAATTTAGTAGCAAAAACATTTACAATAGCAATTGACCAAAAATTGCAATAAAGTTCACCATGCGAGTATCAGCCATGAATTGCTGGTTTGATGATTATTTGGTTTTCTGATGTCAGTTGAACAACAACAACAGCAGCAATCCGATTCCTTTATCCCACAATGCCTTATTTCTTCGGAAGTGGCAACTACAAAAATGAATCGTATGAAGATTTAATTGCAATTGGAAACTGTTAATTTGCATAAATGTCTTCCGCACTTTAAGAAAAGAGTAGCAGTAACCAGACTGAGTAAAAACGGTTTTAAATGATAAAGAACATGCTTTGGCAGGTAAATAACTTCAGGGACAGAGAGCTTACGAAATTCCATCTGAAAAGATATTACATGCCTCAATAAATCTTGAACTGAAACTTTTTTAGAATGAAAAGGCTGTGGTTGTGGAATATTCTTTTAGGGATATGATTCAACGTCCTTACTCTTTTATATACAGCCATTTTGCTTAACTGTTGCATTCCCGACAAAACTGGATAATAAATGTGAGAATCTCACCTTCCATTCGGAGCATTCTCGCACTATATGCTCTTCACGGGAAGAAAATTGTAAAAGATGAGCTATGACACCAATCAGCTGTCGAGACTGAAATATTAAAGAAGTCTAGTTTAGATCAAAAATAACAGTTTTAAAAAACAGAAAATAATATAGATAAAAACTATTGAAAGACAAATAATAATGCTGATAAGATCACAAATTTGAGCACTCACCCAAACAAAAAAGTCCCGTGCTGATATGAAAATGATTAATTTGCAAATATTGCAAAAAATTGTCTAAAAGTCGCATCACTTTTGATTATAATCACAAAAAATCATCATGTTTCGAAATTCTAAAAGTTGGCTGAGTTGTTTTGAATGATGTGCGCCGGCAGGTATTTTTAAGCTTTTGTTGAATGCATTAGACAAATCATAAAAATTCCACTCACCTGGTCATTGGTACTGCACATGTATTTTAAAACGACGTGTTTGAGATATCTCAAAAGTATTAAAGATCGACACACAACAGCGAAACAAGTAAAGCATATAAGGGAATATTAGCTTTTTACGTCTTAAAGATAAAACTACTTGAACAAAATGGTCACGGGTACAGCAAATGCACAACGTTTATGTGGGCTTAGTAAAGATCTTCTCTATATATCATTTCTTGATTGAGATAGAATTGTCTGAATCAGGCACCGCGCACCATTCTAAAAATGGGTGGGCTTAAAAGGGCGTGACCGAGAATTTTTGAGGTTACGCCGTTTAGAACGCCGGAAACGCGCCTTTTAAAGAATATTTGCTTCTTTCCACTTTTTTTATATAAGCAGTTTATTTCAGAGAAAATAACAATTACTATAAAGATTTAACAATGTAAGACACTAAGAAAATAAACAAAAATGGTTTCCTAATCAAGACAAACTGCTACTACTACTTGGGATCCGATAGAGTAAGTTTTCCAAAGTTGTGTTAGAGTAAACTTTTTAAAAATTTCTAACCCATTATTGCAAAAACGTGGGGGGCTATAGCCCCTGCTAGCTCAATGGCTGCGCGGTGCCTGGTCTGACTGCAGCCTGAAATGTGATAACGTTGTCTGATTATGGGGTCTATAGTCCTCCAATTTAGTATGTATCCAGCACCTATAACGTGAATAGTGGTCAATTGGAATGAATTGCAAACTAAATACAATGATACAGAAAGTTTGACTGAAGCAATAACGAACTAAGCAATAAACTGACAAGGATACTTGAAGTTGACTTCCAGGGATTCTCCATTTTCACTCTTGTCTTTAATAACATGTGATCCATTTGCAATGTTTAAATTGGCTTCTTCTGTTTTAAATTTCTGTATAAATAACATTTTAAAGTTACTTTTTATGCAAACAATAGGAAAGAAAGAATGCTGTTACCTTCAGCTATTTAAAATATTCAATATTTTTGGAAAAATACGTTTTTTAAAGTATTTTGATCATATCAACACAATGTTTCAAAGTTTACGAAATTTCTTGAAACGATCTTGATTATCAAACTCTTTTTTCCAAGCTAACTAGAGTTAAAATGTGTAAGAATGTGTAAAAATGCAAAAAATGCAAAAGTGCAAAAATGTGTAAGAAATTTTGCTAACCAGTTCTTTCTGGAATGTCTTTTTGAGGTCCAGGAACTTTTGTTGTTGGGTTGTTAATTTCTGAAATTGAATCATATACGATTAATCTGTTGGTAATCATTACATTGATTTGACGATTAAGAGTGTTGTGACAACAGATTTTCTAAGTTGCAATGAAGGGAATTCTTTGCCAATTCTAGTTCAGGTTTTTGGCAGAGAAAAAGAAAAGAGTTTCCCTTCAAAATAGGTGAGACACTTGTATCCTTGTTGTAAGGGCCTCTCCAACAAAACCTCTGGTCTGGTGTCACTGTGAAGTAAATTTGACATAGTACTTCACATCAACTTGCCTACGTGTGTAAATGGAACTGACAGGGTCATGAACGTGGAATTGATTTTTTAGTTAAAAAACTATTTCATAGACAAAGAATCAAGATTAAACCAAAATTGCGGTTTTCAAGAGTTACAATAAGGTGTATCATGATTTTCTTGCAAGAAAGCAATTGATTCATAATGTACGCTTTCGTTTTACCAAGAAAATGAATGCTTCACTTTGAAAAAAGTTAAATCAAAATACCGACACTCACTTTTTTCGATTCATCTAGCTCAGCTTCTAACGATTTATTTGCAATTCGAAGTTCTTCAATCTGAAGGAAGAATAAAAATATTGAAAATACCATCAAAAACACACACAATTGCTCTTTCAATTGAAATATTTCAAAAGCAAATTTGGATGAGAAGAAAGAAAATTACCTCACTCGACAGCTCACTCTCGACATGTCCATTTCCTTGTATCTCATTATGGGCCTAAATTTGATAAACAAACTCTTGCTTCACCAATTGCCAAAAGAATATATTTATAAATAAAAAGATAAACTTCGAGAGCAAAATGCACATAAATTTGCTAAGAGTTTATTCTGTTAATACGTAGGTAGTTTTCAACAAAAAAGGAAGCCATTTCTACCAGAAACGTGAACAAATACAGCAATAGGACTGTCCTATTATGGGCTTTGTCTAGAGATTGCTTCTTGGCGTTTACAAAAGTTTCTGAGACAGAACTATGTACCATCACTTTTGAGGTGTCTATTATCAGAAGTAATTTGTTAACAAAGGCTTATTTTTAATCTGACAACGAAACAAAGATCTTAAGAAAAGAAGATTTAAGAATTCCAAAAAATATCTGTCCAAAACATGTATGTTCTACAGAGGAGGCCCTCCCAGATTTGAACTGCAACAAATCAAAACAATTTCCAATATTATTAATGTAATATCTTTATACAGATGCTTCGAATTTATAATTCTGAATATTTAGACCTGTCTCTCCGCTAGTTCTAGTTCCAGTTCTCGGTTGCGGGCAGTTAGTCTTGCTACAGTCTTCTTCATATCTGCGGATTAAGTTTGATAATTATATTAGATAACATCTTTCATTTAGTTAAAAAGCATATGAAGTCAATTCAACACAATAATTTTATATTCTACTTTGAACCCTTAAGAGGGACCATCTCAGATATTTTCTCTCATATTCAAAAATATTATAGAATTTCTTTCTACTGCTCTGGAAGTTTCAAACTTTAAGTTCGGTTTATCATTTGGGAGAAAGTATTTTGATGAAATCATGCAACGGATGTAAGCTGGTAGAATATTCACTTGTAATAGTTGCTTTACTAAACATGAAGATTGTCATCAGAACGTAGAAGAAGAGGAATCCGTTTTTGCAAAAGTTGAAATTATTCTTTGAGGAAAAAAGGAATCAAAATCAATATTCTGACAAAATATTACAATTTTTGATATTGAATGAATGAATAGGAATTTGGAAATGCATTTATTTTACGTTACCATGGGAATCATGATGTCCTTTTCTTCTATGGGGACTTGCTAATTTGTTGTTTTCTTCGAAATCTTTTATCTTTTCGGAAAGAGAAACAATTAAAAATCAAATAATAATTAATAAACACAAAGAAAAATAACATTTAAAACAAGTGCAAAAAAGTCAGTTTAAAGTCATTGATGTTGAAAATTTACCCTTTCTTGGCAAGATGCTAGAGATTTTTCTCGTTCTTTTAACAAATTTCGCAGCTCTGATATTTCACTTTCTCTGCAAAATTAAAAAAAACTATAAATCAAACGAATTTGTCTAATAAGGGTTGTTTAAGAAAATGTGGTACAAATACAACGATGATACAACTAAGAAAAAAGAGTGAGTTAACTTCTCAAATCATATGTCAAAGAATTGCTCTCAAATTGGAAGTTTTGTTAGAATAAGTACAGTATAATACAGTTATTCTAAAGCAATGATTATTACTCAGTGGAATTTATTATGACATGTAAACTTTAGAACATTTACTTGTCTTTGGACTTTTGTAAAATAACAACTAACCTATCCATCAATGCACGTTCGCTGTCTTCTAGATTCGCCTGTTCAAACAAACAATACTAATTTTTCACACTTACTTAATTATATATTTCTATCTATATTTATCATACAACTATTGATTCAAGTAAGGGAAAGAAAAATATGCCACATGAGCTAAGAAGAAATCTCGTTTAAAGAATAGCAACAGATGATAGAACGAGATATAAATAACTCAATACAAATGGAAAATGTTTATACTGGTGATTTGGAATATAAGAATAAATATTTAACGCTCGATAAACGAAACATTGATGCTGTTAGGCCGCTTCAGAAATCATATAAAGATTTTAACAGCAAATCAAAAGCCAGGCTTTTGAAGCAATGAATACACTCATTTTTTTATAAGAAACTGGCTATAAGAAACGAGTACTGGACAGTCAGAACAAATCAAGAAACTTCAGTACTCGAAGCAAAAGAATTAAGAAACTATTAAATCGTGATAAAACTGAGAACAACGAAATTTTGTAAAATCCAAGAACATAATTGCCCTGTTGGCCTAGAACTTGAGACACAAGGAATAAAAATATACTTCCCACATCTAAATACAGCATCGAAACGGAAGCGAATCTCTTGACGTGATAAAAAGGGTCATGAACATTTCATAACATCATTCATGACATCATAATTAAGAAACTCTTAAGAAACTATTGAAATTTCCAGAACATTAAGAAACTGGAGTACTCAACAGCGACCTTTGTTTTTTATAAAAAAAATGAGTGTAGTGTCAATTCAAATACCCTCGTTTCCTTAAGTTCGTGCTGGTATAAACTGTCCATACTGGAGCTGCGAAAAAGCTCGTCTCTATCTTCGATCTAGAAAGATGCGGAGGGGCTTTATTAAATAAACATTACATGCCTCGCAAAGTGACAGAAAGTCAGCCTTCAGATGCAGGGACAAAAATCGAAATGACAAAAGATAGAAATGAAAATTAGAATAAGGCGCTATAATGTTTGATAGATTGGAAGAAGCTATCAACACATCCAATCTAACAAATCATATTTTCCAAATTTGATAACTTCTCTTTAAAATACCTATGTACAGAAGCAGTGGCGGCGCCAAGGGGTGGCATAGGGGGGGGAGTAATTACCTACCCACTTTTCTGAAAATATAGTCTATATATTTCTTCTAAAAATGGATTAAAAATCGCTGGGTAGGGGTAGATCAAGTTTCCCAAGGAAAGGGACGAATCACTGGAACGAGGCAAAAGAGGCGTGAACACACTGGTCACGCCCATTACCCTCCCACTCTGTAATAGCTGGTGCCGCCACTGTCAGAAGTGAGAATTTAACAATGCTATGATCTCATTCACACTACTAGGACAACAATATTGCAACACCTGTGAATGCGATTATTGGAGGATACCGCAATGCATACTTTTGTTGTCTGAATTAACTATTGTTGAATTTGAAGAACTTTGGAGAAAAAAGGAGATTTTTCCAAGCTTTCGTCAATTGCTTTCGTTTTAAATTTTGTTAACTTTTTCCTGTGGCCTCTTTTATCTGATTCTTTTTGCAAATCTTCAGGCTCTATTCTCGTAATTCCAATTTCTTGCAATTGCAATGTTTGTGCTCATAATTATTTCATTAATCAATAATTTTTGGAAGAAAATCCCCTTAAGTAACTATGTTGCTTTATTATCGCATAAATGACATAATTCGCCGTAGAGTTCTAAATTGTAAAAGTTCAGACATTTTGGGCGCCACTGTGACCGAGATTGTTCGATTTTTGAAGGGCTTAGATAAAATTCATGAATTGTTTACCATTCATATTTATATAAATAATCAACATCAATCAAGTATAACAATGCACAAACGCTTCAATGTATTTGAAATAAAGAAATACCTTATAATCACCCTCTTTTATATTTGATAACAATGTATCTTTTTGTTTAAGTGCTTCTTCAAGTGTCGAAATCTGCAAATAAGAAACATTAGGTAATCACTTGTCACTTGTGACAACGAATTCTCTGCTAGGGTTGAGCTGCCACAGCAAATATTTTAAGGCAAATATGATAATAAAACAAATTTGCATTCTCAGATCTTATCAAATTAAACTGAACAACTGCCTGTTATTTATAGATCTTGATGCTATTTGAAATGCTGTTCATGTTAATTTCTTTTTACCGATCTGTCACGAAGTGCTCATGCCTCTTAATACAGAGCTGTGCCGTAAATCCTCTAATTGGCCTCTTCTCGAAAAAGCCCTCCCCTCGAATAAGCCCCCACTCTAAAACTACAAAATGTCAATAGCCCCCCCCCCCTCGAATAAGCCCCTACTGCTACCGTATATTCTCGAATCGGACCCCTCAATTTGATGGTTTTTGCCATCTGAGGTTGCCTATGGCGTTTTATTGAATTACCACGACAAATTCGTACTTTTGGTAGTAATTGATTAAATGCTCATGAAGAAATTCCTACTAAAAAAAACAAGGTCTTTTAATGATGTCATCTTATTATCTACAATAATTTTGTAAGTCCCCCTCGTATAAGCCCCTCTCTCGAATAAGCCCTCGTCGAAAATTCGGGCTAATTCGAGGATTTACGGTACTTTGTTTTTGTGTGCAGAACAGAACGGTTCTACGTTGCAACTGTGAGTCTCAAGTTTAAAGCAAGCATAAAGCCACTATCAAACAATCTGTTAAATAAATGATCAATGAGAACCTGCTCCTTTTGAAACTGGCTTGCAAAATTCGAAACGGATTAATAAAACTGCTGCCAAGCGTTGTACAGAATGACTGAAATGCACAAATTTCTAGCAAGAACAAGAACGAAAGTAGTCACAAAAAGACATAGCAGAAATTGTGGGATTCCTAAACATGTTTGTGACAAACCTGTGTTTTCAATTCAGTTGTTTTTCGCAGTGCATCCTCTAAATACACAGATGCATTTTTACATTCACTTTCTTTGAGTGATAGCTCTGCCTAAATATGATCAAAGAAAATAAAATCAATTTTAGTAAATTGCTGAAGCTGAAAATAACAACTATTTTATTAAATTTATGTCTTAAACTTTAAAGAAAACATGTGATTGAAAGAACTGATCTCAAATCTGAAGCAGGATATTAAATTATTTTGAATCACCAATCCAATCAACTCGATCTTTCATCTTACAAGGAAAAATTTCAATGTTAAATTACAAATCAATAATTTTTCACTTCAAAAAAATGACTTAAATTGAGATGAAAAGAGATTTTGGATTAACATTAGTCCTTTAATTGCCGCAAACATTGCAATGTTGAAGTTAATAACAAACGAGCAAGCAATCAAAAGTACGTCAGGAAAAAACTTTCACTCTCATGAATTTTATTACGTTTTGCCAAAAAGGTAATAAAATAAACATTTTCCAGTTTGAAATATGATATAATCTTTTCTAGCTTTATTTATAAAAGATGAATCGTATATCTTATTCACTGAGGTTTGTGATAATAGGCTATATTACCTGTATCTGATCTTTCTCTTCCAAAATATGTTCTATTTTCTTTTGATATTGTCCTATTCTCTTCTCTTGCTCTTCCACTCGTGTTTCCATAGTCTCCTACAACAGATACAATTTATCATAGTGAAATGACTGAAGTTCAAATTCGTGTAAATGTTTAAAAGCCATGTATAGGAGACTGCCTTAAGGCACTCAGCGATGTCAAGAAATTGTTTTGCAGCAATCTCCGTTATTGCATATTTTATCTTGATTAAATACAGAGGTGGATGACGTAATGCTATTTTTGTGCTTTATTTTTAGCTTTCATCTTTATTCTTCCTGTAATCCTTATTGCTTTATGCACAGCTCATGAGCAAAGAGAACTGCGGTATGTAAATTACTCTGTTCCTGTAAACATTACATGTGACAAAAATATGGAAGAGGTTAAGTTTCGGTCCTGTTATATACAAAAATAGCAACACTGCTTAAATTTAGAAAGAAAGAGAGCTTTTATAGTACACAAGAATGATAATGTAGTCTTAGATGATGATGATAACGACAAACTTTATTACGTACCGTGTTTATTCTGTTTGAATGTTCGAATCTATATGAAATCTTCCTTATCTGAAATGAAGATAGTGAATGCCAAACTACAGACAAAACAGGAGACTTTCTATATAGAATAAGGTGATTCTCTCAACATGGATTGAAAACCTGTTGTTTTGTGTTGCCAAAAATTATATTGAGCATCGATACTCTTTTGCCTTTTATGTCAACATAAATAGTTCAGCAAAATGTCAAGATCGTCATCCATACATAAATCTGTACAAAATGAACTTTTTGAACTGTGTGGACCCGTAATTTGCTGATCTAGCCGCCCAAGGTACGATTTAAAGGTCAAGGAATATATACACCAATCAAATTGGGGGTGCTTGAGATTAAAATTCCATTTATCTCTTAGCAGATTTACATCAAGACGCCAAACTTCGGACTATGGACCCAAAACAACAAGTAATTGTGCAAACCGCAAACCTCTGATTGAAGATCTCGTATCTTTTCTTCAGATTTTGCTCGTTCATCTTCGGACCGCTTGTAAGCTTCTTTAAGCCGAGATTCTATCAGTTTGTTCTGATCATAAAAAAGAAATAAGCATGAAAACGCTTCGTTTTCAAAGGCATTTATCATACTCAATAAAATGGAGCAACAAGCTTCTGAAAAGCAAGGAAATATGGCAATCAATTATCAGCAGTTCTTCAATAATTATTACACCCCAGCATCAAGAAATTTCTTTTAGACTTGTAACAAACCTCCTTTCTATTAAAACAAAATTATTTTCAAAGGAGCTTTTATTTTCAAAATTTGGCCACAAAATTTTGCATGAGCTAAATACATTGATTAAAATAGAAAATTATAATCGTTTTGCTAACTTGAGCTTCTAGAAACCCTGCTCTGTCACTTGAAACCTCAAGTTCGGCTTTTTCTTCCTTCACAGATTTCAATTGGCGCTCAAGTTCTGTTACCTGGCAACGAAATACAAAACATAAGTAAAAAGAAATATTTTATTTGTATCCAAAAAACAGTCTTTAAATCAATTAATGGTGAATCGACAATAACGGAGTGGCAGAAATTGTATTCCAAAGGACGTTGGCTTCAGTGATTTTACCGCCCCCCCCCCCTCTCTCTCTCCCCAAAATAAATGGTTTTGCAAATAAATAAAGATTAACATAACATGATTAAACCTTCTTCTTTTCAAAGAAAGGGATAAAAATTATACTTATGTAAATTCAAATGATCCTTTACATATTGCATTAGGAAAGAAGAAATCTTGAACGAAATCAGAAACCAACAAAATCTTGCTAAAGATTCAATGCAAATTCGAAACAGATTCCAAACACTGCACAGCCTAAAACTTGTGAGATCATGTTATTCTGTAATTTTAAATTGTCATTGAATCGACATATTTTCATATTTGCAAAAAAATTAATCAAACGTTGCTCGTTACATAAGAGTTGGTAATCGTATATAGGAAAGTTATGGCCATCAAGAATAGGACCAATTTCGCTTTTCTTTGCATAACATTAATATGGCAGCATTTCTCTGCAGCTTGCGGGCCTACAAGCCTTCGATCTGTTCGGCTCATTCCGCTACGTTAACAGCGTACATCCTTTTTATATTTTCTCAACTGCTATCGCAAACCAAGGACACAAAAAAGTTATCATTTTTGCTTTATGTGATATCAACAGCTCATTTGTAAATGAATTTTTTCCGCAAACCATATTTCATTTGATTTGTCAGCAAGGCAATCGCCAATCGACCAGGAAAAATCTTATATTTCATCACTGAGAAACGTTTAACATACAAAATGGATAACTTAACATATGGAATCAGGACGCGAAAGTAGACAGAATAGGTTGTTTGTTATTCCTTGTGTCTTCTCTCGCGTACTGATTGCTCCTCTAGCGTACTGCTTTATCACATGATTTATGATCACCTTTGTTCAACCTTTCTGGATTTATAGTTGTTTTTTTCGCCAGTAATTATACAATGAAGATGACTCTAGCTAGAGTCGAAACGTTTCTTCTACTTATCGGATTGTCATGATATAACAAGAAGTTGTCGAATGTTTCAAGCCTTTGCGTGTCTTTTTCTTGTCGTCGTACTTATTATTAACTATTTTATCAAGCTGCGGCTTCCAAAGTCCCACTCAACTAACGTATCATACTCAAAAACTAAAAGTGAGGTTTGAAAAGGTAGAAAAAGAAACAGCCGAAAGACGCACGTACCTTTTGTTGCAGCCCCTCGACCTTAGAAGAGTCAGCATAACGTTCTCTCTCTAAGGATGATTCAAGCACCTCCGATTTTTCTTCCATACTTTTACACTATTCAATGAAAAATTATACGCAATACAGAGCAGACTTTATAAATGCTGTCTTATGAATCTTACTTTTATGTTTGACGAATGCTCTAGCAATTGATCAAATATAATGCATACAACAATAACAAGGGGTAAATAAACTCACCTTGCTTTGAAGGACTGATATTTGTTTATCTGTGTTGTTCTTATGTTCCTGTAATTCCTTTTCTTTTTCCTTTAACTGCTCATCAAGTGTGCTTATCTTAAAAAACAAAATATTAGGTTACTAAGAAATGAGCCAGTAAATCAATCATAAGAAATATAGTTCCGAAGCAACAAGAAAGTAATTGAGAAAAAAAAGAAAATTCTATCAATTGTAGCTTTGATTTAGATCTTCAAAATAATAAAACCACGATAAAGCAAACAGGTGAGGTAGTAGAGCATGAATATGTAAATGTCTTCAGTCTAACGAAGAACACATTTCTAAGTACAGCTCTACAAATATAACGGTTTTTATATCAATAAAACGATTGAAATTCAGAAAATATGTTCTGTGATAAAATTGGACGTGTCACATAACCAAAAAATTCCGCTTTTGAAAACCAAGAGACTGATATTCCTCCTTAAAACGGCCTGGAAATGGAACAGCTAGGCAAACAACGCAGATTGTGGACACACAGCAACAACAACGTTAGCAATTGGTAACAAACACTAACAATAGCATTTAAGGGAGGCAGAGCTCTTGAAAAATGACGCGAATTTACACATCATTCAAGTGCAATCAATTGCTCTGTAGGTGCACAATAAAATTTTCACAATTCAATGATATTTTAATAGTATCAATTAACAAGTAAAAGCGAAAAAAAATACTTATGCAATTAAGCACATACCAAAGATCCTAGCGTAGCGATCTTTTCATTAGATTGAGACCTTTGCTCGGCAAGTTGATTTCGAGATTCTTGAAGTCGATTTTCCAAAGATTTCCTCTTCATGAAAAAAAGAAATAAAGAAAAGTGAAAACCGATAAGGTTAGTTTTTGACGTCATCTGTTGCTTATAAAGTGGCATATACAGAAAATATGGCGTTCTGCAAAGCAGATCGGGACAAGATTCCACCACTAGAAGCGTTGCTTATCATTTTAGAGACAATAAAACAGTTAGTTGTCATCAATAGAACAGAAGCTAAGTGGCAGTCGCTTTATGTTTTTATGTGACTAAACAGTATTGCGATGAAATTACACGATAATTTGAATTTAATGGCAAAAGGTTTCTAGTTTTTGCAATGTCACACTCCCTTCACATCGAGCATACTACCATTGTAAATTGGTATGTTGTTTACTGTAATGAGACTTCGGTGGAGAAGCATGCAAAGGTTTCTGCCCAGATCACATTTAACTGACAATTTCTATAAGTGTCCAGATTTATCTTGTCTATTTGTGACTGTAGCTTCAAAAGAATATCATTTGAAATCACCTCTTTTTCTAAAGACTTCACTTGATCTGTTGCTGAAAGAGTACTGTCTTCTATTCTGAAACAGTTAGTTTAATGAAAATTAAATACTACATTTATTGTCGCACGTGTAAGTCATGGACAATCTTATAGCATTAGCAGACAGAAAAAAGGATGCAATTCAAACTTAAACTCAGAACTTCATGTTGACTACGCCTTCCTCCATTTATTTCCAAAATATAGAGGATACAAATTAAACAGCTGCTCAAAACATATAACCACATTATCAAAAAATCGTTGTCATGCTCAATTTATTTAGATCATTCTAAAAAGAATCTAGTTATTATCATGCGAAGAACTTACCTATTTTCTAAACCTTGTAATCTGTCTTTTAAGTTAGTTATTTCATTGGTTTTCTTTTCGATATCTTCAGAAGCCTGTAAGAAAGCAAACAGCAGGGGCATGACATGCAAGAGCATAAAGAAATAATACTTTCTGCATTTTAGTGTTGATTAATGAACTACATCAAAGTCATGTAGCTGGTAGAAGTACGCCACACTGTACTAGACTAGATGATATTAGAAAAACCGCGAGAAAACATCTTTGTAATTACTTAAATGTTTTGATTGTTTACAATATTTGCACAGTTAATGGGACAGTTTTTGTGCTTGTTTGAAAACTAGTTTCGTTTGAATATCGTGCTTGTAAAATTAGCCTTTTTAACCACTTTTTCAACTATATTTTATCTAAGAGGCCTAACTAGAAAACGAACTCTTTCTGCTAACATCAGGCTAGATCTTTGGTTATTATGTACACAGAAAGAAGAGCGAAAGAAAGCCTGATCTTGCAGATTATCCGAAGCCAGACCTCCAAAAATGATTTGTCATGTTCTTTCTTTTGCTTTGTATTGGACTATGGAAGGGTGGCAGTAACTGCATGTTATTGATGCCGAATACAATGTTACTCACACGCGACTTGTAGAGATTGTAAGTTTGTCTTAGAGACGACAATTCCTCATTTGCGCGATTTGCTGATGATTCTACGGACGACAGTCGGCTGCGTTTCTACAAGATAAAAAACACGTTTTCATTGCAATGTAGCTTATTTGACACACATGCATTGGAAGAGCAAATCATCAATCTTGATTTGGCAATAACAAAAAAGAGCGGACACATATTGTATCAACAGTTGCTAGCCAATGAGCTACTGCGATGAAGAAAGCACTGTCCAACCACTACAGAAGGAACTCACCTCACTCAGCTCATCCATTGTATCGTCAAGTTGGTTTTTCAATGCGGACTTTTCTTTCTTTAATGTGAGTATCTGCAACTCAAAATCCCTTTCTCGCTTTTCTTGCTTTGTTCTAAAAGCAAAATATCTTAACCACCTTACGAAGTTAACTACTAATGTAAATAAATATCCCATTAGTGTGAATGCAGCAAAGCAATAAAAGACTTTTAGCTTTGAGCACTCCTAGATTGTACAATACCTTATCCCCTATAAGAATTCCTAGATTGTACAATACCTTATCCCCTTTAAGAATAGAGACATTTGCAACTGACCTCTCTTTGGCAAGATCATCCAGCCGCGTCTGCATCTCCTCAAGGGCGGTTTTTTGCTCCACGTATTCTTTATCTAGATTTTCTAAATGCTAAGAAGAGAGATAATCAAAAGGTCACATGCAATGAAGCCAGATAAATGATGAAAGCCTAGAACCCGGAAGGCTTGAACAAAGAGGTTTAAGAGGGATCCTACAAGACACGGTTTAATGACTTGACTCACAAACGTTGATTTTTTTAACAGTCTTACAATGAAATACAAAGATATGTTTACTTCTCAAGTTTCTTTATGTTCATGGTTGAATAACCGTTTGATACTGCAGAATCTCAAAATACAATACTAAAGTAAATGGCAAGAATCATAGTTAGAAGGTAAGCGAATATTGATATCTGTGTGCGAATCTAAAGTGACGTGAAAAGAAGAAAGACCGTTTGATTGGTTCCTTGTTGCTGGCCAATCTGTGGCTGCAACTGATATATAGACAATCTGCTTGCCGCATTTTATATTCAGAGACGTTCCGGACAGAAAGTATATCATGCGTCGGACAAAAAGTATGACACTTAAGTATGTCATGTTTCGGCTTTATACATCTAGGTGCTTAAACCTAGTCATAAACATCAAATACATATGGTACTAGCTATATCTTGGCTTCATCAGTCTTCTTTCAACGTTAACTTTGCGATTAAAACTTAATGCCTGTTTTAATCTTTAACAACTCAGCAAATTCACCAATTCTACAAATATGAATGATTTAGACAACTGTTTGTTTACAACAAACCTTTGATTTTTCCATTAATTCTGATGCTTTTTTCGACATTTCAGTTTGTGCATGTATTAGCTGGAAAGAGATGTGTCCGTGAATCAGTTTATGCTTGTAACGCGATTACCAGACGCCAAATTTAACGAAAGATTAGAAACAAGTTTGATACACCACAAAAATTACTCTTTAAGATAACTATAAAGACATTGAAAATAGCAGGTTTTTGTAAATATCTAATTAGGCTAAAATCTTTTCACAAGGGACTAAATTCCCAAATAAATTTTTCCCCAACTTTGTAACCTTCTTAACTTTTCTCCGATATTGTCCAAACAAGCACAAATAATAACAGAATGCATTACGGAATAACTTCATCGTTAGCCACTAGTAACAATTGTTCTTGAAAATCTTTCCTGTATTCCATTCCTGCTGTCATTTACTAGCAAAACATACTAACCATTGCCTTCATTTTCCCGATTTCTTCTTGCTGTAATTTTGTCAAATCCTTTACATCTGTATGACGAGTATTTTCCTGTCAACAGAAACTTGACCATCGAATTGACGATTTAATAAAATCAACATAATTAATCTTCGTGCTTCAAAGCAACATATCGTGCAAAAGACGATCTGAATTCCAAATTAGCAAATGCTGAAATTTGATGGTTTAGAAAATAAACAAAACAAAGTTATATAAAAACATGTTTGAAATATACTTACTAAATCCAGTTCTCTTCTTTGTCTTGCAATTTCCTACAAAGATTGGAGAAAAACAGTGTAAAGATAAGTAGAAATAAGCTGTACGAAGGAACTGTTAATGCCAAATGTATGACAGTGCAAACTGGTGGTTTCAAAATGTCTTAAATCTGTGGACAAGTTTATTTTCTTACTAAATGCTTTTTCTTACTAAATGCTTGTTTCCTAGTTCTATAAAGTCTGCAAAAATTGTCTCCAAAAACGAGCCTTTTTATAAATCAATAAATGATTAACACAAATTAGTTAAATAATGCATTTAGAAAAATGACACAAATGACTTCTTTTTCTAGTTAATTTTTCATAACAGAATTTTCACTAATTTAAAAAAATTCTCCTAAGATCAAAATCAGATAACAAAAATGTTGTTTACCCCATCTTTTCTTGTAATAAGTCCCTCGAACTGATTCTCCTTGTCTTTCAACCTCTCTCTGAAACCATTTTCTACGTCACTAAGCTTTGCTCGATATTTTTTCTCGGCAGCCTCGACTCTCTCACTTATTTCTATATGGAAGCAAAAGTTTTAAATCAGCAGTGTTGGAATAAATATTCATTACGAGTTTTACTAGAAGCGATCGCTCATTTTTTTGGGAAAAATCTATTTCTTAACAACTAATTAATTGTTTAAAGTTTCAGGGATAAAAGCAAAGCTATTAAATCTCTGTATAAAACCTTATCATAATGGGACATGTTCAACTTTATGTAGACCTTGGTGCATCGTGTTATATCACCAAAACCACAAGATTGGTTGATTTTGAAAATAGTTACCGTATAGACGCATTATAATATAGCATTTTGATGCAATTTCACAAGGGTATGAAAATTCGAATAATGACGTAGAATATCTTGCTTTGAAACCTTTTGTAATTACCCAACATTTCATACCTGCATTATTGTACTTTTATGTCATGCTTCATGTTTCCGCATTTTTGTGCGAAATAGAAGCGTGCAGTGCGAAGGGAATTTAGTATCGTGTGTGTTGATTATTTTATTCGAGTTATTCAAATGTAAAAACCAAAGCTGATGAGGTCACAACGGCAATTGATATGTCTACAGCTAGGTTCAGTGTTTTCTAACATCTATGTATACAAGTTTTCTCGACAATTCATACCCTTTCGAACATCTTGTAGTGCTTCTTCTAATTTTTCCTTTTGCTTGGCTTGTTCCCTATACGCGGCTGCCATTTCTGCAAAATGAAAACTAAGGACAGTTACTCAAGACAAGAGCCAGTTCTACATTTCGTTAATGAGAGACAGTGAATCTAAACAGTCCTTCTAACACCATCAACTTCCATACAAAGGTTGAAAAAGCTTCTGATAACCATCTAATTCCTGGCAGCGAGACGGAAATCTCCAAAGGTTAAAGGTAATTGAAGGAAAACTTATGCCTATTATTCGACATGTCTACAGCCGACATGTCGACATGTCTACAATTCTTTGACAGAATAGGGTTTTTACCAATTCACAGCCACCGCGAGGCAGAGGGGGGTTGGGGGGGGGGCTTTAGCCCCCCACTTTTTGCAAAAAGTGCCAAATATTAAGTATCAAACTACCAAAAAAGCCTCTTTTATGCGGCTTTAGCCCCCCTTTTTAGACCCCCCACTTTTATAAACGCTCCGCGGTGCCTGCAATTCATGTATGTATTGTTGCTTATTTTCAATCGATCTTAAATCAGTAACTACAAAACATGCAACTTTATTGTTTTTGCTTGAAATAACAAAGAAACCGGCCACGGCATATTGCAATATCGCTAATTGCATCATCGGTTTTTTCATCTTGAACGTTCCATTTTACGTGTTTGATATGATATGTTCTGAAAACCATCTATTCTTAGTTCTACAAAAATAGTTCTTACCTGATATCTTGCTCTCCAGCTTTCTAACCTGAGAATCATTATGTTGAAGAGTCGTGTTTCTTGCATCTTTGCCCGTATTTGACCAAATCTAAAAGCAGGTCCATGAATTTGTCGATAAAAGTGCAACTCTAATTATAGGGTGTATCTCTAATGAATACATCTTTGTGAAAATTTTTCATCAACTTTGCGTAACTTCTCAAATAAGCTCCGGGGGCACCATAAAGTAATTCTTATAATATAGGCCCCAAACATTGTATAAACAAGCCTCCATTGGCTGAGGTATTGCCACAACATCAATATGTTTATCCTACTATATCTCAATTTCTAAGCATACGGACTAGCCTTAAGTAAAGGAAGCAAATTTGCTCCGATAATATTTTGCTGCTGCTAAATAAGCCCATAGCTTTTGAGTAGGCCCCCTTGAATAAACCCCCAACCCAAAAATATGTTTTGAAAATAAACCCCCGATGGCTAATTCGAGGACTTACGGTATTAAGCAATACCGAATTCTATGCTTGCTGATCTGTCGTAAGGTGCCCATCGCAGTATTGTGAAAGCTTTTTACAAGTTTGTGTGTCCGCCAAGGGTATTCAGTGTTGCAAGTCCCAATTTCATGTTTCATGCCATCGTCAGGCCATGTTTGAAAGCGAATCTGGTAATAACTGAGTTTCTTAACCTTAAACATTGCTTGATTGATAAAACATCCTCACAACCAAATATGAATATGGTTTTCTTCCCTTTTTGCAAGTAAAAGGGGCTAACCTTAGCATTCCTATTGCATTGATATGGACCTTAGCATTCCTATTGCTTCTTGAAGCTTGCAATTTCAAAACAACATCAAGTTCAACCTGCATTTTTGCATTGCGGTTTTAATGGAACTCTTTTTCGTCAAGTCATCTTTAGATTCAATAGGAAATTTACCTAGAATACTTACTGGAATATTTATAGAACTAAAAAACTTATAGCTACTTCTCCCGTTCTTGACAATGAACCCAGAGCATAACAATGAGCCTAAACATGTGCAACTGTTTTTTGCACATGTGCATCAATGTTCCAAAATACAAGATCGATGGCTCTGTAGCTAATACATCTCAGAGGATAAATTCTGATAAAGAATGTATACCATCTGCATTTTGATGATATACTTTGCAATTCATACTGTATTCTATTCACCAACATTTGTTAATTCGTTACGCACCTTATTGGGTAACGATGTCACATCACAGGGCGTTATTGCAGGCGAAGAGAAATCGCTTGTAGGAGAACTGCGCGATATTGTCATGTCTGATTCCATGGATTCTTTCGAGCTGTACAAACTGGCTGTAGACACTCGCCTCTTCTCCCATTTATTCTCGCGATAAAGTTTCCCATGATGCTGGCCAAAGCCAGAGCTTTTCGGTACCACAACTTTCGGGCTCGACACCACGTTTGGAGGTTCGCCCTCCTCTATTCGCTGTTTCAGTTTCTTAAACATTTTAACTTAATTTCTGGATGGTAAACCAGGTTTCTATAGATGTAATAATAGCATTGCCGAGAATCGTAAATATTAAATTTGAGGTAATATGGTTAATCAAAAACAACGGTCGTGATCTAAGCAGGTTAACGCTGGTCGCTTAGTGATTAAATTACATGGAGTATTAAGCACCAGAAATGCCTCGTTGGAATCAGAGGGGATGGCTACAGGTACTTATCGAGCATTTCAATACACTATAATATGCTTTTACCGTGATAATAGCAATTACGAGTGTCTTATTGCACCTGTCTTGTAACGGGTCTCTGAATCAAAGCGCAGAAAGACACGTGTTAAAGAAACAAAGCTGAGGTTATAACAGGCGTCTTTCTTAAAAATTCAAAGTAATACAGAGAAAAAAAAACAAAGCACAATAAAGCACGTTTTGTCCGACATTCTTGAGACTATAAAAATCTGGCAATGACTAAAAGGTAAAGCGGAAAATTATATAAACATGCAGAATGTGAGAGGCAAGATGATACGTTTGGCTAGATCCTTGTTCCTGACCAATCAGCGACCGCCTGCCCTTCACGCAGTGAAAGAGTTCAAGACGGGCTGTTTCTGTCTATTCAAATAGAGCACGAATTTGCTGCTTTCTTCCGCCCACCGTCTGACGTTTATGCTCTGAAGTGCGTCGGAAAAAAGTGCTTCAGTATGCTATGATTCCGCCAGTTCGTGCCATCTTCAAGACTCTGGCTATAAATGTTATTACCTTTTGGTTTATTGTAGATAGAATCTAAATGCGTAAATAAACTCTGCGGCTTTCTGCAAAAATGGTAGTGCCGAACTATATCTGTTGCGATACTCTTCCAGGAAATAAGAAATAATAAGAAGTAAGAAACAGGAAACAGAATAGAAGAAAGACATGAAAATTCAAACCCCTTCTTGCTGATTTGCCACAAAACTTTAGACAAAACTGAAAGGAGTAAGTCTTCTTTTCTTCTACAGGGTCAAGGGGCAACAGATCCATGGATATCTGGTCCATGCCCCTGACTTTCACACAATGCAGGCATAGCAATCACAGTGCAGGTGTGGTCACATCACATCAAGAGGAAAGACCAGCGTCGCCAGATCGAAAAAAACTGGAGTGGACAAAAAAATTTTCTCGGTTACGCCCTTCAGACCCTTGGAAAATCTTCTTTTTTAGTAATTTTTATCTATTTTAACGGTGGCGTTTTCGCAAGTGCAAATATTGAAATCGATCTGATCAGACCAACAAGAATTCAATCCACAAAACATGTTACTAGCCTTTTTTACTTTCATGTTTTCCAGACCATTGCGATATTGTTCAGGAAACAAATAATGCTGTAAATTGCTCAAAACAATATTTCATCTCATCGTTGAAAAAAATATCAACGTTTATGCAATAAACAGTCACGAAAATAGGCACGGCAAGTACCTCAATAGCATCAAAAGAGCCTTCATTAAAAATCAGTCGTAAAAGTGCCATATTCTGCAAAATTCAATGCCAATATCGATAATCTGTGATTTAAGACACCTAAATGCGGCCTCGTGAATGTTTTTTTTTCAATTAACATGCGTCATATAAAATAACCTTCCTCGAACATTTTTGATGAAATTTAGCAAGTCGCAGAAGGGTTTCAAAGCTTTGAGACTGGCCAATACCAAATTGGCATTTATGATGTTCTAAAAATAAACTTGAAATGTTGCTAATGTTTTGAAGTTATGTTTGATTGGTTGGGAACATTAATCTGACGTCTGATGGATACAAAAATGGTTTGAATTTCGAAGGTCATATTGTTTACAAATTTGTTGCCATTACTCATTTCTACATAAGTGTGCAATACTTTTTGAACATAAGTGTAGTAGCAAATAAAGTCAAATAAAACTACATCAATACACAGATGAAATTCGTGGTTTTCCAAAAATTACAATAAGAAAATGCTTACTGTAAACAAATATGTGAAAGAAACCGAGCATAACTAGAATATACAAAAATCCCTTTGTCACAATATAAGGAACAACAAAATTTTAGAATGATAAAGCAAATATATGAAAAATTAATACAGCAAAAGAAGAATATTAGAAATGAGGCAACGAAGGCAGACAATTTAAGAAATTGAAAATAATTGGTGGGTTGCTGACTTCAGAGAGTCCCAGGCTAGTGTGTCGCCTATATAATCCATTGTCTAGGAGCCTATACAGAATTTGTGATTGCATTCAAAAGAGGAAACTCTCTCTAAAGCTTCATAAGAAATTCAAGTATATTGTCCTCTTCATCTCCATTTCTTTTTATATCTTGTTGAGGAGCTGCAACTGCAGTGAATAATCCTTGTCACTCAACATAAACAATGAAAGAATGACAACAAAGGACTTTTCTCTTGTCTTTCTTTGATTCTAGGGTTGTAGATACTAGGAAGACATTTATTTGCATCTGTTATCCATTAGTGCATATTCTTTCTCCATTTCAGCAAGGCCAGTTGAAAATGATTCCTTTATTTCACATAGCTTTGTTTCTGTTTCACCTTCAAGTGTTTTCAGTCTTTGGGAAACCTTGCTTATGCTTGAATTGACAGGCAAGAAATCATTCAGAATCAAAAACTCTTTCATATCTGAGACCAGCTTGAGAAGAGATTCGCCAGCACGAACCTACAACAAATTAGAAGCACCGAAAATAAAAATTGAATATCTATACTACTCAACAGTTCTTTATCAAAGATTCTATAACAAACAGCTTCTTTGGAATTCATATTGTTGAATTTAGTATCATCAAGGATCTTGGGTTACAAGAGGTTACATAGAACCTTGCGAATGGCAAAACAATTCTTGGCATTCAATTAATAAAATAGAATATCATAAAACTTACAATATTTGATGCTCTTACTTCTATTTCATACTGAGTTTGAACAGCTTCAGTCAGCCTTGCAATTTGGGTTTCCTCTTCAATCTATAAAATACAACACATGATTCTATACATGTGCAGTGTCTTACATCGAATGCGTCAAAGCAGGACAAAAAAGTTATGTTGATCCAAATAAGAGTTCAGAACATCTCCTTTATGAGTCAAGCTGGATTATTCATACTTTGTCATGTTAGATATAACTCAAGTTTTCTGGTAGACAGATCGGATTACCAAGAAAAAAGGCATGCTACACAGAAAATAAAAAATAATGAAATCATATGCAGATGCTTGATATCAAAACGACAAATTTGCTTTGTAAGGTTGCATGCCTAAAATTACCTAGAACGGTTTCACAAAGAGAGAATCAGATTCAGTTTATGTAAAGCAAGAGTAGAATCCATGTAAGGCTCACATCAGAGATAGATCAGAAAAAAACAGTAGAACAACAAAGAAAAACAATGGAAAATTGTTAGTCCATGCCAGATACCTAAAGTGTAACCTAAATGGAATCCACTCTGAACATATCTGGACATATGATATCATTTAGAACAGTTTATCTGCGAGGCACAGGTACTCAAACATTGCATGTCCGTTTCCCTGTCTGTTGTGCTCTTTCAAAAAGAAGTGTTAGTTAAGCTTCATTTGAAGCTGCAATTGATAGCTTACAAATTTGCCTGCTGGTAGGCGGCTCCCAGTCAAGACCTAGCCACACCTCTAATCTAAAGATCTGGAGCAAGGAAAGGGGCGTTGAAAAGAGATGGCGGCAGGGGTATAATGAAAATAGGTGCAAATTGCATCACAAAATGGGGGATATGGTGTGTAGGTTGACCCTGTATGCATAAGTAAAACCACCAAGGTATTGTGATGAGTAAGAAGGGCTAAACTCCAGCAAATATTATTCCATGATCCCACTTTTGATTCCTTTTCTCTCAAAAAATACCACTTCTATTCAAGGGCAACTTCTATTCGAAAGTCACTTCTATTTTAGGCTGGTATCTATCAATATTCTCTCCTTGCAAAATGCAACTTTACCTTCCAGTGTGCCAATACCAATCCATGTAAACCCTAAACCAGTTATTAGCGAGTAAATTATGAAATTTAGCCAGTCTACCACTTAATGCTAATGTCAATGTGTTGTATGATACAATACATAATAGAAATTATACAAATTGTCCTTTTAGGCAACAATGGCTGTTGATATGTCATTTGCTGGTCAAATACAGGCTGCAAATCCATCCATCTCAAAGCCGACCCATTATTTTTTCTTCATTTAACACCAGTAGAAAAAAGGAAATTATGAAGTACACGCCTGATATCTTTGGCGTATATCACATGGATTCCACCCTGCCTTACATTCCAAAACAGCATTTTTTGAGAGTATACAGTGGGTAGGCAATTTTTATAGGCAACTCCCTTCCTTCATAATTTAGTACTTGTAAGTTGCTCAATCACAGATGATCAAGAAAATAAAATGTACTGATATACTTCACATACTTATAATATATATAAGGACAATAATAAAATAATAAGCCTATTATCTCACATATTTACCAGCCAATTGAACTTAGTGTCCAACATACCTTTGCAGACTTGACTATTTCATTGAAATTCTCTAATATTGATCTTACATCATCTTTTAGCCTTCGGTTGTACGATTTAAGCAAGGCTTCTCTGTTTGAAGCGCCCTTCTGTGGCTGGCTCATGTTTAATTTCTTCTTGGCAGATGGCGTTCTAGGCAGTTTGATGTTGTTGTTGCCTGTTTTCGGAACGAGGCTAGCCCCCCAATGCATCCAGTTCAAGAGTTCAAGGGTTGAGGGCAAAATTCAATACCGTAAATCCTCGAATTGTCCCCCCCCCCTCGAAAAAGCCCCCCTCAAATAAGCCCCCAGCTACTATAAATTCTCGAATTTGACCCCTCTATTTGATGATTTTTGCCATCTGAGGTTGCCTTTGGCGTTTTATTGAATTACCACAACAAATTCATACTTTTGGTAGTAATTAATTAAATGCTTATAAATAAATTCCTACTAAAATAAACGAGATATTTTAATAATGTCTTCTTAATGTCTACAATAATTTTATAAGCCCCCTCGTGCAAGCCCCACCCCTCGAATAAGCCCCCATCCAAAAATATCAATAATAAAAAAGCCCCCAGGGTTTACGGTATTGTGATGGGCAGCAGAAATTATTATTCTATGCATAGGGGTAGTAGACACGTCACTATGGGTGATACCGGCTTGGTAACGGCTGATAACGGGGAAACAATGATAATAACAGTGTGTATAGGGCTCTTCTTGGAAGTGTTCTAACCAATCACTTGTCAGCTCTTTGTCACGTGACTCGATCATGTTTGCTGCCGGGATTTTCATTTGTTTTTATATTTTTTTGCTGAAGCCTCATCATAGAGTGATTGCTTGTCTCTTGACATCCATTCTCGCTAAATCCATATGTAAATAGCACATCTCTCGCCCACTATTCTTTGTTCACAGACAATGGCTCATCAGCTAGAATTGGCAGAGGAAAGTAATGGTCGTACTGGATGTATTTCTTAAAGATGGGTGATTCAAAGTCAGCCAACAATCGTGACACCTCTGGGAAAGTTGGAGGTAAAATGCCTAAAGGTCACAGTAAGGGAAAAGTTACAATGAGGGATTTCGAAAGAGGCAAGCAGATCAAGGACCTGACTGAAAACCGGCTAAAATCTGACTTGAATGATTTAGACAGCCAAGAAATGAGCAGCATGTTGTCAATAAGACGTGATCAAAGAATGCTGAAGGAAAAATTGTTCAATGTGCAGAAAAGTTCTGGCCATTACAAAAGGGACAAGAGGTCAAATACCTTCGGGGATCTCACACAAACAAAGGGTACAAAGCACTCAAACAAAATGTTTGATAAATCGGCGGACTTGAGTTATGTTTCAACTGGGGGTGATTTGATGCGATTACCCTCTCTGGGTGTAAAACAGGCTGCAAACGACATAGTTTCAAAAGACAACTCAACTTTTAACACGAATATCCAGATAGGTACTCTTGATGATTCAAAACTTGAAGCCCCCAAAAGTCTCCCAAAAGCCATTTTAGAATCGAGGAAAAGCCAACCGATGGATTCTTTGAACTTGCCCGTAACGAGAAAACGCTCAAAATCAGAGCAAAACCTAAATGCTGCTTGGTATTCAAATTTGGATGAGGTACGATCAGTTATTAACCAGAGACTATCAACATCAATGAATAACTTGGATGGCAAGAAAGGAGATGAGGAGAAGGACCTTGAACCATTCATGTTTGCTGTACCTGATGGGTTGCCAAGGACAATGTACATGTTACCAAGTTTAGATGAGAGATTTCATCAAGCCACCAAAGCCAGGTATATCAGAAAACCCGGTACAAAGCTCGATCCAATCGAGAGAGAGCTTAATTTGAATGAGATCTTCAACAAAAATGGTGATGGAAATTCGGATAGGTCTTAAAAAATGTGTCTTCTTTTTTGCATAAATTATCAATTTTTGTATTCCAAAGTTGCCACATAAATCGCCTCAAAAGCTATTTCATAGTGTTACAGGACTGACATAACCTTATTGCACCTCGAAAAGTTGTAATATGAATTACTAGATTCCCCCCCCCCCCAATTTTAAAAAGGTATGTGTTCTACACACCAAAGATGAGTGCTGATAATGTTTACCCACTCAATATCCATGGATTCAAAACTTTTAAGGCATATAAAAATATATGAATACTTACAAAAGAAATGTGAAAACCACCTGTTAACTTGTCCATACATGTTTGGTGTATAGAATAGATTTTATGCAACTTATAATGTAGGCAGCAATATTTAAGAATAACCTAGTTAAAAAGCCAAAATAATGAATCACAAAAAGAAAGATTTTTCAATATTTTCTCAACTAAATTAAGCTTGTGTGGTCATTGCGTTATTTATGCAAAACCCCTTTTGCTTCAGAAATAATTATTGTTTGTGAGGTTAAATGGTTGGTGCCATCAATTCAAGCTCTCATTTTGTTAGTGTTTTTTATGTATATATTGTGGCAAAATTAATTTGGTTATGTTGACAGTTTTTTATTTGATGGCAAAAATCCTATAAGGGTATATTTTTGACATGATGTTGTCCTATACACAAAGATTGCTGAAAGCTCTAAGTTATAGACAAAGGAGGATGTTCCTATTTGACAACGAAATGATATCATTTGTAGTTTTTGAAAGTTATTGTTGCCTAAGACTCATTCATTTCCATTATCAAATTCTTAGTGTCAAGAATTTGTGTTGCAAACTTTTAAAAGATGATCAAAGAATGCCATAGGTTTGTGCTTTGATGAATCAGTGACTTCGTTTCTTGTAAAAATATTTATAAACAATAGAATAATGAATAATAAAGACCAACAAATATCATATTCTTAAGTTGCTAATTGTTTAAACAGAAGGCAATATTTTTATAATTCAAACATCAGCATGTATATTTTTCTATATGTAAAATTTTTACAGGTGTTCTTGGTGCATTTTATGGTCCATTTAAAGGATGCCATTTTAGTCTAGGCCAGTTGTTGGTCCTGTTGTTTACTTCCGAATCTGGCTATATAATTTGGTATTTTATTTGAGAAATCTTTTGAAGTAATGATGTATTTATTGATTTCTTTTAGTAATTATTTAATTTTGGGCTGCATTTTAAACAAACAAAGATTTGTTCCTACTGCCACTCATTATGTTTTTCTGTTCTCGATGGGCTGCATTTTCTAACCATTTTTAGAATACAAGAAACATTACTACCCAAGGTATGAAATGTTTGCAATTAGTGTTTTTTGTTTACCAAAGATATTTGTAATTTATCGTTTGAAGATATATTTCTGTATCGTATAAGGCTTAGAAAATCAAATGTTGATGTTAATATGAATTCTTATTTTTATCATACAGATCAGTTTTTATCATCTTTGCAGATTCCTCAAGTTCTTTCTTATCAATCAAGAGTTAATAATTTGAAAATAAGTTATGCGTAGTCTCCTTTGAGTAATTGTCAGTGTATTAAACTTTGAATGGTCCTAACCTACTTGAAGATCTATAGTGACTTGAAAGCTCAAATTTCTTGTGTTAACTCAAAAGCCTTGCTTAACAAAGACCCCCGTCTATTTCATACATACTGTAAATTATCTTTTTAGCCCTGGGGGGGGGCTTATTGTTTTTCAGCACTTTAAGGGGGCTTACAAGAGAGGGGGGCTAAATTGAGGGAGGGGGCTTAATAAACATTTTGTAATAAAAAGCCATTTATAGTTGTAAACTAAATTTTTGTTTTTTGCTAAATAAAAAAAGTCAATTATTAATTCTAAAATGCCTTCTTGTGCCATATTGCCTTCTGAAATCAAGTATTCAAAAAGGTCGACTTCACCCCTCAGAGTACCAACAGCCTGTAATTTTGGGAAAAGGCTCACATATGGCCTGTGCTTAATGCAAATTACATCTTTGTCTACGGATCTGTTATGACTGGAAATGACATAAATTTTGACATGTGTAAATTTTGATTTGATGCGAAGTATTTAACGACCAATGAATAAAATGAAAATCTCTGTTTTTATCAAGTTTACTTATTTCGGCATCAGTGAAAATATTGATGGTCTAAATTGAGAGGGGGAGCTAATTAATTTTTTTCTTCTGAAAAGAGGAGCTAATTAGAGAGGGTGATTAATTGAGAGGCGGCTTAAAAGAAAATTTACGGTACATATGATGAATTTGAATTTATTTGAATTATTTTGTTTGACAGGTGGCTGGCTGTTCAGAACTGATAAATCACTAACAACATAGTTTTCTATTTTGTGGACATATTCTAAAATGTCTCTTAACTAAAATTAATCTTTCAACAACCACTTTTTAAATTGTACAAGTCAAGAAAGTAGATTTTGACAGTATTCCCTGCATCTTGGCCAAAAATTGAATGCAGATTTTACTTTCTAGACCATTTCGTTCCTTTGACACATTGAAATGAAACGAAATGCAAAAAGAAGCAAGAATAAACCTATTTTCATAAGAAATTTTCCACAAGAAACCCTAGATTCATATTTTCAAAAACAGCAGTTTGATGTTTTTCATATCTTTGCTTAGTCGAACCCAAAATTGTGCTCCAGCGTCCCTGAACGTTGTATATTCATGAATCAAGGCCATCGTTTATCTCTGTGATAAGCTTACAGGCACTGATTTCATAAGAAACTGAATGAAAACATTTGCTGCTTTTTTAAAAGATTTTCTAGCAATCTGTTGTTCGTTACATGGTGTAAGATTATTACAGAACCCATCGGCGCACGGGTGCAGGACCTTTGTGCTTGCCAACCTTACCCCTCTCGACGCACCTGCGCTAACGATTAGAAAAAAGATTGGTTCTAGCAGAATTTAAACAACTTCTTTAAGATGTCGATCACAAACGTACGCGGCCTTATACGTACACAAATCAAAGTTCACTTTCAAATACATACATATCAAGACCCATCCTTTTCAATTACAGCTTCACAAAAGGAAAGTGAGCCAGATACTAGATTGCGTGCGGTACAATATGATGCTATAATGACGATCAATGTAAGTAAATTGTACCAGGAAAATTCTTTTGAAATGAATAACGACGTTTCCAGCATAACCCGTTATCAAGTCAAGTGAAAATACTTTTCTTCAGAGAATTTTATAATAGAAGAAGAACTGAAAAGAAAAAGTAGCAAAATATGTGTTTTGAAAACTGGTTTTTAAGTATCATCTTGACTTACGAAAGTGCTACCGCAGACCGCTAACGAACACCTAATATTTTAAGGCATTTTGTGAAAGAATTACTTGTCATTGATAATGGAGGATATTTTATTTTAGGTTCAGCATCGCACAGTTTCCAGTACACACCTAAACTTGTAGCCACGGCAACAAGACATTCGAACGATTGACCTCGGATTCATGTGTTTGTCTCGATTTGGCGAGAAGCATTAAACTTCGGATGTAACTTGGATGTAACTTCGGATGCTAATTAATTGTGCCTATATTGCAAACGCGTGCTTCAGAGTAATAATGTCTGGCAACATTCATTTGTGTGGAATTAGTGGGAAGCGAGGCTTTGAGTCGTAAAGAAGTACTTTGCGTTTTAATTTATCTTTTGGACAATGTACTCTCCATTTTGCTGTGTTTAATAAAACCATGAATCACTGGGCTTCAATATATGTGCTCATTAAGTCGTTATAAATGTACGTGTAACGACATTCACACCATATGGTATCATTAAAATCTCTGCACCAATTACTTTTACCATGCAATTTAACAAGCTTTGTTTATGTTATTTGGCAATAAGCTCTCTACCGCAAAGCAGAAGTAACACACGGCAGCCTCCTAAAATGGTGTTCGCCCAGACTCTTACGCGTTTGCTCAAGTCCTGCTTGCGTCATCGCAACAAGGCGGGGGTTTCCTTTACGTGTAACTGGAATATTTATTGGAACTCCAAAAGTCTTCCGCTTCCTCTTTGAATGAGAATCAAATGCATTATATTTCCTTGCAAGGCTGCTGACTGCGTCTTTTTTGTGATAAATAGCGTGATCTCTGGCGCCCGGCGACTAAAGCAATCGTGGCGCCCGTTTTCAAGTAAGCTTAAACAAAAATTTGCCATGTCTATCAAAACACTCTGTACTTCAGCCTTACCGACTTGTTAGGCTGAAAACATAGATGGAACCCCTTTGTCCTAGCCCCCTGTTACCCTCATATCTTGCGTTCTGATGCAAACGCCGTTAAACATCACAAAGTTGCTTTTTCTAAGGCGATTCATGAATTTTTCCGAAACAAAGTTCCCGGTATTGGCAAGGTTTTTGGCGGCTCGTTTCTCCTCTGGGTACAGTGTTGTGATGCGGAATACGTCAGCAGAAATAACAGGACAGGCATTTGCATAAATTATGCACATTTTCACTTAAGTTCTGCAAAAATTTGCTAAGAAATTTCAGTGATCTATATCAGAGAAGGTTGATAAACTTCATGAAAAAAGACTACATAAACTTCACAAACTTAATGTTGTAAGAAGTTTCTATTTGAATTTCATTTGCTTTCTGATATTTAAAATATGTAGTATAGAGTAGCAGCTCAGGAAACCGCCTACAGATCGCAACGTTCAAATAAATTTGCAAAGAACAGAACACAAAGAAGATTGGATTGGCAATTACAATATTATGCGAACTTTGCGAAACAAATTACGTGATTACGACCCAGGCGTATTTAAACGAACGCAATTAAGTCACATATATCGGTGCTTATATTTTTGAGAGTTGGTAGAGTCACGTTCTCAAGAGGCAGAAAGCGTATGAAACATAACAACCACTCGGTAAGCATTTTTATTCTATTCCTTTCGACCATGCTAATGGAATCTGTTATTTATGCTTTGTTAAATCCGCAACCTGAGAATTTCGTCATTGTTTCGCAGACAAGGCGCTCGCAAGCAATAAATCTACGCAAAGCAGAACTTAGAATTAAAAACCATTAGGCCAACTTTATTTCATTTGGCGCCTTGCATTCAAGAATTTATTTGAGCTTAAAATTTTTGATGTTTTATTTATCAACAATTTTGTGTCTTTGCTAAAAAATTGAATGAAGGTATTTTTATCTAAGATATTCTTGCTCTTTTCTGCCTCAAGTACATGGAGTATACCCCTTGGAACAAAATCCGTTCACCCTTGAAGGACCATCTGCACATTTAAAATAAAAACCAAGTATAGTCTGATTCTTGATAAACCTGGGTCTATCTTGCACGGATGTACTCAATTACAAAAATGTAACATTTTACCTGTATTTAATGTTCAAGAAATTAATTTTTGGTACATTTACACGGTACCGTATTCAAATTTTACAGTTTTCTACCGTAAATCTACACGAACTTAATCTTCATAAAAATGTAAGGTTAGCTATTAAGAAAATTGCGTGGTGGTAGTACTGTGAATGCAGCACTTCTGAATGGGATTTAGGCCTACTTACTAAAGCACTATCGGATACAATTATATCGGACACAAGTTTTAGCGAGACGCGAGATTGCAACAGGCTTATTTCGGCCTGAAATTGATCTGTAAGAGGAAGTCAATAGTTGATTTGAATTTTGATCATCGAGAAAGCTTAAATGCTAACATTAAGGTAATAATTTTTCGCAATGTTCGTTTGCTAACGTTAGAAGGTGGGCGATCCGAGTTAAGCAGGCTTTCCATTCACTGTTCTCGACGCCACTAGCGTCACTTTGTTTTCTGCCCCGCCCGCGTATTCTTCTTTAAACCGCCCGCGAATTCTTGACTCCTCACGCGTTTTCTTCTTGACTCGCGTGTTCTTTATCTTGTATGCAATTAACATCAAATTTGAACCGGAAAAATAGACAGATATTGTTAAATGTTAAAATTGATAGAATGATATTTTGCAGCAAGATATAAATATTTGCAAATGTTTAAGAATATTTGTTGTTTAGAGCTACACGGATCCTACCAGAGGGGGGGGGGGGTGCATATGAAACAAACGTTTGCTTAACCAAACAAAGTTTTTGTTAAGTTTTGAACATTTAGTAGGAATGCATCAAATGATTATTTTTCTCTTTCATAGACAACATCTCTCAGCTACAAAGTGTTTTTTATTGTGCTTCGATCAATCAAGAGGCCCGTCCTAGCAATGAGCAAAGTATACGACGTACTGCATTATGGCTAACGAAAACATGTTTGTTTTGAATGGAAGACTAAACGCTGGATTTGATGATGCAGAGAGCTTTAGCACGGCTACGTCAAACAGTAACAGTATAGAGAAAGAAACCCAATTATGCAGTGAATTTTTCCAAGAAACCTTGCCCTTGCCACCTAAGAAATTGAATAACGGAATAGGACACGAGGCCACAAAATTTATGCCACCTAACGTAGAAGAGCAATTATTCACCGTTGAACAGGAGCAACGCAATCACGACGACCAGAAATACAAGCGTAAAAAGACCCTTTGCTTGTCAGCTTTGAAATGTGTCCTATCTCTTCTGATTTCTGTAAGCCTGTTTGTGTGTGTTGTCGCCAGCAAGATCTCACTCGTCCACATAGGACAGAAGTTGAATTACACGGCAATGTACCGCAACGCTTCGCGTACTGTGTCAAGTGGAAAGAAGAGCTTTGTTCGGGAAACAAGTTTTGTTATGTTGGTATTGCTTCTAGTTTTTCCTTCTGTTTATACATTGATTCGGGCAATTTGCAATAGTGGAATGAAAAGAAGCCACCCTTGGCCGACAAAAAGAGCTGTCATTTGGGTAAGGACCATTTTAGATCTTTGTTTTCCTGTCAATCCTGTTTAGGACTTGTTTAAAGAAATTTCCTACTTTCTCGTAACATTTATCTGAAAAGGTTCAGGTGTGGCTGGTGTGGGTCTTGCAAAATTCATTGTTTTTTTGTAAAAATTTTGAAATTCTTGATTATACGAAAAAAATTATTGACTCCTAGATTTTGATAGCTACCACTACTAGATGTTGATAACAAAGAGCTTGGTTTTTAATATCATTATTTAATATCATTGCTAACAATGGGCCTTTGCGTGCATGGTTACGGTCCAAACATGGCACTAAACTTCTACGGATTAACCAAAATTGATTTCAGACTGTCTGAAAATGCATTATGGGATGTTGCGTAGCGCAATGGCTCATTGTTAGCAACGAGTCTTTAAAGACAGACAACGTTTTATTGTCCGTTCATCCGTCATACCCGACCGTCGCTCATCCCTGTCTGTCACGCTTGTCCATCTGCCACATCTTTCAGTCACATCATATGTCCGTCCGTCCTAATGATACATTTGTACTTCTGAACTTAAAAGCTCCAAATGATCAAAAAAATAGTTGCTCAAAGATAATATTCCTTATCGATTATTCATTGTTGAAAATATTGTAAATTAATCCCAAGTTACTGAGATTGTCGTAAAATAAGTTCTCTATCCAGTACAGCAGTCACTACAGATGTTTGTATATCTCTAAAGCAATGTGTTTACTTTGAGAAATAATAATGAATTTATAGTACCAAGGGTAAGAACAACCATTTATGGAACCGAAACTCTCAAATATAGAGGGCAGCGTCTTTGGCTCTCTCTACCTCGGCACATAAGGAATGCTCAATCTGTTAATGAGTTTAAGAAAGAAATTAAAAGCTGGAATGGCACCGACTGTACATGCAAAATAAGTAGGACGTTCGTGCCACAGCTTGGTTTTTTGTAATTCTATCGTTTTAAATAGCTCAGATTTTTATAGTACTACCCTCTAAATTCTGTTGTTAATGGATTATTATGTACTTAAAATTTTATGTATTTAATCTCGTATGTATTTATTTGATGTAGTAGTTTTAACAGTTGGCATGGATTAGCTCATTTCACTGTAAATAGCTATGTAGCGCCAACTTTAAATAAATTGATTATTATATTATTATTATTATTATTATTATTATTATTATTATAAGCTACGCATTCCCTGATATTGAGCACTGTTATCGTTTCACAGGGGCTGATTGGCTCGTTCATTGAAGTTGCAGGACTCAGTCTGTACGTGGTAGGAACATTAAGTGTCATATCTGAGGCGGATGTCGTTATAGTACTTATGAATGCTCTCTTCATCGTCCCCGTCTTCTGGCAAATGGCAAAAGCCTGTCTTGAAGGGTTTGCCAATTCTGAGGACCCGATATCACAACGGCTGTTGAAGAAAGCACGTAAAAAGAATATTACAAACATGTTCTTATCTTTCTTTGCGATAATATTGCAACTTGGTGGCCTGGTTGGAATAGTTTTCATGGTAAGTTTCAAAGATACAAACCTGCTTGTATTTTTTCTCTCTCTGTAAGGGACCTTCAATCAAGCTTATACAAGTTTGTAGGAAATCTTTCTTTCTTTGCTAGCTTTGCATCTAGAATTGTCTTTTCTATACAAGCTTTGCATCTACAATTTATTAGAAAATTGTAGAAAGAGCACTGGCTTCTAACTAATTCAAACCAACTATCCTTAATATACGATTTACAATCAACATAGAAATTACATCGAAATATAAAGACAATGTGCCAACCAAGTAGGAATGAAAACTTGTAAACGATAACTTGCTTTTCGAAAACAATATAAAAATAAAGGGTTAAAGACATGAGCCTTGCAGAACTTCCCCTTCATTACCCTGGTAATCTGTTAAAAGCAGTGTTAAATGGCAATTGTAAACCAGGCATCGCGCACCATTCTAAAAGGGTGTGACCAAGAATTTTTTGAGGTTACGCTCTTTAGAATTTAACAGATTTAACAAGATAAGACACCAAGAAAATGAACAAAAATAGGTTCCTAGTCAAGACGAACTGCTACTACTACTTGGGATCCGATAGAGTAAGCTTTCCAAAGTTGTGTTAGAGTAAACTTTCTAAAAATTTCTAACCTATTATTGCAAAAAAGTGGGGGGGGGGGGCTATAGCGCTTGCTAGCCCAATGGCTGCGCGGTGCCTGTTGTAAACTGTAATCGGCGAGCAAATTTGCCATATTTCACTGCATGAAAGTTCCTTAAATAGCATCAAGATATGATATGCTAAATTTAATTCCGTCTCTCTTTGTAGACATCCAATAGCGAGATTCTAGACATCAAATTTATTCTTGTACCAACATCAATACTTCTGATATCTTTTGGTTGGTGTCCAAAAGTGAAAAAGTTACAAATTGACCATGATCTGGCACTGCATGTGGATGAAGAGAAGTACCCTGAAGACGCCATTAACGGAAATGGAACACTAGAAACGAGTCTCTCCGAACATTCAATGCCATCGACTGCCGGATCATCCGAAAACATCGCTGGCACGCGGAAACGAAAGAAAGTTTGGAAAAACGACACTCAAAAAGTAATTGTAGAGTCAAACACTGCTCGGGGAAAATCCACAATAATAATTTCACTGTTCAAGATATTACTAGTTCCTTTGTGCTGTGCAGCGGTAGCTCATTTTATGAAGGTTGCAAACCTAAGGCATATCGACTCCGGAATATACGCATTTTTTGAAGACAAGACGCTCACATGGATGTTCTTTGTGCAGCTTCTAACAGGCTTGATCGGGTATGTACTCTGATATTGAATACAATAGATGATAAAACAAAGCATACTTTGCTGTTGCAGTTACACGAAGTTCTATTTTATTAACTGACAAACCCCTCTTCCCCTCAATAACGAACACTTGTTAATAACGGCCACATCTCAATGACGGACACCCTCTAATAAAGGACACCTCCGAATGCCGAGCGTATCTAAACATCATTGAATAGAATTGTTCCATTTCTTGCAGTCAACCTCGTTGTCGGTTATTGGGTGGTATCCGCTATGCATACATAAGTTCTTCAGTTTTCCAAATGTTGCAACTTATCAGCAGAAGGTTTATCTTTAAACCAGTACAGAAGATACAGATAAAGGCATTATACACTCTTTTACAGTAGAAAGTATTACACACCTTTCTTTTTATAAGAACAATTTTATAAGAACACGAGCCTCAAAATTGAATGAAAGTTAAGAACAAATTAAGAACAAGCTGAGGCTGATCTACTGTACAATGCAATTTTGAAAAAATTTATTTTGTTAAAAACGAGAATTTTTAGGCATGTGTGGGTCCTTTTTCGGTGCATATTCAAATTTGCTGGCTAATACGAGACATTAAAGGTTATCTTACTCGCCTTGTTGACAAATAAGGTCTGAACACCCCCCACCCTCTCCCTGGAGCAAAAAAACTAGGAATACACTGTTAATTTAAGAATATATTAAGAACAATCAAGCCTCAGATATTCTTAAAAATTTAAGAATAGTCAGCCTGAACTTAAAATTATAGTTCATATAAAAAAGAGTGTATACATTGAATCACTGTCAAAGTCATTGTGCTCTTTTATCACTGAAGAAATTATTACTCTTTTACAGTAGAAGGTACTATGCACTTTCACTGTGGAAGATATTATTTATTCACAGTCTATTACATAGTAGAAAACAAAAGAGAATATAACAACACCCCGTTACAAACGTATTTTCCCAAAGAAACTTTGAGATCTGTTTATTCAGTTTTCACAACTAGAAAAACAGGTTTAACCCAACTGGCTTTGTTTTTATAGGTATCATCTTGCTTGGCTGGCTTGCACTATGACCATGCAAAGGCTGTGCTTTGCCCTGCCACTCACTCTTGCGACCCCAACAGCAGTTATTCTCATTGTCACTAACAGATGCGACAACAACTACATATCCTTTCTGAAGTGCTCCGAGAATAGTCCAATATGGCTGTACATTGCATTGATAAGCGTGGCCCTTTGGCTAGGCCAGTTCTTTGCTACAACTTACTATGCTTGGAAAAACCAAGACTTCATTATGGCAAATGAGGCAGTGTTATTTTGGATGCCTTCGTACGAAGGTATGAAGGTGGTGCTTAAGTCTTGCTTATCCTTCTGGTGTAGGCGGAAAATTACAAAACCTTTGAAAACTATTATCAGTGACCCGACATAGTGCTATTGCAAGCAGCCTTACAACTCTTCTGACTATTAGAATACCAGCCTTAGCTTTATGGGATCTTCAAAACAGCTTCAAGGGATCTTCAATGCAGCATAAAACTTGGGGGAACGTAATGTCTTATAGCTTTCAAATATGCCTAGGGTTTCAATAAAACAAAGAAACGACTTGCAAAACAATTTGTATTTAGAATATTATAAGGTGAAAGCTTCGTTGTTCCATACATAGTGTAACTAAATACGTTTTACAAGATAAGTATTTTAGAATAACAAAGGTAAGCATAGCTTTTCTCAAAACGCTTTCAAAGTAACTTAAATATGTTTCTTTCATTTGTAGGTGTCATGCTTGAACAAAATCTGCTCCTTAATAGAAAAAATGAAGCAACAAATGAATACTACGTCAACTATCGTAGTTTGGTAAAGGACAGTCGAATTTACATTTGCACCACAATGTACCACGAAGAAGCGTACGAAATGGAACAGCTATTGAACTCCCTCGGAGGTATAGACTGCGCTCGTAAGGAGGCTGGTCGCAGATTCGAGGCTCATATCTTCTTTGACGACGGTGTGCGAGACAAAACTTTAAAGAGATACGCATTACAGCTAGTGTCCCTGTTGGAAAAAACCCTGGATATCAAGCCATCATTTGCCAACAAGATAGAGACGCCGTACGGAATGGAACTGAAATGGAAGCTGCCCGGTGGAATGGACTTCCATATTCACCTAAAGGACAATTACAAGGTGTGCAGCGAATTTCATAACACGATACCCATTAAAAGTAATATGTACACTTCTAAAAATAACTTTGCATTGAAAACACTTCAGAATAGGTGCGTCCATTTGCTTGAAAAATTCATTCTTCTTTGAAACCCTTTAGATTCAATACGAGCCTCAGACAATACTTGAACTTTTCAAACATATTTCGTGGAATAAGAGTTACGCACTCTGCTATACTTCTAAATATGAAAGAGCAAAAGTAGACCAGGGTAAATAAGTATGAGAGCACTGAAAACTGTTTAAATTAGAGTAGAGTTGACATTGACATATAATTCCGCTTATTCTTTTTTCACAGCCAATCTATTGCAAACAATCAAGCATCTTTCTAGTGATTATAACTCTCGTTATTTCCAAATTTCCAAAATGTCTTTAAAACAAGCGCTCGAATCTCAGTGCCCTATATCTTTACTTGGAAAATTTTTAAAGTTTTATAAAACTAAGTTATGCTACTCTCGTCTGCATCGGCCATTGCTTTCAGAATAACAAAATATTTTCTGGCCAGGTAAAGAACAAGAAGAGGTGGAGTCAAGTAATGTACATGTCGTATGTGCTGGATTATCGAGAGCGTGGTAAGTGGTTATTTTGAGACAACGGGTATTCAAAATTGGGGGAAAAGTTTAAATCTTGCATGTGCTTGTTTCGGGAGATGTCCATGCAAAATTTGCTAACTAGTTTTTCCAATAGCTCGATCAATCTGTTAAACTAAGTGTTCTTAATATGTTACAATTGTGCAAATATTTTCTCCACCATAGGTTCTCCAAAAATTGCATCTAGCTACGGTCCGGTCTTACTTTAAAATCCTTTAAAGTTTCAGTTGTCATGATAAATGTTCTTGTAGCCGAGGTGCACCCCCTATCATTGTCAACTTGCATAAGCTCATTTTAATAGATTCTGGTTACATCAATTCGACACATATGCCTATGACTTCATGATGGTCTTTTTAGAAAACTGCGACCATGCTTACATCCTGACGACAGACGCCGATGTGAAATTCAGGCCTGATGACGTCATGGCATTGATGGATCTGATGAGTCGTGACCCCTCTGTAGGAGCAGTGTGTGGTAGAACACATCCCATGGGTTCAGGGCCTATTGTTTGGTACCAGATTTTTGATTACGCGATTGGCCATTGGCTCTTGAAAGTACGTGAGAGTTTTCTATAGAGTATTTAAAGATCCAGCTTTTTACATGGGTTATTGTCGCTTTCTTATTCGTAGAAAACATAGTTTAGGAAGTTTGTTGAGATAAACATAGTTTAGGAAGCCTACTAATAAGATTGACTTTTATCTGTGACAGCTACTGTAAACTTCCCTAAAATTGGTTTGCCTAATTGATTGGAATCCACCACTCGTAGCACACTTTTCAGTTTGCTGAGATTAATCCTTAGAAAAGGCAACAAGACTCGATGCAATGACGTCCATGCAACGTCGTAGCTACGCCCAGTCATGAAACCAATTATATCCTTGTAAGGCTCTCTAAAATTCTGTTCCTCCATGCAGCTTTAGGAAGGTTAACGACAAGAGTATTAAACTAATGGACCGGAGTAAGGTCATTGGAAACAGAGTGAATTTCTGTGCCCCACCCAGACAAATCCACATCAACATAATTTTTGGAAAATTTTTGTCTTATTTATTGGCTTAAAGAAGGATGAATATTTCCTTGACACCGCACAAATTATATACATGTAAGAAATATTCAGTGAATTTCTTAATGTTGCTTCATTTTATGGCCCAGATCAAGGATAAAGAATAGGTTCAAATAAGATCAAAAAGACTGGAACTTATTTTAGGAAATCTTGGAGTTTTGGTGGCTTCATTAGGAAGACATTCGGTTACAGATAGAAAATGTATTGTGTAGCGTTAACGCTAATAAAAGACACTGGCTTATACGCCTGTATTCATCATATTCTGAATCACGACTAACTTACATTGTTAATTACAATTACTTATAATACACGAATCTGGTTACAATCAATCAACAACAACAGAGTACAAAGCATAGTGACAGCAGTACATTACAAACATGATACAGAGATGATGACATATAGATTGATTACAGGCTAGTACATTACACCTTCCCCTCCCTTACAATGTTGAGTGTAGCAAAGGTTGGTCTGTGTTAATGTGCAACAACCTCTCCGTAACGTTGGGGGGGGATTAATGACCTGACGAAGGTGAGGTGGTCTGGCAGTACCCCTTTGAACAACTCCTTGCATCTCTTCATGCTGGACAACTGGAAAACCCTCCCTAGGAATTATCCCTGGAGTTTCAGGGACTGGATGGAATGGTTGACCCTGGCCCAGGGGCAAAGGGCAAGCCTTGAGTTGATTGTGATGGGCTACAAGAAATTTGCCATTGCTTGACCTGATGTTATAGTTAACCCCACGTCGAGTGCAGATTTGGTATGGCCCAACCCATTTCCTACCAAACTTCCAGCTTTTGGGGCGCCATAGCCAAACCGTTTGTCCAATATCAAAAGGTTGCCATTCTTTGAGGGTCTTGTTGTTATAATGCATACTCTGTCTAGATCTAGCTATTTCTAAGTTTTTCTGAGCTATCTGATTGGCATTCTGAATAGCCTTGCGTAAGGACTGACTATAATCAGATTGGCTTGATGGATTCTGCAGAGGTACACTTAACTCAATTTCAATGGGCATGCGTGCTGGGTGCCCAAAAACTAACTCATAAGGAGAGAAACCTGTTGATTCATGTATACTTGTGTTATAGGCAAAGACGGCCTGGTCTAACCATTGGTCCCAGTCACCACTATGGTCTGATACAAAATTACTAAGTATGTCCTGCAGGGTGCGATTTTGCCTTTCAACCAACCCATCACCCTGCGGATGATAGGCTGTTGTTCGTGACTTCTTAACCCCCATGATATTATAAATTTCATGCATTAATGTACTGTCAAAATTCCGTCCTTGGTCTGAGTGGATGACCGTCGGTGGACCAAACCTGGAGAAAACGCGAGAGACAAGTGTATTGGCTACAGTGGCGGCTTTTTGATCCTTTGTTGGGAATGCCTCACACCATTTGGTGAAGTGGTCCATCATGACAAGAATATGTTTGTTACCCCTAGCAGTTTCAGAGATAGGTCCCATATAATCTATTGCCCAAAAAACAAATGGCTCACTGACTTGAATGGGTTGCAAAGGAGCTCGTGTCTGTTTGGAATCATGTTTTCCTTGGCTACAAGCTGGACAATTTTGAACAAAGTTGGTAATAGAATCAATCATTTTAGGCCAGAAAAATCGTTCCTTACACCGCATTATAGTGCGCCTAATGCCCATATGTCCACCAGATGGGCCACAATGAAGACTTTGGAGAATATTAGGGATTAAACTATCAGGTATAACCACAAGTTCCCTAGAAAACCCATGCTTAGATACCAAGGCCCTTACCAGCAGCCCATTACTGACATACAGTTGATCCCAGCAACTCCAAAAAGATGAAAGATTGGGGTTCCTTTTCCACACAAATGAAGGGGGTTTTGGAAAACCTTGTTCCTTAATTTCAATAACCTTCAATATATGCGGGTCAGCACGCTGAGCTTGATGCAGATTTGCATCTGGTAATAAATTCACTAAACAACTTACAGCAGGGTTGGTTTGACTATTTTGGTAATGATTTAAACGAGAGAGGGCATCTGCATTTTGGTTGGAGCTACCAGGTCTGTGGCTTATTGTAAAATCAAATTCTTGGAGATCCATGAGCCACCTGGCAATACGACCCTTAGGTTCTACAGTATGCAACCATTTAAGGGCCTGATTGTCAGTGATAATCTGGAATGCATGGCCTACAAGATAAACACGAAAGTGTTGAGTGGCAAAGACAATAGCCAGGGCTTCCTTTTCCATGGTGGAATAATTTTGCTCTCGAGGAGACAGGGTCCGACTGGCATAAGATACAACCCTTTCATGGCCATTATCATCTAATTGCGCTAATACAGCACCAAGGCCAACATTTGATGCATCAGTTTGCAAAATAAAAGGTCGATCAAACTGAGGGTACGCCAAGATGGGAGCAGAACATAAGAGTGCTCTTAGTGTTTCAAAAGCAGTCTGGTGCTGTTCTGTCCACTCAAACGGGATACCTTTCTTGGTAAGTTCAGTCAAAGGGGCTGCCATGGTTGCAAATTGAGGGATGAAACGCCTATAATACCCTGCTAGTCCTAAGAATGATCTAAGCTTGTCCAGGTCAGTTGGTGGGGGTAAATCCTGCACAGCCTTAATTTTAGATGGATCAGTATGAACCCCTTTACTTGAGACACAGTGACCTAAATAAATGACCTGATCGGCACCAAAAGAGCATTTAGAAGCCTTGACACGCAGCCCATTTTCACGAAAGCGTTGCAAAACAGATGTTAAACGTTCACAGTGTTGTTCAATGGTATCAGAAAAAATGATTACGTCATCAAAATAACAAAGGCATATATCATAGGTTAAACCTGATAAGATAATGCCAACGGCCCTAGAAAATGTTGCTGGAGCTGTTGATAATCCATATGGCATACGAAGGAATTCAAATAGGCCACCAGGGGTAATAAAAGCTGTTTTTTCTCTATCTTCTGAGGTCATACTTACATGCCAGTAACCGCTGCGGAGATCAAGAGTACTAAAGAGCTTGTTGTTATTTAGAGAATCAAGAAGGTCATCTACTCTAGGCAAGGGGTGAGCATCTTGCTTGGTGACAAGGTTTAGCTTGCGGTAGTCAACACAAAATCTATAGGACCCATCCTTCTTTTTAACAAGGACAACCGGAGACGCCCAAGGGCTAGTGCTTGGTTGTATAACCCCTTTTTCTAACATTTCATTAACCTGTTTATGAATTTCTCCTCTATAATGATAAGGCAACCGTCGTGGATGCTGCTTTATTGGCAAAGAGTCACCAGTATTTATACTATGAGATAATACCGAGGTATGGCCTAAACCATCATTAAAAACATCTGGAAAAGAAAGCAATGTCTCAAGAATCTGTTTCTGATCTGACTTACTAAGATTAGGACTAATAGCTGCATGTAACTCAGACAAGGTAACTGAATCAAACTTATTGTTTTGAACACTAGCACACATGTTGTGTATAGGTGGACTAGATGAGGCTGAGGGTATAACTGGCCAAAACCTAGCTATTTTTTGTCCTGCATGAAGTTCAACAGAAGATTTGGACGGATTGAGAATTCTCACTGGTATCATCCGCTCAGAGGCTTGACTAATACTGTATGCAGTAATATAAGATAATTCAGAATCTCCACTGAGGCTACAGACCATGCCTATTTGTTCTTTACAATTCTTGGGGATTTGAGCTTGTATAACACTTTCTGTTCTACCTGGGATGGATATATCAGTGCTTAAGGTCACAAAGACAGGCCCATAGTCTGATGATTGGACAAAAACAGGTATATCTTCCTTACAAGATGAATTGACAGGGGCAGAAAGACCTGGGGGTGGAGGTTGGACAGGAAGAGACAAAGGGGTCAAAGGTGTGCTGCCATGGGGCCCAACAAGGCAATAGGAATCCCCTATAACAGTCAACTGCAAAGAATAAAAGGTTAAAAAAATCCCAACCAAGTACACATTGCAGAGGGGCAAGCACATTATCACATACCAAGAACTCTCCTACATACAAAAATTGGCTTCCCGGAAAAGACAAAGAAATATCTGCTGAACCTGAAGAATTTAGCGGCTGTCCTGTAATAGAAACACAACTGTTGGATATGCTTCGAAGTGGAGGAGGGGCTTTGTTTTGGTGTGCACAGCGTGCAGAAATACGCTGAAAGACACTTGAACTAAGCAGGGATTTCATGGAACCAGTATCAATTAAAACTGGAACCTGCACACCTTCAAGCTCACAAAATAGCAGGGGTTGGCGAGGGGCTAAGGGTTTCAAACGAAAGTTCGAAGCAGAACCAACAGCAAAAACAGAGGGGTGCTCGTCGTCCCAGCCCCTTAACGAGGCACCCCCTGGAAGTTTAAAGACGCCTTACTACCATTTATATAATGAGGCCTAGCTGAATTAACAAATTGTTGATTGTCCGGAAATGGAGAGTCCTTAAGTTATTTTCCTGGGTGAATCGGCCCTTGTTATTTGCACAGATACTTTCGTTGTGTCCCCATCCAGAACAAAGTGAGCATTGTCGATTTCCCTTTCCAGAACGTCTTCGGCGTGGACAGTGCCGTCTCATGTGGCCCACTTCATGGCACTCGAAACAACGAATTTCTGGCCGACTGCTACTCCTTGATTCACCGATAGCTGCGATCAATTGGTTCTGGCCTTCCACAACTTGGGTCAACAACATTTGTAGGTCATCGCGTGACTTGCATTGCGGCTCATCGCAAGGAAACTGTGGAGGCACGGCATGGGTGGTAGTAGCACATGCAGGATTGCCGGAGGGCAAAACTTGAAGCGATCGAAACCGTTTCGAAAACGCCAACATTTCGTCCAATCCTGGGGTAGGATGGGATTCCAAGAGCTTCAGCTGGACAACATTAGGTAGGCCTTTGAAGAACTGGCGTCGCAAAAGGGCATCAAAGGCATCTTCGGATAAATCCGGTTCAGCGAGGTGGAGGGCATCTTTAAGCCGCCACAAGTAAAGGGTGGGGTCCTCTGTTGGTCGTAAACGGTGTTCCTCAAACTCTCGATAATACTGTTCCCGGTTTACTGCAGGGGCAAAACAGTTCTTCAGGCCGTCGACCAAATCTTGGTACGTGGTGCGATCACCAGCGTCCAGTGACTCGAAATAGGATGCGGCCGGTCCTTGTAGAAAAGCGGGCAGTTTGCACAAGCGGGTTTCCTCATTCCACGAGTTGGCTTGAGCACAGCGCTCAAAATGGCGAAACCACGAAAGGAAATCGCCAGAGCTGAATCGTTCCGGAATAATGTTGGTCGCCATTCCTGTCACCAAAATGTAGCGTTAACGCTAATAAAAGACACTGGCTTATACGCCTGTATTCATCATATTCTGAATCACGACTAACTTACATTGTTAATTACAATTACTTATAATACACGAATCTGGTTACAATCAATCAACAACAACAGAGTACAAAGCATAGTGACAGCAGTACATTACAAACATGATACAGAGATGATGACATATAGATTGATTACAGGCTAGTACATTACAATTGTTCCAAAATATATATCTGCGTGCTAAAAAGATAATTTTGAATTTGCTTAGAGTTTCTGGTCCCATTTGCTTGTCCGTTAGAGTAGCTTACACTAACATACTTCATTCCGTTACCACAATCGTTGACTCTTTAACAACGCAGTGGCGAAGATTCTTCTTTCTTTGTGAACTACTTACACACGTACTTACACACGTGTCTAATTTTCATGCCAACCATTCTTAACTATTGCCTTTTCTTGCGTTACTAAAATATCCTGTTACTTGTACCTAGGTGGCAGAACACGTGCTTGGATCAGTACTGTGTTCTCCTGGCTGCTTTAGCATCTACCGTGCACGTGCGGTAAAGGATGTGCTGCCAACGTATGCAAGCCACGTTGAATGTGCACTTGACTTTCTCACAAAGGATATGGGTATGACCAAAACTTTTATGTAATGTAAACAAGATTCTTGTAAACACATAAAGTTTATCGAGCGTATGTCGCATTGAGAAGTCTTGATGAGAACTCTTTTGCAGGGGAGACCAGCTGGTTATGTGTGAGACAGCCCCGTCTTGAATGCATAGAGCATGCGTAGTAATGATTAACCCCTTTGCGCATGCTCTTTTACTACAAGACGAAGGATCCTCTCTCGCATTATAAGACTTCCTCTTACTTGTATCACAAACAACTTTTGTACCCTGCCTATAATCTAATTTGAGACACAATTTTAATTCCTACTATTCTTTCACTCAAACATAGTCCCACTACACTTCACAAACACTACTTAATAGCTAGCTTATTTAGCCATATTTTCTTAAGCTCATCTTATGATAACGAAGAAAATACTCTACAGAATCCTAGCATGCTGGCCAGTCAAGTCAATCTCTCTTAAAGGCAACGGACAGATACTAAAGTGTCTGAGCCACCTGTCAATAAAATATTGACCAATCAAGAAGCCTGTGAGTAGCATCATGTGAGCCGTGCCATTCGCCACAAAATGAACCAACTAGTCCTCGATGCGATCAAATTTCTAACTGCTCTTGATGCGCATCTCTGCATACCATGTGTTCTTGTATCCGTTTGTTGCCTTCAATGATTCGTCTTTGATAAATATAGCAACTCCTGATAAATACTGGTAAAGGTATCCTTCAGAAAAAATTGTTTTTGTTCCTTTGTCAACTGAAACATTGCGCAAATTTTCCGTGCATCAGATTTTGATTCCCAATCCGGAATTCTTGCTTTGGCTTATTTTGTACAGCCAAAAACAATTTGAACAGAAAGCCCGTCAGTATTCCCTGTTCCGGGCCGGCATCGCTTCCGGTAGCATCGCTTAAAATATTTGTAAATTAGAGCACTTAAAAATAGAAGAATCCCGGTACCATCGCTTAAAGTTATTATTCACAATGAGCTGATGCAAGATAATAAGAAATGAGATCATATGAGCCCGCTGTCGTGTAAACCGGAAAGAAATACATTGGTACCGGTCCGCTGGTACTGGTCCGGCTTCAGGTCGGTGTTGGTACATGGCAGCATAACACTGACATCATATTTTGTTTGAATTAGGCGAAGACCGCTGGTTATGTACGCTGATGATAGAACACGGGTGGAAGCTGGAGTACTGCGCAGCGGCTGAGAACAGCACATACTGTCCGGATACATTTGATGAGTTTTTCAAGCAAAGGAGACGATGGACTCCCTCCACTCTTGCGAACCAAATTGTTTTGATCCAGAAAGCTGGAACAATTCGCAAAAGCAATGATGTTATAACTTTGGCGTACATTTTCTACCAGTTGCTGTTAATGATTTCGACAATTGTGGGGTAAGGAACTATGATCTTTAAATTCAGGCTTTTGATCTTCCCTTGTATTTGGTCAATAAAGTTTACTGTAAATCTTTGCAGTCACATCAGGCATCAACTGCAAACAGCATTGGCTCAATGACCAGACCTTGCAGGACTCACCCCTTTCAACTGGTAATAACAATCCATAATTCAATGAAGAATGCCTTTCACTTAAATGCTGTTTTTCTTTGTGCAGGCCAGCAAATGTCATCCTGGTTATATCATCAGGCTTAAATTACGCTTTTCCAACGACAGTGAATTTGATAGCGATGTTTGCATTTGTTGTAACCACTGTAGCAGCCTTCATCGTGGTCTGCATTTACACATCCCAAGATTTTCAGCTCAAGGTAGCCAAGCTGCTCACACTAGCATTTGCAATCATCATGACAATCACTACAGTTGGGCTGATGGCACAGGTAAGATGCCAATCCTTGAGTTATATTATTTGTTTGATGCAAGCTCTAGCCGTCTGCGTTTCGGAAAGGGCACATTTGACTTTTGTATCAATCACCCTAGCTTTTGTAATATTCTAATGCATATGCATTTATTTGTTTACAGTAACTTTTGAATGATTCTTTGTTTTGAACACAAAGGACCATTTTAAAGTCAGTCTGAAAGGTCGTCAGTGGCATGCTCCGACAGGACATGAATGGGGAATTAAAGCCTCCCTTCCCTCCACTAGCTTACAGGTCCAGCCTGACCCGACTGGTACCACCTGGCAGGGTTCCTTAGCTCAGGGCTACGAGCGAAGGCCAACGGCTAACTCGGCGGGAGACCGGCAAGGAGGGCGGATGACCTACGACTCCAGGGGTCAACGGCTTTGGGCGGAAGAACTCCTGGAAAGAGGGATGGTGTCCCTTCTCTAGAGGTGGTTCTGGGGGCCCATCTCTACTATTAGCCCCTTAGTTTAATCTTTGACCATGACGACAAACCAAAACTCAGATTTTGGGATAGTTGGAGGGTCATGGTAGCCAACCTTCTGATAGAAGATGGTACCTGATGATGATGTAAGGTCGTCAGGACACTATTGTATCATATCACCATGTCTTGCTGACCTCGTATTGAAATACCAACAGAAAGGAAGGACATCATCATCTGCTTATTTATTGCTTTGGTCAATAGTATCCAATATGGTATGAATAAATAACATACAAAGTAGGGAATCGTGAACGGCTCCTTTCTGTAACGAATACACCTAAAAGCCGGTCGTCAATTTTGAAAGCAATTCTGAAGGGGTTCTTTGCAGGCAATGCTTCTAGGCTGGTAACATGTTTCAAACGTGGTGTTATCTGAACAGCGTACAAATAGCTTGGTCCGAACCAATCAACTTCCAGAACAGCTGCATTCATGTCAGCATTTTATCAGCAGTTTTGACCCTTGTGCATGCAACTGAAAGCTATATAGACCCACTTGTCCAATGAATTAACTACTTTTTGCAATACAACAGGTCGCAGATGACATCGCCAAGCAGTTTCGCAATACCGGTAGTTTTCACTTGTCTCCTTCCACCATTTACCTCCTATTCATGTGCTGCCTGTTCTCAGCAACTGCTCTCCTCCATGGTGTCGAAGGCTCGAATCTCATACACGGCCTATGGTATCTGCTTTGCCTGCCATCAGGCTACCTGTTTCTTACAATCTACTCCATTGCAAATTTGACGGACAGATCCTGGGGTAAGCAACTTTCAACATTAGTAATATAATCTCTATATCTTTCTGTAATTTTTTATTTGATTCATTTAATCTTAAAGAATATTATAGAACCCAATTAATAATAAACAAAATCAGTTTGATCTGTTACCAATTGTAGTATGTTCTCGTTAGGTTATATCTGAGCCATTTTGAAAAAATTTAACTGTTTTAACATTCATGAGACAGGGTATCATTAAGTATGTACGGTAAAATTAAGTTCCTGGTGAAAAGTGTATTTTTTACTTCATATGTGAAAGCGCAGCGGTTTTTTGGGATTGCACTCACCATTATTGTTGCTAATGGAAACATCGGTAGACAGTATTCAAACGGACTTAAATACTTGGTGTAAAAATACTCACCGTCAGAGTCTAACCCATCTTCAATGGAATTAAGAATAAATAAGTTTTGTTGTTATGATGGTTTTATCGCTGATTTAAGTGAGCTCGGAGATGCGGAATAAACAAATTCTATTTTCATTCGTTTTCTATCTCAGATTTTCAGGTATTCGATATAAAAGCAAAAATTATCTCAACTTGGCTGATAGCATCCAGTTCACTGTTGTTTTAAAATTAAAATGAATTAAAATAGATTAATCTTAAATTAGTACGCAGGTGCCATGCCCTTATTTAAATCATCAAAACAGTTCTTAAGATATGATAAATGTTTGATCAAACAATCACAGGGACAAGAGAAGCTAAATCTGCTAGCTCAGCTGCAAGTGCCGACCCCTGGTATCATATTGTATGGCGACACATGAAAGATTTGTGCAGTTATTGCTGTCGCAACCGACTTTATCAAGACTCCGATCAATCAAGGATTGTTCTGACAGCAAGCGACCTCATGTCTGAAGCAGGCGAATCCATATCTGATGAAAGCACCCGTGTATGTTTTGTACTAGCGTCTGTTCTTTTCTTTATTTTTTTCATTTCTAGACCATTCCATGTAATATCTTCTGAGTTCGTCTCGTTGATACAATCTTTCAAGAAACCACAGTTAATTATAGTTAACTGCTCAAAGAAATTTAGTCATTTTCTATTTTCAACTGTGAAGTAAAAAAGAAGAATCAGAGATTGTGGTTTATATTTACAACCAAGCAAAGTCTCGCCTTCTTTGTTGTTTTCTGGAAGGTTAAACTACTGTTTAATAAAACTTGCCAACATGTTTAAAAATTTGCCAACGAAGCATGCCAAGGTGGAACAACTCCCCATATTTGAAACGAAAGTTTTTATAACAAGGTGTCTCTTGACTCTCAGTTCTTCCCAAAATAGAAAAAAACATGACAGTTTTGCAGGCCGTCCGTGAAAACAAAGTAATTTAACGTCAATTATTTAATCATGCATACTTTCTTCTTTTCATATAAGAGGGTTTCAAGAACTGGAGAGTACTTGCCGGGAGGAAAGACAAACAGTCCTTGTATTTGCTATTGTCTGCATAGATGATTTTGCAATGGCAACCATTAAGCAACTGGAAGTGTTTTTGCAACTAAGTGTAGAATGTATTAACCACAAAAACTATATGGATTATTACCTAAAACATTCAAACATAGTTTTTAAATCATTTATTCTGCTTCAAATCAAGGAGGTTTCCTCAGCCGACCAGAACTTATCAGAATGCGAAGATCAATTTCAGAAGGAAGACGAAAAGCCCCCTCGACCCCCAAAGCCACCAAGAATTCCTTCGAGGACGCCGAGAGGACAACGTGACAGGCTGCTATCTTTGAAAGGAAGTCCCCAGAGAGTGACCTTTGCCCCTGGGATCAGATTCAAGTCATTAAAAAGGAGGGGCCTGCACAGTTGTGAGTTTTGCTTTTGGCAGAAAAACTTCATAGTTGTGATATTCTGCTGCGCCAAGTCAGGGCTCTTCACATCAGTTTTCTGTCAAAATTCATTTCGTTTTCTCTTGCACGATGCAGCTTCTAGGCAAAGCAATTTATTTATTTGTTCAGCGTGTACATCACAAATTCACTGAATAGAGCCATGTGCACATATTATCAGACACGCCCATTGCTAGATAGCTATCAATTCACATACTGTGATTTGTTTCCAGATAAAGATATAGCTGGATAGAAGCAAAGATAACGCTCTAGAAAAGATCAATATCTTGCTCAATTAGATGTTCAATATTCTAAGCAGATTTAGGGATTCTCTGAAAACCACCAATTGCATTTAACAAAAACAAACTGTTAAGGGGCCTGAATCACAGGTCGCGCCAGAGCTGCTCCAAACTGCGCAAAAATGAGAGCTGGGCGAAAGCAAAGAGGAAAGAGGGAAGACTCGGATTTCTGATTTGTTTCACTATAACACAAGAAAATAGTTTGCTGTTAATGAAATCAAAAGGGATTTCCTTTTCCCGATTTCCTTTTCCCGATTTCCTTTTCCCAATTTCCTTTCTTTCACCTCCGCTTCCCCAGCTTTCATGTTTTCTAGTTAAGAGTTTTTTATTCACTTGATATTCCGTGCATTTTGCAGTTTCTGCTTTATAATATTAGCCAAAGGTGCCAAAAATCCACTGCTGGATCGCTTCGAGAGGCGTTCCTCCATCGAAAGTTTGTATTCCTTTTACAAAATCCCTTTTGTTTTCTGAAAAAGTCCTCACAACAAATCCTCTAGGTATGTATGTACGAATGCAGAGGCTGGTAGCTAGGTATTCCTCAGAGGGGGTCGTTAGTTTCTCTAAAAGTGCCTATGTACATGTAGGCAACATCACTATTCTATCGATACATAGATTAGAGGGAGGTTAGGGGCAAAGGCGGGTGTGATCGATCTGCTCTTATGTCTTCCCTTTGGTCATGGGACATGAGGTATGTTTGTGTAATGATTGTTCATTAATTACCTGCTTGCACTTATTCTATGTTTGATCTTTATTCTGTTAAACATAGCCATGAATGGAGAAGAAGATGGCGAGGTTTCTGTGTCAACCATTCCAATCGACGAATTTCTTCACCGACAGTATAAGGTATTTTTATCCATCTTCGTATTCAACCTGTTTGTGACGTCATAAAAACTGTTGCAAACATTACATTTCACACAGGAATCACTTCTAATGCTCCCAGTCTAGGTTAACAGTACAAATACTGAGAGTGTTCATATGTACGAACAAAATTATTCTCATAAAGCAACTGTTAATATTTGCTGTTTATAAATTACCTGTCAGTATGTACTTCTGAGCTCACGCCCCGAAAACTATGGCTTCAATTTGCTGCCAGCATTGTCCCATCGATTTCGACTTTTTCTTAGAAAACATTATAGATAGCTTTGTTCCCCATATTATGATTTTGAAACGTACACTCATTTTTTTTATAAGAAACAAAGGTCGATGTTGAGTACTCCAGTTTCTTAAAATTTGTTCAGAAAATTTGAATACTCATTGTTTCTTAAGAGTTTTTTATTTAAGATGTCATAAATGATGTTGTGAAATGTTCATGACCTTTTTTATCACATCAAGAGATTCGCTTCCGTTCTGATGCTGTATTTAGATGTGGGAAGTATATTTTCATCCCTCGTGTTTTTAGTTCTAGGCCAACAGAGAAATAATGTTCTTGGATTTTACGAAATTTTTCTGTTCTCAGTTTTATCACGATTTAATATTTTTTTTTATTTTTTTTGCTTCGAGTGCTGAAGTTTCTTAATTTTTTCTGACTGTCCAGTACTCGTTTCTTATAGCCAGTTTCTTATAAAGAAATTGAGTGTATATTAACACTTCAATTGAGATGAATTTTTCTAAATTTGATACTTTTTATAGGAGTATCTGGAGAATTTTACGGACCATGGATATGACGATAGCACGTTCCTCGTTGGCATGAAAGAACAAGTAAGATTCGTGTTTTATTTCAACGCTACTGAACATTTGATTATTTTTAGGATCAGCTTGCCATTAGTATAATCAACCATTCGTTGTTTCTGTAGGTTACAATAAGTTACTACAGGTTACTGTAACTTGATTTGTTTCCAGGATTTTCTTGACATTGGTTTAATACAGGGTTGTTTCTCTAGGTGACAAAAAGTAACTACATGCTGATATAAGTGGTTTTGTTCCCAAGAGTTTCTTGACATCAGTATTCTCAATTGAAGTAACTATAGGTTACAACAAGTCAATACAGAATACTTTAACTAGTTTAATTTCCAAAATTGCCGTATTATCAGTATACTCAATGCAGTTTCTGAAGGTTACAACAAGTAACCACAGAACACTTCAACTTGTTTTGTTTCCACAGTATTCATGACATCAGGATACTAAACCGTGGTCACTAAAGGTTACTTTACTTGTTTTATTTCCAGGATCTTCTTGATATTGGTATAATCAACAGAGGTCATCGTAAAAAATTGCTTCATGAAATTGAAAAGCTTCCACCAGAAGAAATGGACCAGGAGGTTCCGGTAAGTTTTAAGTTGCACATGAACCTATGCAATACAGTTTTTTAAGGAAACAATGATGCATATTTTCTATAATCAAGAGCTTTTCGGCGTAAGAAGGGCAACAAAATTAAATGAAAAATTGACCGGCGTCGGACTCTCAGCCTGCGATGAAAAGGCTGAGATTCAATAGCTTCTTTATTCATTGTTGTTAAAGAAATTGGTGTTGCTAGAAGCCAAGAAAAGAGCCTTCTTGCATTTTTCGACACTTTTTTATGCCATAAAGCACTAACGTAGGAATGTCCAATTCAGAAATGCGTTTTGATTTGACAGGACAATGTGCGAGATTGGCTGATGAAGCTAGGCCTAGAAGACTACTGGGATCAGTTTAGCGAGAACTCCTATACCGAGCCGAATTCACTGGCTGATCTCAAATTCATGGATCGCCCGACTATAATGCAAACATTCAGGATCACAAAAGAAGGCCATCTTAACAAGCTGTCGAAAGCAATAAGTTATTTGGCTTATCCTAATGCTGGTATGTTGAATATTTCATTAGCCTTATCAGGGGCAACAACGTATGAAATTATCCAGTTATATACTGGATCAGACTGGCATATGTTTAAGAGCGCCCAAATTCCGCCTCCAAGTGGTAAATACATTTAAGACCAAAGTAGCTATGGGGAATTTTCTTTGACCACAGGCAAATAAGCAATTTGTCCTTCGTTTTGAGATATCTGTTACTGAGCAGGCCCGGGGGGGCTGGGGGGCTGGGGGGCTGGAGCCCCCCAAATAATTGTCAAACTGTAGTATGTTTTCTTTATAACAGTGTACTAAATAAGAAGGAAAACAATGGGCAGCCCCCCCCCCCCCAATATGAATTTCGTTCCGACGGCACTGCTGGGAAGAACCGGTTGTTTGGAAGTGTCCCTTATGAGCGGTGTCTGTTCTTGGTGCGAGGTCTCTACCAATATAATATTTTCTTTTATTGAAGTCAAAGAGCAAATGTTCTGCCACGCCACGCCATGCCATGCCATATCTTTCTGTTGAAAAAACCACATAGCAATTTTTTAACTTTTTTCTAGCCCAAAGGAAGGTTCGAAAAGCCCGTATTGAGCTTGACAAAGCATCTATGGTCACCCAGGACGCGAAAGAGAACAGGTTTTGGGAAAAATTGCGGACAATATGTCTCTTGCCTGAACAAGCTGCGTTCAGCCAAAGTGATGAACTGAAGGACAAATTGACAGAGCTGCGAAATACGGGGTTGATGATGCTCGTTGTAATCAACATTCTATGGCTGACTATCATGCTTACAATCATCGCACAAGGCGCAAAGCTTCATGTTCTCAACACGAATTTCCTTGGTTTGATGTTTTTGTCACTGTACACAATCGTTCTGCTGGTCCAGTTTTTCGCTCTATTGTGGCATCGCATCGGTACCTGGATTCATTTGATGTCCCGCACACCGTTTAAGCCCGGTTCAAACATCAACATGAGCTGGTCTTTCCATGACGAAGATCTTCCTCCGGAACCAAGCGATGAAAATTTGTTAATTGCGCATCAGAGAATAAACAGTCGTATAGAAAAACAACCGCGTAAAAGAGTCAACTCAACTCCGGACACAACAAGAAGATTCCGGACAATTTTTCCTCCGGATGAAATCTAACTGTTTAATTTCATTCTTTATTATCTTTGATTTTCTTTTATTCTCTGAATAACAAAATATTGAAATTGATATGGATTATTAAGCTGCGTTGTTTTGGGAAAGGATTATTTGAAAATATAGAATGTTTTTTATAGATTTGGCCACATTTTATGGCCACAAAAAAGTGGGATCGCATTACGCCCAGTGTGTCCCTTTGATATATCTCAGCACATCATTTCTATAGAGATATGGACATCAGAACATCAAATTTTGAATGAGAGCAGATTTATTGTCAACATTTATGATTGAAAAATATGCTCGATGTATATTTAAATTTAAAGCATTTGAAGATTTGGGTTTGAACCATGATGCATTCGAATTTTATTATTTTACTCTGTGTTCCGTTTAATTTGTTGTCTTCTGAATTCTTCAAAAACCAGCAGACATTGCGGTGAGGTTTTCCGCAAGAGCAAGCTTTCGCAACGATCTGGGCACTAATCTCTACCCAAAGCTCCTTGAGGAATTATTTAAAGATTTGTTGGAAATTTCCCCGAAGCATCATTTGGCTACTCGTTCTATTTTAACCGTACATCCTTTATGACGTAACACAAATAGAGAAGATAATAAATTGATAAAAGTCTAATCGCCCGCCTTTAGACTGGCAGCTATTGTCTCCTTTTGCTACCTTTGAGAGTCCTATGCAAGAAGAAGCCAAGCTTTAAGTCGAATGCCTCGTTCTTGTGAATCAGTAATTTGGGGGGGGGGTGGAGGCTTTACCCTTTAAAGCTTCATATTTTTAGGAAAAGCTTGGAAAACACGCAAGTTTGTCGGAATTTTTTAAGCAAATTTGTCGTTAGACCCCTACAACTCGCCACTAGTAAGTGATGAAAATTTCGTAAAAAAAGTTTTATTTTTCTGTCTGTGGAACGAAAACAGACATTTTTTATAAGAAATCAATTTATGGGCAACCAAGTAGAATCAAGTTGAAAAAATACCGCTTTGAAACCAATTGAACCTTGTTTATTGTGTTATTTGGTAACTATTGTTATGGTAAATTAATATCTAAGCAATTATTTGATAAGGAAGGATATTTATTGCTAAGATGGTAAAGCATGACAAGACAGTCTCTTCTCTTATGTCTCGACATGTCAAAGGAATCATCTCAAAAATTCGAGGGGCACCACGGATGGACAAACAAAGAGTTTCTATTGATGGACAAACAAAGATTTCTTTGTAGTCTTTTGCGTTGCATTCTACTGTTAATTGTAGTTCTGCTTTGTTCATAGAAAATGGATTCTTGCTGGAATGAAAAACTAGAAAATAAACCTTAAGGCTAGAATTTAATAAAAAATAATGACGTATTGTGTTAAGATACCCCGAAAAAACTTTCAATGCCAAAGATCGCTAAGACACTTTTAGTACAATGCTAGGATACGAGTTGCTTATAAACAGCTCGTGTATAAAAACATTCCACCAAGGGCATCGCGGTAGGGGGGAAGAATCGTTGGGGAACATGTGCTCTCTGAAATCTTGATATAAGAGCAATTTTATGTTTCTAGATAAATTAAGAATCATGCCTGTTCATTTTTCAAAAGTTTTATAGAAAAGTAGAAGAATTATGGATTTCAGTTCGGCTTTTTCCATTGCACTAAAATGTTGTCGAATAATCAAACAATGCTTATATAGATATTGATTTTTCAAAATCTTGAAAATTCTTGCCAAAATGGACACATCTTTTGTGGGAATTGTAGTTACATATACCCCCTTTCCAAGATACGAATATTTCACGAGCCTCGTTTCGGTATCAGAACTTCGTCGTTCTAAGGTCCTTATCTACCCAGGGTAGTCCTCATCTCGAAAGCCTATTCCACAGTTCTTCCAGTGCCCCATATTTCACAACAAATACTCAGGGGTAAGCCCCGTGCCCACTCCATACTCGCATGCAGTGGGCGCAATTACAAATGAAAAGATACCCTAGAAAGGAGATGTCAATAAAAAAATGTAAATATTTGGCATCAAAGCACTTTGAATTTCCGTGTACACGTCACTGGTAATACGTCAATGCACTTCTTTTGTGGTCGCTTTGTTGCTTGTCCGGGCAGAGGTTATCTCCGGGCCTTTTTCCAGCCTTAATGGATTTAAGATTCTAGGCTCGGATTGGCCACACGGAAAGTTTTCAAGTGAAGTTGAAAAACAGACAGTTTTATTTTTATCGTCATTAGCATGGATTATTTCAATAAGGGCCAAAGTAATTCTGCTTTGATAGTTTGCCAAATTGTCTAAACAAGCCCAATTTCCTGTGTTACTCTTTAATAACCCTCCTGAAGCCAAAACAAGATAATGGTTTTTAGACATGTCTGTCTTCAGTAACGTAAATGTCTGAGATAAAAAAACGCGTTTGAGAAATAAAAAACATTTAAAGGAAATTTAGCAAAATTGTTTTTTGCTGTAAAATCGAATCTGTTGCACAGTTGTTTACAATATCCTTGAGGCCATATTTCGACACCCCTTGGAAAAAAATTCGTTCTAAAAACGAGGGATTTTTAACATCTAGGGGTGCTTCGTTAGCAAATTTTTAGAATTGTCAGCAAGTAATGGAAGGTTCACCAACTTTGTCAGAAAATTGGATAGGAGCACCCCCTACCTCCCCCCCCCAACTGAGCATAATAGCTAGCGACGGCCCAGAGGTTAGGTGGAGGCTCTGATTTCAAAACTGATTTTTCTACAACTAGAATAATATAATGTTTTTCTTATATCACCAAAAAAGAGTTTTCCGCGGTAGTCTAGCCGATGAAGTGTGCTCAATTATGTTAAGATAAGGGTAAATTTTCAAAAAATAAACTGCTATTTCCCTTATTTCGTCAGGGACAGGTCATGTTCTTAGGTTGTTCTTGCTTTTGGCAACGAGAGCCTCAGCGCTCTTATAGCCACGGGCAATAATTTTTTCTGGTCTTTATCATATGAATTGTCCTATATCTAGGCAACATTTTATTTATTAAAGCTTAATCATTTCTTTGATACACCTTATAAAGTGTTCTTTCTTCTTCCGCGACAATTCAAAAGCAACTTCAAATTGTATTGATGCTACAGTAGTGCTCAACCAGAAGTGTAACCAAAACCCGTTATCAGGATTGAACAGGTCCCGCAAAATAAACTAAAGATAATTTATCAGCTTTTATCTTTGGTATTCAGAAATTAGGTTTTCAAATACAAAAATAAAGCCATAGGGTTTTGTCAGTCTCTTAATGTACATAGGTTTCAGAAAAGTTTATGTCCCTTCCCCTTATAATCAGAGAACCTTTCTTCCCTGCAAGCACTTCGTAGATATTTAGAAAAAGTTTCGTATTTGGATTTGATGAGAAATTTTAAAGTAAATATAATCAATTTCGTAATCTTTATTTCTGTCTGCATTTTTGTGTGGTTCTTGGTCAATTTTCGTTATGAAGCAAGTCTAGAGTTTGATTTTTCAGCGCTGCCTAAATTTTCTGCCACTTCAAGATTTAGAAATTTTTACAAAAACTTTCATTTTGAGAATTTTATTGCACATCAACGAGTTTTCTTTTGAAAGAGTGTGGATATGATTTTTTGGCAGGTAAGAAAGCTTATGTAGTGTTTAGTTAACAATGGCGTGATGGTATTCCTAAAGCCGGTTGTGTCCAGCAATGTTAAACAATATCGATAACAATAAGGTTTTATAACAAAACATATCATCTTCATTATCTTGATTCGTGCTCTACTTCTTCGAGAGATTGTAGCATCCGGGGTTCAACAGTATCTCTGTACAATTACCCAGTCAATGCTCTGGCACTAGCGTTGTCAAAGATATTCTGGGAACACCCCTTGATGCCTCCCCCCCCCCCACCGCTACAAGTTTACCGCCTTGGGTATGCTCATCGACATAATGAACGGGGCACAGGGGATACTTCATGTACTTTTTAGAAACGGGGGCCAGACATGGGCTCCGATGCATGTTGAAAAGTGGGTGGGCCAAGGGAAAATTTCACAATCATAACAAAAGAGTTTGAAAAAAGCTCTGTTGTTTTGCATTAAAGTTGAGGGGACCATGTCCCCCCCGGGCCCCCATTTGTCGGAGGCTCTGACAGAGTTGCCAGAGTTGCTTACACTACACGTGCCCCCATTTTGGAATTTCTTCCTACGTCTATGGCTACGCTACTTTATTGTGGGTGCCCCCAGCCCCTTTACACACTTGCTGTATTATCTAATGGGGACTGGGCGATTATAGGAAGCTCCGATCTTGTGGTCTGGTCTTTAGCGATGGTATGGTAACTTATAATTGTCAATACATCGTTCTAAATATAGAAACGATTGATGGCAATCCAGTTGACGGCGACATTTAGGACGAATGGAGAAGGAAACGTGTTTATATTTGGCGATTTGAATCAGCTAAGGCAGTCAACTAAGAATCCATTGCATGAATGTCTCCTCCAGCTGATTTTCGTCGGACTTGCTAGTCATGTTATAATGAATGGACAGGCTATTTTGGTGTCTCAAGCCTATCCACCTAGGCCGGTGAAGTAGATTCGTCGCAATGAGCTGTTGCCCTTTTTTAGGAGAGGACAAAGCCCAGAGGCATAGCAAAGAAATCGATAACTACCTGGAAAATGAAAGTGCAAAGTATAAGGCCGTACACCGTTTGTTGTTGCTTGGAGCGGGTGAAAGTGGAAAAAGTACCTTGGTTAAACAGATGAAGATATTGCACCAAAATGGCTTCAGTGATGACGAACGTTTGACGATTGTGCATGAGATTAAACGAAATGTCCGCGAAGCTGTCATTACAGTTTTAAAGGCAATGGATGATATCGAGCCGCCTGTAGAACTTGCTTGCAAGGAAAACTATTTACATGCAGAATGGGTGCTGCACTTTGCTTCTTCAAACGACTTTACATACCCAAGCGAATTTTATGATCATGTCAAGGTCCTTTGGTCAGACAAAGGCTTCCGAGAGTGTTTTCACAGGTCGAATGAATATCAACTTATAGACAGTGCACAGTATTTTTTTGAAAGAGTCGATGACATTAGAAGGGCAGAGTATTTACCAACCGATCAAGATATACTACGTTGTCGCGTGTTGACTACAGAAATAACGGAAACCCAGTTTACTATCGGTAAGCCAGGAAAAATGGTGACCTTCCACATGTTTGATGTTGGTGGGCAAAGAGACCAGCGAAGGAAGTGGATACAGTGTTTTAATGATGTCACTGCAATCATTTTTGTCGTTTCATGCAGCAGCTATGATATTGCCCTGAGAGAAGATCTCACCCAAAACAGATTGCAGGAAAGCATTGAGCTTTTTAATAAAATATGGAACAATAGGTTTCTTAAATATGTCGCAATAATACTATTTCTAAACAAACAGGATTTACTGAGTGACAAAATAATGGCTGGAAAATCGAAGCTAGAAGATTACTACCCTGAGTATGCTCGTTATGCAACACCTGAAAAGGCTGTAAGAGACAGCCCAGAAGAAGTATTGCGTGCAAAATATTTCATAAGAGACATATTTCTCAGTATTGCCAGTGAGAACAAAAATACTGTGCATAAAGACCATGACTGTTATCCTCATTTCACATGTGCAGTGGATACCAAAAATATCGAACGTATCTTTGATAGCTGTAGGTTTATTATTCAACGGGAACATCTTCGTAAAATTGGGGTGCTACCTTCTTTCTAATGCAAAAGAAGAAAGATGAAAGGATAGTTTTATTTTTGTGAAATAATTAGAAGGGTTGGAGGTAGTATACTTATTTGTAATTGTCTTATAAAGGGAAATTTTAGTAGGTGTTGAAAACAAAACTACCTTGTTAATGACTTCTGTTTTGTATATCAATTAGGGAGTGCTCGTTCTTTGGGTCAATTGTTTGTACCAGCATGATTTGTGAAACCATGGTTGGCACAATATGTTGATCACCCATAAGCGGGAAAAATTGGCTGGCTAGCAACTGAATGCCAGAAATACTTACATTACAGTGTTTACTAGATGTCTAGAAATTGAAAAGGTTCATTGAAAAGAATCAATGAGAACAAAATTTTATATTAAAGATAAATAATTGTTTTGGAACATAAAGTTTCATGAAACATATTTGCTTTCTGCAGAATATATACTGCTTTACTTGATGCTAGATCACAAGAAGCCAAAGCCAGAAAAATTGATGCCAATATTTAATATTTTTGTTACTTAAGTGTAGAATTTGAAAACAGAATGTTATATATGATGAATAAAGACATTTTCATTGACTGGCTTAAATCAAAACAAAGTTTCACAGGTTATAAATAGCATTACCCAATTATGTGAAATTCTAACTTATTTTTCTGTTAGAAACCTGAAATTAAATAATTAGCATCATATAGATTAGTTATTTGGGAACAACACCATTGAAAAGCTAAGGCAAAGTGTGGCTTAGACGATGGTTTGTTTTCTTGATTTGTGAATCTGACTTGTAATGAGCGCTTTATGCATTAAAGTCAGTGAATTTGTGAAGTTTGATCAAATATTGTGCGAAACTACTCTTGACTCTTAGATGATATAAGTTCAAATTGAGGTTTATTGGAGTAAAAATGTTATCATATTTTCTAAAACCTTGTGAAGGAGTTAGTCACTTTAAGATAGTAAAGTCTCTTAAGAAGGGAACACAACACCTTTTCAGTTTGTCTTTTTGCTGCAGTTGATTGTTTACCAGTATACCAAGAAGCTAATTTGACAAAAGCATTTTTAAAAAAGGGCATCTTGTAAAATCAATTTTAGTAATACGTTCAGATAGGTGGTATGTACTTGAGTTTTTACCAGACAAATTTATGATGATCAAGACCTGATCTTGGCTTCCTTCCATTAAGTAAGGATGGTTTTTCGTTTAAAAATCAATGTTATGATTACCAAAATTATTTATGAAGTTAGAATTTTTAGCATTTGAAGTTGCGAAAAGTACCTATTGATTTAGAAAAGATAATGTTGTATGTTACAATTGATTATGTTTAGTTGATACATCGACATCTATTTTTGTCTCAGATTTTTATTGCATTTCTAATAATTTTTGTTGCTAATGGGATCAGGCGACAAATTTTGAGAATTTCGTTCTTTTATCAGATATAAAGCTCCACTAGGTGACCTAGACAAGAGAACTGTAGACTCGAGACTGTAGACAAAGGAACCAATTTTGTTTCTTCTATAAATAGTGACAGTGAGCAAACTTGTAATGATTTAATAATTTAATAGCAAAAAAGGTTTTTTTCATTTGAATATCTTATGAACTTGAGCATTTATCAAGATTCATTTGCATACAGGTATTGTAGTACTCTAAGGAATGGGCATGAGTTTCTTGGCTCTAGAAGAAATTGGACTTTTCCCAGCGATGCTGCCTTTCATCTTAACCTCCTTAATCTTAACAATACAGAATTGTCTTGTTTGCATAAACTTTTTCATTTTTCATCCATTTAAAATTGCTTATCTGACTGCCAGCAACTGACACATTAGTAATTTATGGGTACCACCATCACAAGTAGTCAATTGTTTACCTGTGCAACTGTGTCTCGTTTTGGAGGGCATCCCCATTCCAAGATCAAATGTTTGAGCCAGGGTCAGAGTATGTCCTTATTTCGTTAAACAGTATGACGCTTTATATTTGCTTTAAATGCAACCCCTTCCACTGGCATGGCTAATTTCATCTTTTGACAACTACTTTCAAAATTTTTTCAAATAATGCAGATCTCAAATGATTAGGAATTTCAAGTCATATCTTTTGATACACGAGTAAGGTAATTCAGGGGCTTTCCAGGAATCCTTTTGCAGACCACGCCCTTGAGAATCTGAAGAACGCCCTTTTTTGTAGGTATGTTTGTTGCAAGCTATGTCATTTCTACGCGCCAATTCTTCTGTTTCCAATCACGCACAATAGCAGTCATGGGCTGGCTTTTTCTTCCATTTTCTTTATCTCGCTTCGCGTGTTATTATTTGCATCGAATCAGACTTTAGTTTCTAAACCATTATCCTAGGAGCCAAATCTGCAAAATCCTTGACAATCATATCGCAATCAAGTTTTTTAGAAAAACCAAATTTTACACAGGGGCTACGAAGACCGGCGTAGGTGGAGTCAGTTTTCCCCAATAATTTCCAAAATGTACTTAAATCCACAAAAAATAATTGTCTTGGTATTCATTTTTAGCATGATAAGCCCATGTTATGAATAGCATGATAACATGGCAGGTCCTGCCCAGGGGTGTCACTTCATACGTTTTGTTTGGGGGGGGGAGTGGCTGCAAATTTGCCCTGCAGAAAAACTTTGCCCTGGCAAAAGTTGGAAATTCTGGGAACTGGCCCTCAGTTCCCGTAACACTAAAATACTTCTTAAGGTAAGTTGTTCCCGCTTAGGTCCTTGCTCAGTTTGTCCACAAGTTCACCGACGTGTTTGCCTAACCTTGGGGAGTGAGGAAACCCTCCATCTTGGATTCAAAGAGCATGCGCTCATTTTTACAACACGCTTTCGATATACACAGTAGCATTTCACAAGATGAAGGTATCAAAGTTTCCCTTAATGCCATCAAAAATCATTGTGGGGAAACTACCCTGCTGCATGTAAAATTCAACAGACGGTAATATTTCATTCTAAAACAGAATAATATTGCCTTTACACTCTCTTTTTATAAGAACAATTTTATAAGAACACGAGCTTCAAGACTGGTCAAAAGTTGAGAACAAATTAAAACAAGCTGAGGCGGAGCTACTGCAAAATGTAACTTTGAACATTGTTTCATCTAGAAAACGATGAGTTTTTTTGCCATCTTTGGATGCTTCTTCGGTGAATATTCAAGGATAGCGGCAAATGAAGGTTTTCTCACGCACTCTGTTGGCAAATAAGGCCTGGGCACATCCCCAGTGCGAAAAGCTAGCAATCCCACTGCTTATACCTTATAAATTTAAGAACAAATTAAGAGCAATTCAGCCTTAGATTTTGGAAAAAGTTAAGAACAACAAGCCTAAACGTCATACTGACTTTTGTAAAGAAGAATGTAATAGTAAATTTTATCAACCTCCCTTAAGGCACCGCAATGGAAAAACCCTTTACCCCAAATTATGCCAACAAATTCATGACAACAACAGGACAACATATCTTGAGCAATTTCCTGATGGGACGTAGTCGAATATTTTGGGAAAGATTTATCGATGACATAATCTTCATCTGGCAAACACAAGCTTGAAAACCTACAGGAACTTATACAATACACCCTATATCATCCACAAAAAATAGATTTAAAAACCGTATATAGTCGACGCCCATCTCAAAGTCACGCTTCTGGTTACAGTCAAAACAATTTAAGACCCAAATATGCAAAACTATTCCATCAAACTTTCACCCAAATAGCCCTGTTTACAATGTCTTGGTTTTCTGGCAAGCGGTACTTGTCTTTTAAGTATGGTTTTTTAACAAGACACAAATATCAACCAAGGGTGCAACCATAGAAATGGGTGTAACACTTAAGGTGAAAGGAAATCAGAATCATTTTAGAAATCTATTCCATCCAGCCCATGATCACGCTGGCAACTTCTACTTCGCGTCACTTGTAGTCTGTATCATTTTACTTTTGGAGTAGACAAATTACAAGCATAACCTACTTTCTTGTTACAGTTACATAATAAAATAAAAAAACAGATCCGTTGGTAGAAAACATTTGCCCTGCAGGAATCAGTTTTGCCCTGCGTAAAAGTCCTACTTTCGTGGTTGGGGGATGAACCACCCCCCATACATACCCCCTCAAGTGACGCCCCTGGACTCCTACCGGAGAATTCTTAATAACAAATTCATTAGTCTGGAACTTCTGAAAGAGGTACCCTAAAATTGGCACAGCTCTGTAAAACCGAGTACTGAAGAAACTTTCTCCATCGCATTCTGAAAATTGTCTGCTGTCAATATCGTTATAGGATCGTTATGTTTGATATCCTCAACTTCTTGGCTGTTTTCTGACACCTCATCAACACGGAGTTCAGCAGGAATCTCATTTTTTATAGAAAGTTGTTGTTATGTCACAATGTTCAGAAAACCATCGGCATTTCCTACAAATTTTCAATGAGTTTAGTGTTGGAATCTTGTATCTAATTCAATTTCAATAGTTTGATTTATCACATATGCAAAAAGAAAACAGAAACATGTATCTCAAGAATCACAAATGAAAGTATATCATGTGTAGTCATGAATGAGACTTCTGAAAGTTATCTACCGACAGCCCTATTTGAGTTGCTTAACTTGAAAAGCTGCGTGGAAGTTAAGCCCTCGAGATATTAGCCTGCCCCTTGCGAACTTTTGCATTTCTAGTAACCCTTATCTGTCAAGATGAAAACGTTCAAAGGCTTTGAATCTTAACCCGTTTCCTCATACATGCCCCAAAAACCAGCAGTTTTGGACATCTTTCTCCTGCAGTTATTAAAACCATAATGTCGGCACTTGGGAGGCTTGTCTCTAGCACCACCCCTTTTTTCCACAGATACCATGTGGCAAATCTCTAGCTCCATATCAGAAGCATTATAATTTTGGAAGGGCACACATTAAACAAAGAGCAACCTAAAAATTCAACATTTTTGTTGTTCTTGGGACCATTCATGCTGATTATTTTTCCATCCTCATAGAATGCCGATGCCATCTTAGTTGACCATAACTCGGGTATTAGCGTTAAATGAAAACGACTAAGCTCCTGTTCTTTAGTTTAGGACGATCTTCGTTTAAAGCAATAAGACCACACAGAACAGAGCATTTCCCCGGTGCAAGTGGTGGCATTAACAAAGTGTGGAATAAGCACTTTCTCTATAAAAGGGATAAGTTTGATATTCTACCTCTGACATGAAGATATTGATGCAACGGTTTTGCTAGGTTGTATATACATGACATCTTCACATCTTCAAACATTTTCAAAGTAACTCAATTATTTACATTTCTAATCCTGAGGCTCTTTTTGCAAATTCCAAAGCTGGTGTCTACTCTACTGAGGCTGTAGCTATGAGAACATTGCCCCTTCCTTTGAAATGAAAACACTGGCCTAAAAACGAGAAGCCTTTTGCAATCTAGAGGTACTTCGTCGGCAGACTTGAACTAGAACAACTTCACCATTTTGCTGGGAAATGTGACCTAGACACAACTTTGAGTAAAATAGCTAGCGACAGCCCTTTTTTCCATAGTTATGCCACCTTTGGGTTCTTATAGAAATGAAAAAAACCGCAAGCCAGAAATAGGTTTTAACAAAATGTACTTAGTCTTGACAACTTCCGTCAAAAGATTGTCGCTTGAAATAACCTGTTCCTTAACAGGTAGCAAAAAGACGCTTTGAATTAATGTGAGACTGCGCATTTTCTTGGACTTCTAGGACGGCGGTTAGGCGAAAGAATTACGAAAACAACCGGCCAAGGATGATACAGAATAAATAAGAATATTCGTTAATATGGCTGCATGCTGATAGTTCAAAGAGAAAAAGATTCTACCGGTAATTCGCAAGAAAGGGAGGATAATTTTGTTTAAGAATTTCGAAGCGGGGACAACTGGCTCAAGTTGCAACCCCTTTAATTCACAACTGGCCCTACATGGGGGCTAAGAGATTAACTGATTTGAATCAAAGATGGCTTTTGAGTTTATATCAACGTTTTTAAAGACACGATGATGCAGAAACAGAAACACACCAGAAACAAGAAAAAATACAGGAAAGTCGTTGTTTAACAAAAAATTAACAAATCACGAATTGAATTCAGGTTCTTGGCTAGGGAGTGCCCAATTCCTCAAAAACAGTCTTTTCCCCTTTGGATGAAAACAACTTAGATTATTTGTTACCAGGCATCAAAATTTCCAAATCCTGTCCCAGTCTTCGACTTTTTGTTCTTATTTGGTTGGTCTGAAACCCCAGTTTCTGTTTGCGATCTCTTCAACGTTGACGGCGCGATGTATTTTCCTATTCCTTGCTTGTGTACTTTTAGTTTTACTTCTGGCTCGGTTCTTGCTAACTTTTTAGACTGTTTGTTTTCTTCTTTTTCCGTTGCCACGCGCTCATCTTCTTTATCCAATTCTTCAAAAGGGTCAATAAAAACAGAGGCTTTAACGATGGTGATTAGCTTGACAGGCTCGTCCTTTGGGTTCGTCTCCACCTCCTCCAAAGCACGCATAGTATCCATGCCACCGACAACGCGTCCGAAGACAGAATGCTTGTTATCCAAATGCCGACACGAGCGAAATGTGATAAAAAACTGCGACTTATTGGTGTCTTTGCCAGAGTTTGCCATGCTTAAGATACCTCTGCCTTGGTGAACCAGGTTACTTTTGAACTCATCTTTGAAGGGCTTACCCCACATCGAATCCCCTCCTTTACCTGTCCCTGTCGGATCTCCCCCTTGAATCATAAAATTCTTTATCAGGCGGTGAAATGTCGTGTTGTTGTAATATCCTCTTTTGCACAATACGATGAAATTTTCACAAGTTTTGGGTACTTGATCGCTATGGAGTTCGATATTTAGGTCTCCAAAATTCGTTTCAATGCGCACATATGCTTTTGTCTTGATCTTTGAATAGCGCACAACATCCTTGTCAATAGTGGCTGCTTCTTGCTTCGTTTGGGGAACAACCGATGTTGACGTGAATGAGCCGGCCATGGCACCAGTTGAGTAATGAGCCTGCCTATCATCAGACACAACTTCCTTCTCGCCAGCACTTGTGCTTGCTTTCGTTTCTTTAAATGATGTCGCAAGCTCAGATAAAGTGCTTTCCATCTCTGCATTCACTTTCTTGATTGTGTACATGGGACTTCCTTTTGCTGCCTTATCTTCCTTGCTTAAGACTTTCAACTGGTTCTGTACATGGTGAAATGATGATATGTTGAACTTTTCGAGGGAAGTTGGGTCCTGTATAGTGATGATGTCTTTTTTGGTAAATGGTTCATCAGTGAGAAGGTCTTTGAAGTTCCCAGCCTTCAGATTAAGCCTCTGCACCGCCTCATAGCTGAATACATTACCTTCAAAGGAAACGAAAAATAACAATACAAACCAGACACATCAATGTGTGTTAGGCCTACAAGGAACAAAACAGAAGCATTACAAATTTGGCTAGTGGCAACAGCACTGATTGGGCAACCTCAACAGTCATGGGCTCACATTTCTGATTGGCCTACTATGATCCACTATATATATTTCCCAGGCTAGGCTTGTTCTGACATTTTATACTCTAAAGAGTGTTAGACAAACAGCTTAAGCATGTTTCTAAACGTTTCCTCTTTTCACAGCCATTGTCAAATTCTGTACCACCAACAGATTATTATAAATTTACAATTTTGCTCACATTCTTAATAAGACGAGAAGATTTTGACAGGAGCAAATGCCCTTATTGGGAGAAATCTAGCAAATGGCAGTCCTCGGTTTTTAAACCTTACCAAGAAGCTGCACTGTATCTTTGTTGCATTTATATTTAAAATTGAAAAATGGGATAGGAAAACGTAATGCTTAATTGCTAAGGACACAACTACATATGTTACTTTATATTAACTGTCTTTTCCAGCTATTTACAAGAATGGAAGAGTCTTGCTGGTAAGATCATGGAATCTTTCACATCCAGTTTTTTTTAAAAAACAGACTCCTCTAGCTCATCAACTCTACATACAAATCTGTTTATAATCCAATTAGTGTTGCCATCCTCTGTGTTGCTGATTAGTGTTGCCAATTAGTGCTTACAATCCAATTAGTGTTGCCATCAAACATGAGTCATTAACACTGCGTGCCATTTACACAAGGCTTAAGGCTAACCAGTGTGGAATCCATGTAGCTTACGCCAGAAATATCTTGTGTAGACTAGCAGTTTTTGATTGTCTTCCTATTGTTTATTGGTGTATATCTGCTGTGAGATTCACATTGATTCCAACCTGGATGACAATAGGCTATCATTTTGCTTCTTGATTGATTGATTCATACAAGAAAAATAACCCTTGAATGCTACATTATCAACTCACCCCTCCTTACCTGTTTGTTTGATCGCCACAATGTGACTATTTTCTGTGAAAATCTTGAATGTCACTGGACAATGGATTTTGCCATCATTATTCTTCGAGAAGTTCAGTTTGATCAGATCTTTTGCATTTAAAGCTTCTCCATTCACTGGGTTTATTCCATATTTCTTTAAATATGGCACTATGCTCAACAATTCGAAAACAACTCCATCTTTGGTGCATAGTGGATGATCGGCCGGTTGAAATGTCAGACTACAACAATTAAACGGAAGCCTCCGGAACTTCGAGCGGGCAGTGCCTTCGTCCGACTTTTTGCCTCCCCATTCTTCTCTCCATTCTTTGTTAGTAATATAAAGTTTATCTTTCTGATGCTGTTTCTTTCCCATTTTATAGCAACCTTTCTGTAGCTTAGAATTCTCAGCTATCCGCCATTGAATGCGCCCAAAATGAGTGAGTGCGCATGCGAATAAAAACATCTACAGGGAACCGAGGTGGAGAGCAAGATGGCCGGTTAGAAAACAAACAATGGCGCCAAGGGCCTAGAGAAGTAAGAATTGGAAAAATGACCTCCTTCCATTCTAGTGACGAAGACGAGAGTGATGAATTAATGCAAGGCTGTTATGAACTGAAAAGAAGGTTGGAAGCAACGGAAAAGTCTTTTAGAAATCTTGGAAGTCACGCAGAGGACAGGTCTGGGTTCGTAATTTTATTCAAAATAGTGCGTAGGATAAAGAAAACAAAAAAGCTAATAAGTGTGTAACCAAACAATATTTGGCACGTCATTAAAGAAATAATGTCTAGGCATTATTGGACTAAATGAACAACGTTTTTTTAACTTTTTGCTTTTCCATTTTGCCTTTGAAGATTGTTGTTTTCTTTTCATACTTTGATGTTTTCGGTTTAGAGATCTCCTGGTAGAAAATGAAGCCCTTAACGCCCAAATTGAGAACATGGATGAAGAACTCAGGAGAGAAAGAAAACTCAGGAAAAGGTGATGATTATCCCGTGAACCTATATTTTTTGAATATCTAGTATTTTTGAATATTTTTGTTCACATGTAACTGGAAGACATGTGCCCCTTTGAAGTATCTAAAACAACATTTAGTACACTAAGGAAACACTTTTGTCTCAGACAAAGCACTTTATGCTAAGGCCATATGGGAAAGATTATGGCATACTGATAGTATACAGTAGTAACAATCAAAATCATGCAGTTTTATTTCTTGACTAGAGATATACAGCAGTAACAATACATTAGTTATTAAAGGCAGTGTTGCAATGTTCAATGATTTACCAAAACAAAAAATTTCTATTTTATGAGTTTTCATTTTGTAAAAAAGGTGGTTACTTCCTTGCTAGTTGCTTGCTAGTTATACTAATGATTCTCTAATTTTGAGGACCCTTGAAATTTACCAAACAATAACAAATGAACAGCAGGAGACACCGTCTTCAAAGCAGTTAGAGAATTTGTTTATATTCTAGCAATAAAGTCAATAAGAGATCACCCTTCTCTGTTTTGTTAACCATCCTAGCATTCAAGCATTGGGCATTTCTGTAGACGAATTCAACCAATATTTTCTTAAGGAAAGAAATAAACTTGCTTAACTTCTTATTGCTTGGTTCATTGTCCTATAAAATCTGTTTGGATCTCGTTTAATTTCATGATTTCTTTAACTTTTTTATGTTTTCAGTATTGAAGAGAAGCTACAGTCCAGTTTGACTGCTGGAGAAGAAATGAGAGAGAGAATTGTAGATCTGAAAAACCAAATAAATGAGAGAAAGGAAACTGTAAGTAAAAGCAATGACTTTGTTAAAAGATAACTAACTTTCCATTTTAACTAACTTCCATTTTGGCTAGTTTTACATCAAGGTCAAGTGCACCTAATTATTAAGAAAACAGCACTCATTAAAGTCCCAGATCTAGATTGGGACAAAGGGTACCTTTGCACCTTTCAGTCTTTAGGGTTCATTTTCCCTTGCAACAGTCAGCATCAGGTCATATTTAAATTAACTAACTAATGACAAAGTCATATTTAAATTTTGAATCTGAATTTTTCTTCTCTCTTCTGTCAAATATTTCAAAAATCTGAGTCCCTAATCCCTCTGATACTTCCCATTTGCCCCCTCTTTGAACTCTCTGAAACATGAACCGATAACTGATTTTTTCCATGTTAAGTGTCAGCTCAATATATCCTAGCATCAGTTTTGATAGTTTTGTTTGCATCAAACACTCTGAACGGTATTGTTCATTAAGGGTTGTGGTCAAAACGTCGCTCTGTTTTGCATTCATCAGAAAATATCCAAGGCCTACCACTGAATTCATCATATGATAGAAATAACTTCAAATATCTGTATAGACATCCATGATACATTTTATCATGTATTGCTTCTGTAACTTTTTAGGATTTGTAATCTTCAGTTATTTCCATTATTATGTTAAGCTACAATCCTGGAAAAAAATGTTGAGACAAAAGGCAATTTCTGCAATTTTCTACTTTACATTGCCACTATTAATTCGAATCCCTCCTTTCCCCCCGAATCAATGTTGGATTTGTAGTTCTACCATTTCTCCTTCAAAATCATGCATTCAACATTGAATTGGGGGAGGGGGGAAAGTATTTTTTGAAAGAAAAGTAAAAATATAGGCCTTTCTTGAAAAGTCTCAACCACTTTTGTCTGGGATTGTAGGTTCTTTGATTCTGTTGCGTGTTAATGTCACATGTTTGTTCATCGCACTGTTGTGTTAGTAACTCCCTTTCCGAGAAATGTGTGTCACTGTAATCATGTTATGTGATGTTTCACAGTGTTCCTTTGTTTATGTTTTAATATAATGTAATCCAAGTTAGAATAATTTAGTCTTCCTGTTTTGACAATAGAGATAACATCAGCAAAGGAGTATCTCATGTACATTATTTACTTGGGGTCCTTTGGCCTAGCCCATTGCTACCTAACGAGCTTGGTTATTAAATGGTTCTTCATCCTCATGACAAAAACCCTTATCGTTACACTTCTGCAAAACTTTGACATTAAAAGAACTTGGAAGCAAAATTGTTGTAGGTTGAAGCCTATAATCTATAATTCAATTACACTGCCATCCATTTTTGCAGGACAGGATAGCTGCAGCTGAAGTGGAGATGAAACTTGCTTTAAAGGATGCTGAAATCCACAAGTTACAGACCACATTAACGTCAAGAGCAGTAGCTGAAATGAGAATTCTTGAAAGTGGGTACTTGCGTAACTAGATTGTTATTTCAATATCAATAGTCAGGGGATGTAGCTAACTGGCTGTGTCTGGGTTCCAGTAAAACCCATAGCCAGTTTTTGTGCACAAGGTGGGTGTCTAGGCCCAATTTTCCGAATGAAGTGGTAGAGCCACTCTAAATTTTCCATTCAACTATTTTTGCCTCTTGGAAAATCAGTCTTGTCTACATGCAGGCCACCCTTTATCTGTAAACAAGTTTGTGATTATGATGACGAAACATCCCTTGTTGACAAAAGACTCCTCATTCTAAAATTAGAATTAATGAAGAAGGAGGCTGTCATAACTCCCATGTCCTTTCCATAGCTTCAGACCAGCGTTTGAGAACAATTTAAAAGAAGGACCTTCAGCTCTCCCCCAGCAATTATGGAGAACAGTTATGGCTCTCCCTAAATTGCCAGGGCTGAAAATGCTTAATGCATGTCAAAATTTAACAGTTCAAAAAAGCACAAAATGAGAAGTTCTGGAATTAACTGGCACTCCGGGGAATGATGCATTCGGCTTCTGTGTGCAGCTTCAGCTTTCAAATCGAATAATGCCTAGGTGTGTTTGCTGAGTCAAAGATAATGCATTATGAATAATTATTCAAAATGGTCAACCAATAATTGCATTGCATGTGAATTTGATATCAAAAGATGCTTCGTTTTTAGTTAAGATTATAGCTTGACAAGAATGATATTGCAGAGCTACCTTGATCGACTAGATATGTTTAGAGTTTAACAAACCCTTTCGAATTTTTTGGATTAGGTTCAACTGATAGCAAGGAACTGGCAATAACGGGCCTTCGATCTGAGTTCACCGCTTTTGTTGAGCGAAGCAAGGTCGGTGATAAGAAACATCAAGAACTGGAAAGAGTGATAACAGATCTTGAAGATGAAAATGCCCGATATTCGGATGAAATCATGATCTTGGAAGAACGGCTGGCGGACAAAATGTCGTACATTTCATTAATGGAAGGACGGTTATCGCAAAAAAATGCAAAAATGTCATTCATGCAAGAAGAGATAAAGCGAGTTAACGGAGCATTTTCCAGCAACGAAAAACAGGTGCAGTTCTTTTCTTTAACCTTTTCCCTGTTCAGCAATGTAAAGCATCAGTATTGACATTGTCTTTGTACTGTTTTTGGGAGGCGGCAGTAATATTCTTGTTCAAATCCAGTCCTAGCAAAACATAATGATCTTTATATCTTATAAAAGCTTCGTTTGTTTTATTTTAAACATTTTTGCAATCTTTTATCTGACTATAATCAAAGTTTTTTGGAATAACTGTTTGCATTCTTTGAGTAAAGAAAAGTTGCCCTCTAGCCGGCGTCTATGTGTCGAGAATAAAAGGTCCTTACAGTTAAACCTTTACTTGTTTCATTAGAATTTTTCGAGACTATTTTAGTTTTTGAAAAGCCACTATACCACTGACACCTCAAACAGTCAGTTTCAGATCAATTTCGCCTAATATCAAAGCTCATCAGCACAATCAGGACAGTGGCGGACACCTTGAAGAGCGAAGGATCACCTATATATTTTTGAGGACAATGGTCTTTTGTTTTCAAACAATCGGAAAATGTGACGTCATCTTATCAAAACAATAGCCTACCCACCCGCCAAATATTTGGCCAAGTGTCCGCCCCTGAACCAGGCTCCTGTACTCTTATTTTCTAAATATTTCTTTGACCGCTATTTTCATGTGCTCTTTGATTGTTCAGGCACCGCGGAGCGTTGAGAAAAGTAGGAGGTCTAAAAAAGTGAGGGGGGGGGGGGTAAAATCGAATTAAAGCGGTTTGACTGGTGATTCATTGTTAAATTTTTTGCGCTTTTGGAAAAAAGTGGGGGGGGGCTATAGCCCCCTAGCCCCTTCCCCTTTCCACGATGCCTGTTGTTATCTAGTGTTTCTGTCACCATCTTTAGTTGCAGGAAAAGGACACATCTACGAAAAAGCTGGAGAAAGAGTTAGCTTTATATAAAGATAAACTATTAGACTGCACGAAACAAATCGAAAATTTTGAAATGATTCTGACGGAGAAGATGCAGCAGTTATCTTCGTTGCAAAATGCTTTGAAGATGAAAGAATCGGAAATTAGCCAAGCAGGACAGTTGCTAGAAAGGACGAAGGCACTGAATTCAGAAAATTATGGCGAATTTCAACTGCAGATTGAATCAGTAAGTCTTTGTTATTTTACATTTTGTGTTAATTTAACTCCTACATACTGAGAAACTAACTGTGCTGCTAAGGAAGTCGTGCTTCGTTCCTTCTGAATTGCTTCTAGCTGCGTAATTAACTTCCTAAAATACTGCGCTTCTTTCAAAATACCATTCTACTGTAACTCCTTGAATTTTCGAGCTCATCTTAGATTTCACAAATTTTACGAAAAGTTTTACTTCATTTTCTAAGACTGTCTCTCATTTACAGGCTTTCTAGACATTTACCTTACCCTATTGTTTCCCTATGTGCTGAAATTTTTTTCAACGATTTAAAATCAAAATCTACAAAGCATCATTTGATTACTTTTCTACTGAAAGACGGACTGTATCTTGAAGCTTTCTCGATCGGTTTTAGCTTCAAGAACAAATTGACGTAAAGTCTTTGGATAATACAAATTTGGAAGCGAATATGTCAGGTATGACTGTGAGAGAGTTATTTCTGAATGCAGATAAATGATTTTCTTGAGGAACGTTTATGATTGTAGTCAAAAAAATGTCCTGTAGGATTAAATCTTGTCCTGTTTCACGATTCTTTTACGAAGTAAATCCCTCAAAGAAGAGCAAACATTTTTTTGAGTTAGACTCTTCTTGGAAATAAGTATTTCAAAGACGTATATGTGTATTGCATGATAAGAGATTCGTACTCTGTTTTTTTGTCTCCCGGATGGTAAATGATGCCTGGCAATAGTGGTTTCTCGTGACAATATATAATCCAGGTGGCAACAACTGGACAACACCGTGTGATTTACCAAGATAAATTGGCTTTTAAAGACAAGGTTCTTAATCAAAGAAAGACAATCTGTAGGCTGTGAAGTTTTAAGGTTATTCATTGCGGGGATTTGTTTTATGATCGGAAGAAAATAATTTTTTCTAGAAAAGCCTTTTATGCTTGATATTAAATTAATATTCTAGATGTATGCGAGAACTGGATAAATGTTGATCAAAATGTTTTTCGTCTAGCTATTGTCGAGGTTTTATCCAGCATAACATCTTTGAACTTTTTGATAGCATAAACCATCTTGCATCTGCAAATGGATAATTCATTTGCCGTGTTACATTCTCAATAGTTTTGTTGACAGTTTGTGTTCAAGCCTCCTCTATAGACTTGACTTTTTACAAGACCTGCTCATTTGAACCATATTGTAGTTTTCTATCTATTAGATCTTGGGCATTGCCGCTGCAATTGGCCTATTAGATATACTTTTAACGAATGTCTGTTTTAACGATTATCTTTCACAGCTTTGCGTCAAGAACTCGAGATGAAGACTTCACTATGTCTTGACCTTCAAGCCAAACTTGATCAAACTATTTCCCAGCTTGAAGAAAGGACAATGATCATTCGCGGCTATGAACAGAAATTAAAGGTCTGACTTTTTGTTCGATCTTACCTTGAATATCTATGCAACAGCCACAGTTTGTGCCAAGGTGTCTAAGCTCAATGGGTATTTGCTTGGGCAACTGTCCACGAAATGTGACGTTACATAAATCTGAATTTTAATATGAGTTTTAGAGATTTTTGTTATAAATACTGTGGTAGAACTGATAGAGCGTGCAACAAAGGACTTTTCGGCCACATTTTTACTGCTTCCTTGTTTTAGCAATAGTGAGATATTGGAAAATGCTGCTTGTTTTCTGTTAATTCCTTTGCAATAACGTTTTTGATTGGTACCGTGACCCTACCACTGAATTGTTATTCAAACTAGCGTAAAAGGACGAAATTAAGATAGAAGATACTTCCATAGCGAATCAAAATGTGTGTAAAATTCAGAATTCATCAGACTTTATCACAGGCAACTTTGAACCGTCGTGCTCTATAAACCAACTTAATTACATAATTCTTCCAAAAGCTATAGAATCTAATGAGCTATTCATTTTTTTTATTGCTTGCTAGTGTTTCCTTTTCCCCAACGTCATTTTCTTATCAACATAGAAGACTTATAACGAGTCCATTCAACAATCACTTCAATGTTTCACCTTCATTTCAATTTCTGTTTGCTTTCAGAAATTGGCCAGTGCTTTAAAGAGCGAGACAGACAAGGTAGAAAATCTTCAAAAAGCATTATCAGATTGCAAAGACGAAGTTGCTTTGATTATAAACCAAACTCAAAGTACTAAAGAAGACTATCACACGGAATACAATAAGCAGAACTCACAGGTGATATAAATATCATTGCTTATGTAACCCTTTGGTTATTATAGGGTAATGTTTTACCCCATATGTAGGTTCAAAGACATATATAGATGCTAGTTCAACTTCAAGAACTTATGATGAACACTCTGTGATTACAAGGTTAAAACTGACACATAATTGATTTCTAAACAAACTTATATAAAAGAGGTGTAAAGGATTAATCTGAAATTAACGATACAAAGCATTTTCCTACTCATTAGTGATTAATAACAAAGATAAAAGAGGTTATGTTGTAGCAACATAATAACGTGGGCTGGCAACGGTGAATTCCATGTACTACGCTTAGAACTTGATAATCTGACTTTTCCTGTCTTTTGCAAAGTCAGTATTTTACCGTGAATATTCTTTTCACGATTCTTCAATATATGTCTGTACCTAACTTGGTTTTCTATTTGGCACTTTAAGCTAACGAATGTTGGTGCAAAAATATCTCAGAAGTATCCTAGCAGATGTTAATCACAATAACAATACCGTAATGCCTCGATCAAGCGCCCCCCTCAAATAAGAGCCCCCCTCGAATAAGAGCCCCCCCTCGAATAAGCGCCCCCTAGAGGTGAAGTTATTGAATAAGCGCCCCCCTTGAATACACGCCCACTCCTCGAATAAGCGCCCATCCTTCAACCTTCAGAAACGGGCGCTTATTAGAATTTTCAACAAAAATATAATTAATTTGAAGGCATTTCAACCAAAAAGATTACTGAACAACACAATTTTCACCGAAATCTACTTTTTAAATAGGCGTCCCCCTCGATTAAGCGCCTTCCTCGATTGAGCGCCCACCCTGGAGCCTCAAAAATTAAATAAGCGCCCGGGCGCTTATTCGGGGCATTACTGTAGTCCAACAGACCAATTACAGCTACCGTTGAACGAGCTTAAAATTGTCAAATTGAGGTTATTTTAAAGTTTGAAATACATGGTCTGCTCATGACGCGACAAGGCTAGGTCGAAGAAGTGCCAATGTACAGAGCCTGCTGTGTTCATATCTTATTCTGTATTTCACGTTTGCTCAAGACTCTTATTATCAGGGTTTGGAAAAGATCATTGACACCTTTCCCTGTTTCCGCTTTGAATATCACTTTGAAACAAGGACATTTGCAGCCCGACAATTAAAGTATCTTTTCCATTTTAGACAAATTTTCCCACCAGCGTTTAATTCCAAGCAAATGTTTTGTCTTGAATTAATTTGTTCTAAAATAGCCCATTATCAATGTTTCCAAACAATCTTTTAACTCTTCAAAAACAATTAAAATGGTTGTATTTTTTATTTTAAAAATGTACTTTTAATAAATAAAATCTGGTGCTCCTTTTGTACCTAGCTTCGTATGAGAAATCAAACCCTCGGAGAAATATTGGTTTTTTTTAACCAAAAATATGGATGCAGGCCATCGTGAAAGATACAAAACCTCCTCAAACTGTTGGTACCTTGTACCAGAATTAAGCAATCTCTTTCTCGCTCTCCAGGCATTGCTGTTATAATGCAATTTTACGAGCTTTATGGCTAGCCTGATAGTTAACTTTGCGACCAGAGTTGCTCGTTTGACGAAAAAGCGCTTGGTTTCAGGGCATTTAAAGAAATATTCGCAGAGATTGCATGTCTAAAAAATTTGATTATTTGCTAAAATTAAGTGATGTTGTTTTAAAAGCGATTCCGTGTTTGTCATAAATTAAGGATTTCTCAATGCTTTCGTAATTTCGATGTAACAAGGACTATTTTCGCCGAAAAATACGGCAAATTATTGATGAAAGCATTTTTGCCGAAAAATACGTAAAATGCTAACACGCTTTCATCGATAATTTTAGTTAATTTTTTTTGCCTATTTACACGGCAAGCCCAAAATTGAACGAACAAGTTATTCTTTACATCTGTTTACTTAGTTATTCAACCAAACCAGTTAACCGCATCGAAACTGGGACTCTTATGAGAATCTTACACTTCTAGTATAAGTCATTTGCGGAAACCAGCTTTCAGGGTATTTTTGTATGTTTTTCATCATAACCTGAACTCTAAAGCTCAAATTTGCTACAATTGTTAGGCATTGCTTTAAAGAAGATGTTTTTGTTTTAACATATGTGATATGTTTAAGTAGTGTGCTAATACGCGGTCTTGTAATTCTTTTCATATCGAATCTTGCATCCTTAGCTTCCTCTGTTCCTTTTTAGATTTCACAGCTAGAAAAAGAACTAGCTTTTAAAACACAGGAACTGCAAGCGAAAGAAGGCGAGCTTAGTAAGGCATTAGGACGTGTAGATGAAGGACGAAATAAGATTCAAAAGCTAGAAGAATTTATTTCCAAACTCAAAGAAGAAAACGTCCAGAAAGACGAAGACAATCGCAAGGAAATTAATCTACACAAAGAAGAGAAGCAAGATTTCACACAGTTATTGCAAAAGCTACAAAGTTCTGTTGCAAATCTTTCTTCTGAATTAGAAACGAAAAGTAAAGAGAACGAAGAGCTAAAACTTCAACTGCAGGACAGTCAAAGGAAAACTGATCTTGAAAGCCATAAACTTGAGGAGCTTGAAAACCTTTTGCAGAAACTGAATTCTGAGATCCAGTCAAGAGATTCTGTCGTCGATACGTTGCAGAGTGAGGTTGGTTCTCTTCAGAATAAATTTCACGATTTTCTAAAAGTGGTCTTGTGTCAGACCGGCGCACAAAAAAATGGCCATGTTGTCGAAGTTCTGTTTGGATGTAACGTGAAATGTCTGCTAGCTGCACCTCGGTGAATAAATTTTGGTGTGGAATTAGCCTGTTCCCTTGTCTGTGAAGATGAGTTGTTAGTGAAGCGATGTTTTGTTAAAATTGGCGGCAGATCTTGATCAGTCATACACAGAGTCCAAGAGAAATTCAAAATAACCTATTTGTGCAATTTGCAGATTTGCATTTTGGTCTTTCTATCTAAACTAGCTGAGGAACTAGTTAAATAAGATTTCGTCTAAGCCTGCTATATACGGAGATTGTTGCTCGGATGATAATTTTATACGATTTGTTTAGTCAATTGCATTTATTTATACGAACCAGCAACATTGGTTCTATGTTGTTACTTCATTGCTTGCAACTGTTTTTTTAGGTTTCGTCCGTACACGGTGAGCTGAAGCAGGCGTTAGGTGATTTGTCGCAGCTGCAGGAAGTTTTGAGTAAAAACGAGAAAGAAATCAGAAGCAAGGAAGAGCAGATAACAGTAATGGATAGGTAGATATTCCTTAAAGAATAGAATTCAGCGGACACCGTCGCTAATTGGAAAATAGGGGAGGGAGCAAGGGCGAAATAACAGCTGAATTCTGGTCTACGCAAAGCATGCGCATTTGTATCAGTTTTGTACATCAACTGTCTACACGGTAGTAGATGGACACCCTTCTTAGTTTGGAGAGGTAACTACAGCAAGAAAATCAATTGGTCCTCTCCTCTCGTGACATGCCTACCACAGCAAGGAAATTGATTGGTCCTCTCCCCTCGTGACATGCTTACCTTTTAGCATTACAGCTTGCATTTTACTCTACAGAAATTTGCCTATACTACAAAAACTCTCTTAACAACTACAAGCTGGCCTATTTGATACTTGATGGTCAGGAAGTAAGCTTGTAAGAGAGTGGTGGGCTTGTTTAAAGAAGCAGCATAAAAAAGGTTTCTGTGATTGGCTCTTGGTCCGTAAGTTTGAAGCATCTGAAAGATAAAAAGGAGGAAAATAAACATTTCGTACCTTCTGCCTCTTTCTTGTAAGGGCTCGGGGTGAGAAAAAAGTTTGTGGCTATTAACAATAGTAATAAAAAGTGACCCTTGGAGCTACCCGTATATCTCTTTTAAACTTTAATGTCAACTAAATGAAATATTTGCTTATAAGACTAATAGCTAACCATTTCGAAATACGAATTTAAAACTCCAGCAAATTGCTCACAGTTCTCTTACTTTAAAGTCAAATGAATGCACATGTGCAGTTGCCCACATAAGCCATTTTTACCTTCCAATCGGTTGCATTCATTATAGTATTCATCTTTGATATTCGATCTGGTCTTTCTCTAGGAAGCTGAATCAAAGTCAAGAAGAAAACCAACAGAAGGATGGCCTTTTGAAAGAGCAGTCGGCCAAACTGTCTCGCTTGGACAAAAGCATTAAAGAGCAGAAACTGGAACTCAAGCAAAAAGCTGTGGAGGTGAGAATTATTTTAAAATCTCTGGCAAAAATACTTTGAGTGTTATTTTTAGATCCAAATAAGCCTTTTATGCTGCGAAGCTTCGAATTATCATGGAAAAGAAGCAACACAATGGTTGCTGATTGTTCAAAAGAAAGTAGTCGATCAATGCGCCATTCTTTTATGTCTCTTTAGATCTATTTTTGCGATGTCTTCCAAACGTCTGGACCTACCAACAGCATTTTTACCGTCGCATTAGTCGTTCCCCCTGACCCTTTTCAGGCACTGTCAGACTATTCTCATTAGATATGCACTAATTGCACTTTTACTGTAACTTTTGAAACTAGGATTGCTATGGTGCAATTCCAACATTGCTTTGGGGAAAGGGGGGATCAACAAAGCTATTTCTTATGCCTGCAAAGAATATAGCTCGAGTATTGGCTGAAAATGCGTAAGTGTTCCAAGTACTTTTGGCAGCCATCTTAGATGGCTATGAAAGAGATTGTAAGCGGCTTTTAAAAATCAAACATTTTCAAACATACTTAAGCTTTTTGTCTGATAAACGAGTGTAAAACGTCTTTTTATACTCTGAACAGTGTTAGACGAAAAGCTTAAGAATGTTTCAAAATATTTGCACATTTCTAAGCCATTTTCAATTTTTATACCACAAAAAAACTGTTTCAAAAAGAATATATTATGAAATAGTAAGTTTGCAATAAAATGAATAGAGCATTATATTTCCTTTGAATTTTCTTCAAGAAGCTACTGTTTAACAAGAATATTCATTATTTTATTACAGAAATCAATTCTGATTTTAACTTTCATACCATTTTGCAGTGCACACTATTTCTTTTTTCTGTCGTTGATCAAGGTAACTCAGCTTGACATGAGCATGAAAGAACAACACAGCCAGCTACAACACCGCCTGAACTTGACAGAACAGCAACTGCAGGAAAGCCATCAGGAGCTTAGTGAAAAACTGTCAGAGGTATGACGTAATCAGTGATATTTTGTTCATGGCTATGGCTTGCTTGTCAGGCTCGCATCTAGAATATCTTACAATGTTGCTGAATCATGATGTCATGTTTATGAATTCTTGAATTTGGACCATAAGATCTAAAGTAACACCACCTAGTACCAGAAATGTGCAAAGTGTTATGAATCTGTTACAGGTTTGCAGAAATGCGGGCACTGAAAAAAGTCTTGTGTACAAATGAGTTTCTGTTGCTTTGCTTTGGCTAGTACATTCTAGAGCCAAGGTTGATTTATTTTTTTTAAACTTTTGTCAAAATTTAGTAACTCTTTTCTCTTCAAATTGCCTTATAAATACTGTACAATATCTTTAAAATGATAGAAACTTTTGAGACACATTTATATGAAAAAAGTCAACGATGTTTTATATCGAGAATCTAAATTTTAATAATCACAAATTCCATGCTGTTTTTGGTTTTTAGAAAAATGTCGATAGCTTCAAAGAAAAGCTTATATTGAGTCTAAATATATGATGCCAAATCTTCTTAACAAGCCTTTTTTGTCATTTTAATCATTATAGACGGCAGAATTGAAAGCTAAAGCCGAACTAATGGAGGAAAAGTTCAGTTCAGCAACTGAAGAGATATCTAACTTACAGAAAATTATTCAAAGACAGACTGAGAAACTGAAAGAACAAACTCGGAAGGAAGCAGATTTTGTTCAAGTTTGTAGAAATCTAATGATTTACTGTTGCAGCAAATTTTCTTGCAAAGAGCACAATTAAAACTTCGTTTAGTCGCGCACTCAACTGCGCATTAACCGCGCGATCACCTGATCATTTAACTTCTCGTCTAATCGTGCATTGAACCACCCATTTCACCGCGTAATTAACCGCTCATCTTACCGTTCTGCTTCTTTTGAAGCACACCACGGTTTTTTATCAAGAATATATTTTGTAAGGGAAAAGTAATTTTCGTTTTTTTCGCAAAAGCTTAGACATAAGGTACCAGAATCTCATTTTATCATCATTTCACAGCCGAGTATTGCAATTCTTCAAAATACAATCCTAGATGATCTCTCTCTCTCTCTCTCTCTCTCTCTTATATATAAATATATCTATGAAGACATTTTTATTGTTATAAACATATATTACAGAGAGTGTCAGAATTGGAATCCAATGTTAATGGCTTGAGAAACTCGGCCAAGGAGCTTAATTTTGTCAGGGAGGAAAATCAGCGGATGGTAAGTTTTCTATCTATGATTAATTAATTCTGATATATATTCAATGAATCTTCGAGCATCCTGCTAACTGTTACAGATTACGATTGTTCCGAACAAAATTTCCACACAAAAGGTTGCAATTGATCAATTTTTGTTATACTTTTTAATTTTTGTCTACCATTGCCACTAATCATTTTGATGAGGCTCCTAAACGCCATCTTAGAAGAGAGAGGTTCCTAAGAAATGCGACTACAAGAGTTTGATTGCAATTTGATTTCACGTTTATCATGCTCAATTTATAGCCAATATGTTTTTGACTTAGATGGTTGAGATTAGCAAATGCCATAGCCAAATACATCATTTTCGAGTATTTTTAGAGTGCGGTAAGATTCTGAGAGAGATCAACTATGAAAGTGACAAATTCTCCCTGTCCCGCATTTGTGACATGTTGCCGCCTTTGTAGTAATCCCCCACTATTGTAGGCTTGTACTTGTTTATATAGACCAGTTAAGGTGCTCAACCGTAATTCTACTTTGAAAACAGGCCCAGGAGATTGCTGAGCTGCAGAGGGAATTAGCAAAGAGACAACACAGTGAAGATGATTTGATGCGCGAGCTCGACGAATGTCATTACCTCTTGCAATCCAAGGAAGCTGATTGCACAAGGCTAGCAAAAGATCTAGGTGCTAGCCAAGTTAGAGAGGCTGAACTGCAAGTAAAATGGACGCAGGAGTTTCAGCGTGTGAAGAACCAGTTTGAGTTTAAGATATCAAGGCAAGAGAAGGAGGTAATCAGATTTGTTCGCTCTGATATAAATTACATTGGTAACGAAATAAACCCACAATACCCAGATCCATATTGAATAGAAGAAGTTCCTGAATTGATCCTGGAGGTACATTAATTGGTGTTTTATTCCAGATCGGAATGTCAATTTGTAGATTTTAATCAATAATTCTGTACTTAGATAGCCCTTCCGGCATCGATGAAAGAAAAATTTAAGTTTGTGTGAGAACGTAACCGTTTTTAAGTATACAATAAATAACGGAAATCAACTGAAGTATTGTGAAACAAAACAAATTCATATTTGATTAATTTAAATACAAAAGGTATGAATGCAGTTACTGAAAAAAGGACTAGACATGCTGTTAGTGCCGGAAAAGACTTCGCATTGTCGGTGTCAATTTTCTCAAAATTCGTCGCCTTTGATGATGTTTTATTGTGATTCCTTTTTAGGGCGAGAAGGAATCGCAGGATTATTCTAGAAAATTAGCCGAGCAAGGAAAGCAAGTTGTTTCTTTACAAGCGAAGATGCAGCGCACCAGCAATGAGAACAGTTTATTGAAGAATGACGTCACGCGAATGAAGCAACGGTTGTCGGAACAAGAGGGAGAGATAAAGTCCCTGAATCGCAAGCTTGTGGAACAGCAGAGATATTCACATGAAACAGAGGAAAATATGTTAATCAAAGATGCAGAGGTTTGCAGTTTAAGATCAGATATTTTTAAAGGAAATTATTTGCATGCATCAAATAAAGTTCCTAGAACAACAACCCCCTTTTAGCTTCAATTTTAGTGGGAAGATGCTTATTAAAGGTCGAGACATTCATTGAATCATAATTGTGTCACGATTTGCCCCAAACTTGGAAATGAAATAAAATGCCATCCTAATATAGTAACATTCCCATCAAACCATTCGCAATTAAATGGTGTTTAAATCTGTAGATAGTCAATTTTCCGTAAAGTAGCTTATAAAGGGAAAGTCTGAAGGAGCGGATAGGATTTTAACAGGATTAATAAAACATCCTGCTGCTGTTAAAGCTCTTCCACGGGGCTTGAACTTCAACTCTTCATTATCCGTCGGAGCATTGCAAGGTGTTTGGAAGTTAGCAAATGTCACCTAGACTCTCCAACCTGACTCAAAACAAGACGTGGTCATTTATGGACCGATTTATTGTCTTTGCAAAGCTGTCTTTGCAAGTGCACGGTCAACTCTACCTTCTAATTGCCTCCAATAACATACAAACAACAAATCAGAATTTCAAAAGTCCTTCTCTACTTTAACAATGCTTGTTTGTAATGCTTAGTTTAGGTAGAACGGTATAGACAAAAAGATGGTCGTAATGCTTAGTTTAGGTAGAACGGTGTAGACAAAAAGATGGTCGTAATGCTTAGTTTAGGTAGAACGGTGTAGACAAAAAGATGGTCGTAATGCTTAGTTTAGGTAGAACGATGTAGACAAAAAGATGGTCGTAATGCTTAGTTTAGGTAGAACGGTGTAAACAAAAAGATGGTCGTAATGCTTACTTTAGGTAGAACGGTATAGACAAGAAGATGGTATAATATTTCTAGATCTGAGGAAAGCATTTGACACTGTTGATAACACAGAAATTATAGGCATGCGGGACGAGGGGCATCTCTTTGGACTTTTTATCCACCTAAGCAACAGAAAACAGTTCGCCTATTAAACATTGCCAAGTGCAAGGTTTCACAAAGTCACCTGAGGTGTACCTCTAGGCTCTCTCCTATTTATCGTAATGATTTTGAAAAAAAATTGAATTCTCAAAATGTGAATTAGCAATGTTTGCAAATGATACACTTGTCACTCTACCATCCGATAACATAAAAGAAATTTCAAAATGCACAGTATTGATTATACAACATCAAAAATAACCATGACTATGAACTAAATAATCCTCAGCCCAAAGAAAACTGAATACATGATCAGTTGATATTTAAGGAGGGTTAAACAACATTGAGGTAGGTCATACAAGGCTACTAAATGGCTTGGAATTACAGGAATTGAAAATACCTATAATACCCTTGTGGAATGTCCTGTGCGAAGTTCTGACGTTATTTGGGTAAATCGTATCTAAACGTAGAGCAGTGTCTCTCCAATGTCTGCAGAACAGACCCTACGCAAGATAAGAAAGAGTATTCATTTACTTGGAAAGGATTTCAGTCAACATCAAAGCTGAAGGCGATGAAAAATGGATTTGCTGTCGAAATAAAGCGTCTTGATTTTGCTGATCAAGCGCTTTTTGACTGGAGGTCATCCCCTTTATCCTTGATCAAGTACTCTCCGCCTAATATTGACAAGCATACTTTTCAGAAAATTCAGATCTTGTATGCCCTGTGACGTCAAAGGGGAGCTTATGAACTGTGTATAGATGTGGGAATGTTTTGAAACCTGCTTCACGATGATATAAATTGTTATTTTTTACATTCATATTAGCAATAGGGATAATGTTGATTGTTCAAATTAGCGGAGAGCTTTTGAAAAGTTGATTGAATGATGTCAGTGGGTTCTTTCTCTTATGCGTTTAATAATTAAGTCAGAACAATTCAATTAATAAAAGATATGAATTTTTAATGCATTCATCCTTTTTATATTTCCCAGATTGCTCGACTTGAAGCAAGAGTTTCTGGCTACCATCGCTCATCGATTACAAACTACCACAGTAAATTAAACAGCAGTTTCAGCTAAGATATTTCTTGTTAACCTAAGCCATCCCTTTACATACATTAAATTCTATAATACACTATATTTGTTGTATAAAGGTCAATGCAATTCGATTCACGTGCGCGTATTATCTTAGTTCGTCGCATTTTCCTTCGACTTCACGTCTTTGTCTCAACAAAACTTGAAGTCTTTTTCTCTCAACAAGGCTTTGGGCCTTTCTCTCGACAATTATTTCACTTTGGACCCTCATGTCGTTCCACCTACCTAAATTGTCTTTCAATAGACCAATTCAACTTATGGTCTCATTCTAAAAAATACTTCAGACCTCTTTTTGCTGACGTTTTAATTTCAAGTTCTGATTAAGGATCCGGTTTCTAGTTATTCTCGTGGTATTGACGTATGACTTTAGTGCTTAGCTATTTTGGGAGAAAAGTTTCAACGGCTTTCAGTGGTCGAGCCTTTTATAAGTTTTTGAACTTTATATCTGCAAAAAAATATGCAAAATAATCACAAAAATTTGAAAAATTGTATCCGGACTTGTATCCGGACTTGTATCCGGACGAAAAATTGTATCTGAACGAAAATGTCATTACTTGAAATTAATAAATGTTGAAGGTTTTTTACTTTTATCTTGTATTATTTCATATTCAGACGTCATAAAAGCCATTTATTAGTATTTTCAAGGGCAATGATTTTTTAAAAAGGTAGTTAATGAAAAAGGTATGGACCTCCACGAGGGTATGGGCCCCTGTGAGGGTGTGGACTTCTGGCCCCTGTGAGGGTGTGGGTTTCTGCGATGGTATGGGCCCCTGTGAGGGTGTGGGTTTCTGCGATGGTATGGGCCTCTGCTAGAGCAAGATAAAACACAGAACGGTAGTTCTCCGTTTTAACTTGGTAAGAGCTTACCGTTCGATATGTCGCTTTGTAAATAGACCGTACTTTGAATTGTATAGATTATTTAATGATATTTTTACAATAGCGAAAACACACAAATTAAGACTAACATAAAGCAATTTCAAGGATTGCGTAAGACAGATTACTTTCTGCAAAAAATAACTTGTATACTTCTTTTAGGGGAACCAAATTTTAATCAAATTCTTGAATTGTGTAGTATTTTGGGCTGCCTTTATTGATTCTTGGAGTGAATCTTATTTTCCATTGTTATGAACAGTTGAACGATTGCTGCCTTTGGTAAAATCTCATCTATCGATAGTCTCTATTTATATTTTTCAAAATTGAAGGTATTTATTCCAAGTAAAAGGGCCTACTTCTAGAGATCCCTTTCCCAGGGGCATCCCTGTTTGTTACGGGGCTGCACCACTGGATCGAGCTTCCTATTGTCTTGAAACACCAAAGTTTGAAGCCCGTTCAATTTTAAAAGGAAGAGGGCCCCAAACAATAGCGGGAAGCGATTCCTCAAAAACAATACTTAATTCCATCGCGGGGGCCCCTTAGTTATGATAAACAACACCCTAATCTCAGGAAAAACATTTTGGGCTTTTGGTGCATCAGCCCTTGTCTTGCCTGAGCAATGACGCAATTTTATGGTCGGTGTTTGATTCCAGGGAAAAAACTGCCTCAGTTTTTTACCCCGATAATCAGACTGATACACCTGTCACACAATCGAATGACTGTGTGAGAAGAAGTGAGACAGGAGAAGGCAGAAGGAAGTATATGACGGGATATAAGCAGGAGGAGAAGTGAGTACAAGGGGACAGGGATGGGAGGGGAAAACGCGTACAAACAACGCGTGAGTCTTGCTGCAAAATATGACATGACCCTAGCTGCATCACTGTACTTAAAGAAATATGCCAGGAAAAGACCACCTAGAAAATACCACAAGGTGATTAGCAAATAGCTAAGGTAGCATGATATCCACAGCCTACTAAGGATATACGTGTGGGACCACCCGATTCTAGAAAAGGGGAATCTACGCACTTTCCCCGCGGGTATTAACTCGAATTAAACGATTAATTCCCATTTAATTCCATCGCGGGGGCCCCTTAGTTATGATAAACAACACCCTAATCTCAGGAAAAACATTTTGGGCTTTTGGTGCATCAGCCCTTGTCTTGCCTGAGCAATGACGCAATTTTATGGTCGGTGTTTGATTCCAGGGTAAAAACTGCCTCAGTTTTTTTAACCCGCCACAAAAAACATGACAATGTTTACACCCATCAAACACTGACTTAGAAAACCTGTAACTGGGGGAGACTCTTGCCCTAACCTTACTAAGGGAGGAAGTTATTGGTGAAGAGAAGCGGGGAGAGAAAGCAAGAGAAAAGTTTTTTTTTTCTTTTCTTATGTTTGCCAACAACAGCAAACGCATTTTTTTTATGTTTGCCCACGACAGCAAACACTCTTCGTTGTATATTTGCCAACAACAGCAAACGCTTTTTTTTGTATGTTTGCCCACGACAGCAAACGCTTTTCGTTGTTTGTTTGCCAACAACAGCAAACGTTTTTTTTTCTTTTTTTTTTATGTTTGCCCACGACAGCAAACGCTTTTTGTTGTATGTTTGCCAACAACAGCAAACGCTTTTTTTGTATGTTTGCCCACGACAGCAAACGCTTTTTGTTGTATGTTTGCCAACAACAGCAACAATTTTTTTTAAGGTTTGCCAACAACAGCAAACGCTTTTCTGCCATTTGTTTGCCAACAACAGCAAACACTTTTCTTTGCATGTTTGCCAACAACAGCAAACCCTTTTCTTCTGCATGTTTGTCAACAATAGCAAACGCTTTTTTTTTGAGTGTGCGTGTTTGCCAACAACAGCAAACGCTTTTCTACTGCATGTTTGCCAACAACAGTAAACGCTTTTTATTTTTCATGTTTGCCAACAACAGCAAACGCTTTTTATTTTTCTTTGCCTGTTTGCAACGACAGAAACGTTTGTTGTATTTTTCATGCGCTTCCAATGACAGCAAACTTCTGGTTTTATATTTCATGCTTGCCAGGCCAACGTCAAACGACGAAACAGACATGTTTTGTTTTTATTTTAACAGGTGTTTCGCCATCACAACTGCACACACAATTATATTTTGATTTGTTGTTTGAACTATAAACTGTTTGCATTCTGCCAACACACAGCAAATGTTAATTTTAATTTACATTGCTTCCAACACTGAAAACGCTTTATGGTTTTTCTTTTCTTTTATATACATATTTCGACATGTTTGCAAACAGCAGCAAACATTTTGTTTGCTTTTGCTGTGCGTTGCCACACACAGTACAACATTTTGGTTTTGGTTTTGTTTTTGTCCACCTTGCCTGTTTGCGCCACAATGTAAAGTGCAATAACTAGACGTGTTACTGGCAAACAGACACGCAGTTTGCTTTTTTTATGTATGTATAGCGTATGCTATAGACCCCGGGAAACTATCATCCATGATCTTTTATTTGAATATATACATATAAAGAACATTTTGTATTAACTTATCGGAATTTTCCGAATGAACGCAGCACAACTATCATCCATATTTTCATGTGAATTTTATGAACATGGCAAGGAAATTTTTGATTTGCCATTTGAGTTGGCAATAAACGACACAGCAAACCTGCCACTAATATTACCATTGCAGTTCTGCATGAACAAGAACAAGTTGACATGTTGGCATTTTAGCAAGAAACACTACCCACAGTAAGGCTATCTAGGTATTTACCGATTTATATTGCAAACATTGATCTTCTCTCAACAA